TTCCTGTGGGTTTTGTTTTCTTCACTCTGTCTCCTGTGTAGGAATAATGGTGCTTGTCTTCATCCTCTCCTTCACTGAAATCAGTTTCACTGTCCTGAACTTTTTTCATGGACCTTTCCTAGACTAGAATATCAAATGCAGATGTTGTTATTTTTTTGCTTCCAATTCTATTTTCCCATTTCCAAAGGAATTTTAAGTTGGGGCTTTTTTTCACTAGTTTTGGAGTTTTCTAAGTCCTGAAAAATGAGATATTTGGGTTTTTTTTTAAGTCTTCCACTTGCCTGCTATAGTATCATTTTAACTTTTCATGTTATTTCTCCTGTTTTTTCTGACAAAATATGTAGTTTTTATTTCTGTATCCCTGCCCTATATTGGAATACTTTTTTTTTTAGTTGTACATTTCCTCTTTCATTCTGGTGGCTTGTTTAATGGCAGTTCAGTTCATAGCACACACCACTAGTGTCCAGGAAGATTTGCAGCACTAATTTCTATACAAGCCTTCAAAAAAGTGTCTGAATAGCTTTGAAAACAGCCCTCATTCATGTTTGCTTTGGCAGTAATTGGAAGGTAGTAAAGAAAAATACTAAGACTGCAATCAGAGATGTGCCAAGTTCAGTTAGCCATTAGAGGATGTGTCCCATCAGCCTGCTGGTGTAGCTTTTTAATAGACAAAAAAAGTATCAATAAGGAAAAAAAGGGCTGTGATTCTTGCATTGCACAGCTTTGTAAAACCTCCCTTTAGATACTACCCTTTGCCTGGTTAAGCAGTTTCGTGATTTCAAATCTACTTTTCTCCTTTTTAAAATAATTTTGAGTGGTCTCTTTTGGATTTTTGGGTTAGATTGTGTCCGAGGCAATGTGTATTTCCAACTGTGAGGTCTGTTAAGGAATATAAAAAAAAAAAAAAAAAAAATGTTTTAAGAAAAAGGCCCCCAGAAAACAAAAGCAAACAATCCAACCAACCAACCAGAACTGTGCAGTACATGCGAAACGTGTAGGATATATGCATGTACCAAACTGCTTTTATAATGTGTGTAGATGATTTCCTTCAAAATTTTTTTTTATACTTCTTACAAAAGGTATGATACAAAAAAGGAGAATATTTCTATGATTTACTCAAAGGCCATACCAAGTAAGTCTTCAGTCCTCTACTGAATAAGGTTTTTGTGCACTTATACACAATAATTCATACCATATGAAAAAATAATACACAATAACAGCTCATGCTGTTATTACCATTATCTAGTGTTGGTTTGTATTGCAGTTAGCATCTAAACTTTGCTAATCACATACAAGTTAAAAAAATCTACTGATGCAAAGAGCTTAGCTTTTGTTAACAGTTAAGAAATGGGCACTACAGTGAAAGCTGCAATGCAGAAAGGTGCAAAGTGGCAGGAAAATGCTGGAGTTTTTTGTACTCATTATTACATTAGTAACAGATTTTTGTACTAAATTGTTGTTGATGACAGGATCATGGGTAAGCATTTCCTGTTTCTCCCAGCCCTTCCTTCAACTTGATTAGGAGGACTCCTCAAAGAAGCCCAGCACTCCCTCCTTCACTCACTCCCTCCCGTTTCTTAAACTTAGTTTTATTTGCTATGTCAGATCATGCTGCTATACAAACACACTGCAGAAAAAGAGCAGCTCAATGTATACATTGAGACAGCCCTGTGTGATATTGTCATCTAACCACCAGCATCTCCCCAGCAATGACCTGAAATCCCAGGGCTGTACTCAACTGCTCCAGTCCTCCTATTATGGTGAAAATCTCTCTTCACCTATTTTCAGTTCTGCAATCTTCAGTCTTCTCCTTTTGCATGCTTTGAAAAATGCAGGAGCAGCTGAGTCTGCCAAAGTTCCATGTGGAATAGTGATTTCCTATGGTGGAAAAATATGCTCTGCACAGTAATACCAGAAGTCAAGTCCACTTAATTTGTACAAGGACTTTTATTGTCTTATGCAGTTTGGGAGAATTTGGGAGGCCTAGTCTCCAAACTTTGTAAGACAGCAATCTTCTAGGTGTTAGAGGGTAGCAGAGTTTTTGTCATCATAGCACACATATGTAAAGATACAATATAGACCCCAGGTTCCCGTGAATAAGTCTAGTTAAGAGATAGACATGGGATAATCATTATGTAGCTTTCCTATTTCATTTTATTAACTTTGCCCTACATATTTTCATGAACCTCTAAGCATTTTTTCTCCTCCCTTGTGGTTTGTACAGAAGTGCATAATATGGAAGCAGGCACCCTTTTTCACCATTTTATTTTTATTTTTCAGATATTTCACCTGACACACAAAAAGGCAGACAAAATTTTTTTTCATGAAGAGAACCACACCATGGCTTTAACATTACCATTAGATCTGTAAACTCTATCAAATTGTGACCCCAGTCTAACTTTTCCTTTCTCTCCCTTTCATTTTTCATTCAACTAGTTACTTCTCTTCATCTCCAAAAGTGGTTGGTTGTTGTTCTTGTACATCTGTAGCCAATGCTATTGTTTCAGGATTGAATCTTGCAGAGGAAAGGAGCCCATGAGGATTGGGCATCTGTAAAAATACCTACCATGAAACTATAAAATTTTATGAGTTTTAGTTCAAAAAAATTCATATTTAAAATTATTAATAAGAAGCTCCCCTAAACCATGAAGCTAAAATTTGGACATTTCTTTATTACTTTCCTTTTCTCCAATTTTGTTTACACTAACTGAAGTCTCTGTATGTAGAGTTCTTTATTTCAATTTTACCATTATTTTCCCAAGTGTGGGAAGCAGGAAAACTTCTTTGGAGACTTTTATCTCTAGACATGCATTAATTTGTACACTGCCCAAAATGTATCCTCTTTATTACTTTAAAACACCCAGCATATTAGCAAATCTTCATTTATGCTTCAGTGATTCTTCAGGAAGAATCTCCAGCTGCCCTGCTACAGTGCTCTGTATAACGACCTTTCTTACCAGATGAGAATACTGCTTGATCAAAATAGTTACTGTACTGCATGTGGATATTAATGGATCAAATCCAATTTTAAAAAACATGTATTTGTTTAAACAAGTTGATCATGAAGAAGATTTTGTGTCTAGAATTTATTATTTATTTAATGTCCCCCTTCCACAGTAATCTGAGTTGCTCAAAGTGGTCTTGTGGCACGTTTGAATAAATAGTAAGATTACTCCAAATAGACTTTTAAAGCCGAAAATGAGTCCATCTTTCATTTAGAAATATCCATGAATTATCCACTTGTCTGTTCAGCATACCAAATTTTGTAATTATTTCCCTTAAAAGAAAATTCTACAAATAAAGGCAATTGCTTATGCAAGCAATTTTGAAGCTAAATATTGTCTTAGAAGAACTGCAGATGGAAAACAGTTGCTTGGTACTGCATGATTAGTCCACTGAGGTTAATTAGCTAGCCGTTCACATTTTGCAGGAGCCAAGAAGCGACAAGAGGTAATCCAAAGTTTGGATTCAATTATTCTGTCTCTTGCAGGGACTTGGAAATGGAGTTTACAAATTTCCAACCATGTGCAGAGAGTGGTATGGGTTTTTTTTTCTTTAGAAAATTGCTGTCTGGAAACAGTTTCAGCAATACATTAAAATGTTGTTATAGTCATGAGCTACCAAGTTATCATTGGTAAGGAATCCTTCACTAGTCATGAGCTGGATATTTAACTGCACACTTCTGGGATTCTCATTTTGTTCTGTGTTTAGTCTATAAGTCGGGGCCCATTTTACGGGCCCCATGATTTGTGTCCTATGGATGTCTCTCACTGATGTATAAACACTGTGTTAAGAGATGTTCACCATGTACCCACTCAAAGCACATGAAAAGCCTCTACAGGTAGCATGCATTGGACAGATGATTGCTTACAGCTCTTGGGGAGGGCATGAAGAGGGTACTGTTAGCTGGGTGTGTATACATGTTATTCATCAGGGTGCTTTGGCATAGAAGGCATGCAGGTCCTACAGGGAGGCACTGAGCCATTGCTGGGTAGTGAGAAAATCCCAGGTGCTGCCAGCCAGCAGCCAGGAGAGCTGAGAAACAGTTGGCTGGGGTTAGTGTCTGCTGGGAGAAAGGGAAAACAGTCTGTTTCCAGGTGTGCCCTTGATGCAAGATCTTAGCTGTGTCGTGTCCACCCCTGTAACTCTTTTCTGCCTCACCTGTCCGGTGTCTTCTGTGTAACATTTTTTAGCTTTGCAACTGTCTGTGAGTAGCTGTTTACCTAGAGCTGAGCTGCAGTAGAAAGCCGTCTTGTCTTGCCTGTTCATGACTATAATAAAGTATTAAGACATGGGAGAAGCTTAAGCAGGGAAGCCTGGCTTAGATTTCTTCTTCATTCTGGTCCTTTTTCATAGCACTGTGTTTGACTTGTGATGAAAAGAGATTATGAGATATCTACAGTACAGACTGGTGTGTGATATGACCACAAAGAGATAAGAAAGAGGTGCTGCACAACATCTCTCATTACATCATATATTTACTATTAATGTATATTCAAGTAATTGGATCTTTGCCTTGGCTGAGTTCCTATCTGGAAGACATGCCGTTTCCTCACTGGCCCAGTCTATTACTGTTGGTGGGCCTGAGAGGCATTGAATTGGAGGTTTGTGTTCTTATGTGTTAAAAAAAAAATAAATAAATAGCAATGATGCGCTTTATTCAATCTCTACTTACCAGATTATTTCTGACCTCACCTGAACTTCTCCCTTTGCAAGAGCTGAAACTGCATGCGTGAGAGGAGTCTGGCTTAAACCATTAAATCAAATGTTAATATTACATGTGCAAATAATTATCAAAAGGACTGGTAAATTATGTGTTCAGAGAGGCCTTATACAGTGAGGACAAAGACTACCAGTGTTTTCAGAGCAAGAAATGAGGCCTTTTTGCTCCTCTCCCAGAAGCAAGTAGCACCAAAGTGTGTGTTGGCAGTTTGCTTGCTCCAGAGTCTGAAAGAATGCTTGGTTTGCAAAATTATTATCTCTTCTATTTTATTCCGCAGTTATGAATTCCACGTGAAACCTAGAAACCCTCTTGGTGAAGGTCCAAGTAGTAATGTTGTGGCATTCAGTACTGAATCAGGTGAGAGCTTCCAAAGGTCTGACCATCATTTGCAGTGGCTGCAATATTCAAGTTTGGGGGATATATGAAAGGCTCTCTTGCTTCATTTTGTGCATTTGGTCTTGCTCTTCACTATCTCCAGACTGGCCTTTTACTACTGAACATGTTACAGTAGTGCCTGGAAGGTCAGCTGGGATCAGGGCTCTATTGTGTAAGATGTAAGATGGCCAGACTGCAGGAGAAACAAACACGAGCACAGACAGTTTGGTGTTCATTATGAAGAAACCTAATTCCTTAGAGAACACTCAGTCATTTAAGATCAATATTCCTGACCTTTTGGATCTATCAAACTCATTAATGACTTCTGGATGGGGAACATAAGGTTTTTATTTGGGCTGGTGTGTTTATGGGCACCTTTGCTACCTGTTCAATAAGGCTGCTGTATAATAGTGATGTCTTTTGGCTAAAATAAAGATTGAGAAATAGCAGTTGGGAAAAGCTGATGTTGCAGTATGTCCCCTTCCATCCTGTTTACTCACCTGTGAAACTGTTAAAAAGGTGTCTACAAGCTTGTTTTGATCATAGTTGGTTCCCAAGTTAAGTCCTATCTGACCCAGAGGTGGGAATTGGAGACTGCCTTTGCTTTCTCTGTTCCAGATCCCAGTAAGGCTAACTACAGTTGATTTGTTGATCTTATACAAGCATGATATAATCTTTTGTGTAGAAGTGTTTATGGGTTGGTAGTACTTAAGGATCATATAAAACACAAAATAGATTTAGGCTTTTTTTCAGTCTGCATTTCAAGCCAGGTGTAGTAATATTTATAGTCCTCATCTAGTGCTAGATCTAGTCCTCATCTAGTCCACTGATGATGGGAGTTCTGGCTGAGCAAAGGATTAGTCAGGGAGTTCAGACTATGCCACACATACTTAAAAATTGTGAATGCGCTCTTTGTAATCCTAAATTGTTAAAACTGAAAAAATGTCTGTGCCAAGTGTAGTTTTCATGAATGACAAGGCTTATGTTCTGTCTGCTATTTAGCTTGGATGAACTATGTGGTCAGTTTTTTCTTAATTGCACACATCCATTTCTCACTTTTGGGCTTTCATAGCCAAGTTTTTGTGTGGCAAGTATTACAGAGGGGTCCTTTTTATTATTTTAAGTTTTGGAAATGAAAATTTTAAAAAAGATGCAGTAGAATTGGGTTTTGCTGGTTATGGGTTTAAGCTCTTGTTTTTACTAGAACTGTGTTTGACTGGTATTGTCCCATAGGTGAAATTTTTAAAAGCCCATTGATATTGTCGTTTCAAATAAAAATATATTCCCTTTAATTTAATTTGGTACAAAAATCAACTTTTCTTCCAAAACTCTTTCTGTTTCACAAATTACAGCTTAGGTCAGCTGTAGAAAAACACTTACCAATGCTTTTCCATTGAAATACTGGGAAAGTTCATTTTACAGCGTCTGATTGAATGTTTGTTTTCTTCCCCCAGCGGACCCAAGAGTGAGCGAGCCAATTTCAAGTAAGCCTTTTATGTATAGTATAATGTCTTCTGATCAGGAAGTTTGTCAGAAATGAGATAGCATAATTTTACGAGGGGGGTGGCTGCCCTGCACCAGTTAAATGAGTGATGGAATGAAGAAGCATTCACACATTATTTCACTCCTTCCACCCATACCCCTGGTAATGAATTCATGCCAGGCTGCTTGTTTACCTGAGAGGAACACAGCTGACATGATGTGGTGCTTCCATGGCAGCTGGGATGGCTTCAAACCAATGTACACAGATGAGCCAAGGACAGCCTCATATTTTCTCAGCCTTGTCGCTAAGGCAAAGAAAGCTCTGTAAAATGAGTAAGATACTCCATGCTTTTTAAGTGAGTTAACAGAGCACAACTGAGAGGATGCTATTTATCTGCCATTGTGCTTTAGAAAAGTTTTCTACTTCTGAAGGCTTGATCCAGCTCTGCTTTAGGACACTTAGCTCTTACTGTCTTTTGTGGGACCTTTTGAAGAAAAGCTGAGATCGCTCAAGCAAATTGGGATGCTTTTTGCATTTGTAATGGGCATCACTTTGACAAACACTGAGACACCCATTTCTTTCCATGTACTTCATGACACAAATTTTTATGTGTATTTTTGCTAAATCACATACAACTTCCTGCAGGTTGACTGTTCTGGCTTGAACACACTGAAAAACAGTGACTGTACCACAAACCTTGTGAATGAGAGTTTTGCTAACACACAGACACTGTCCCCCTAACAAGGTCCTAGTATGAGCTTATTCCAAACTGGCACCACACACAGAGAGCAGCAGCAGTTCACCACATCAGTCATATCTGCAGCCTTTGGTGCTTCCCTGACAGATCTTTCATGTTCAAATGCAGGTGACTTGTGCCATGGTGCATTCTGCTCCATCAAGGTTTCTAATTCTATTTATCTGAATGTATTTCTTATACATTATTTTGTGTGCAGCATCATACCTCAGCCTCTTTTTTTCTTCTCCTGCAGTGGGAAAGGATGCTATCTGGACTGAAATCCCATTCAATTCAGACACCTATTCGGAATGCAAAGGGAAACAATACGTAAAGAGGACTTGGTATAAGAAGTTTGTAGGTGTGCAGCTATGTAACTCTTTGAGATACAAGATATACCTCAGTGATTCACTTACAGGTAAGAGACATTCAAATCAGTGTTGTCCACATGATACACTTCTTAAAGATATCATGATTCCAGAACTAAGAGGTTTAACATAGACCAGCTCTACTGAAGTGTGATCATGTGTGTTAAATCAGATCCATAGGCAGACTACTGAGCACAGTAGTTTGCTTGTGCTCAGAAATCATTGATGTGTTTGATACTGAATTTTCAGACTCAAGAGTTACTTCTCTGTGACGGTCATTTGACTTTATTCATCTGAGTACCTGTTAGTATCCCAGTGGTCATACAGAAAATTGAGATAGATCACATCTCTGCCAGTGAAGGTGCCAAATTTGTATTTAAAGGGTAGCCTGGAGTGGTTCTTAATTAGAGGATTAGGGCCTCATTTGAGACCAGGACTGAACTCAGTCATTCCTATCCCATTTGATAAACATCTGGTTACTTCATTACTTATAAATAAATAGCTGCAACTCTGGTCAACAAGGGTTTACTTACCTGTGTTGACATTTTTATTTTGTTATCACATTCCGTAGTTTTGCTTATAAGCTCTCTCCTCTCTACTCCACCCCTCTGCCACCTTCTGTTGTATTACTAACAGCAGCCTCCTGGCCTTATCTTCTCAAGTTTTGTTCAGTGTCTGAAGCCACTGGAGTGTGATGTCTTTAAGACCTGAATCAAGTGACATACGTTGTGTATAAGCTGGGGAGATAGCCTATAAAGTGTTTTTCAGGGTAGGTGATAGTTCAGTAAAACTTTGTGTCTCATGCAGATTGTACAACCTATATTTAGAAATATGTTAACTTCTTACAATCCATCCCAATATCCTGGCTTTCTTCGGTCTTTCAACAGACAACTGCCTAGACAACTCTATCATAACAATAATACTATGTCAGCCAGAGTAGGAGGAGTATGTATAACTGTGCATGGGAAATATCTTTTGAGTGCAAGTTAGAGGTATCATGTTCATTACTTTGAATTACACTACCTAGGAGAAATTGTGGCTTTGTAATCCAAAGTTGCCCCATCTTGGAGCTCAGCACTTCACAGGAGCAGGACTCTGCTCTCTGTACACAGGAACATGGAAAGAAAAGAGCAGGACAGGGTAGGGCATCTCATGCCAATACAATTTTAAGCTGTATGGCCTTGCACCTGCTACCATGCTCCCATGAGCAGACAAGGAAGGAAAGCAAGTACAATACCTCATACATAAACAATACCTTGGCAGTTATGTGAATAAAAGAGACTGTTTTGAACAGAAAGATCATTCATTCAACTGTTGCTGTACTAACCAACTGTGATTAAATGACAAACACTGGCACTGAGGCATAGCATATCATAAAACCAGCCAGTAGAGGAAATAGCAGTGCTAATCTAGCAGGACTCAATTTTAGCCCTAAATCAAGTGAGTTAACAGTGCAGTGAAAGCTACTTCACTCTTAGAAGAAAAGTTTAATGTATTAGGAGCCCATTTTCCTGTTTTCATTAGATTGTTTTTGGTCTTCCTGGAAGGGTGGTGATTTAACTTGCTGGAGAAAGGATGGCAGCCACATTGTATTCATTATACTTGCTAAGCCTGGTTCTTGCCCTTGAGTTGTTACAACCAGTGCTGACCAGTTGTCACAATATTTGAAATAACTGAAATATTTATGACGAAGGAAAGCGTTTCACCACACACACCCCCCCACCCCCCCCATTTCTTAAGTGGGACTGCCATGGCATGGGCCTCTGTATGTGAGGAAGTTTCCAGGTTGAAGCCAGACTCTGTTCAGACGTGCTTCGCTGTCACACCTCATCTCACCATACCCCCACAGCCAAGGGATGAAATCCTGCCAGCGCCAGCCAGCAGTGAGGGGCTGCGCTGAGGTCCTCAGTTCCACCATACACTGAAAATACCTTTTGGAGCTTAGCTGTTTAGCAGCACAGTGACCTTGAACTTTGGGTGCATTGTGCAGATGCTGTTGCACAAGGCAACCAACAACCATATCACTGCATACTGGTTTTAGCATGAATTTCTATGTCTAGAGTTCCAGAATTCATAATGTATAAAACAAAGATGGTAACTAATTTTCTTAAGACCACCCATACAGGAACACTGGAAAAAAAAGAAAAATTTACTTTAGGCTGGAATTGCTAACCACAGATGAGAAAGATAAATCCAGTCATTTGTCAGCTAAATGTTTTTAAGTGTGTTTCTTTATTATGGAAAGAGTTGGGAAGTAAGAATTTACTGAGAACACTGCTAATTTATGTATAGAAATTGTTGGAATTATGCATAGGTTACGCTGTGGGCCAGGAGAGTGTGTGCATATCTGAAAGTTATAGTTTTTGTGTTAGCCATAAAAATATCTGGTTTATTCAGTCTCATGAAGAAAAAACAGATCTACGCTACATGTGCCAGGACTGCTCTATAAACCAGTATCTACTGTTGACCTCATTTAACAGTCCTCCAGAGCAGTCAGTGCAGGCATTCCAGAAAAGCAGGTCACCTAAAGAAAAAAGTATTTAGTAAGGGGAGGAAAAAAAATAAAATCTAAGTGTGACCTTCAACACCATGGAAAAAAATGCTGTTTTGGGCAGCCTGAATGTTCTTCATTTCAAACTAAAGAATTGCTGAAAGGAACTCCCTCTGACCAGTTCTCCTATGCTCCTATGGAAAAAAACATGCCTGCAGCCAGAACTGAATAATCATAAATAATTTTCTAAAGCTAGGGAAGAACTGTGTGCACAGACACCATCAGCTGGAGGTGAGGATTCTTGGCAAAGCATTTATCAGATCAAGAAAATATGGGAAAAACAGTGTTTATTGGTAGTCTGCTCCTTTATTAATTGCACCTTAGGGAGCAGTAACATAAGCCATCTCATCACCCCTCAAATGGCCAGACTGGCGCAGATTCAAGACACCCAGCATCTAACTGGACTTTCTGCTTAGCTCATACTTGAGTACTGAGCCTGTATCTAAAGGCTCTCACCTTTCCTTTCAACCTTACAGCCAAAGGTTGAACATAGTAAGAACAAGTGCTATGAAAGGAGTTTAGAACAAAAGGTACATTTATCTGAAAGTGTTTCCTGCCAGGGATTGGGAAGAGAGTGTAGCGTCAATTCCTCCATCTTCTGAACTAAATTATTACTAATGTCCAGCAAACCAAATCAGTAAGTAAAAACATCTCCCTGTCAGAACTCCTTCACTGTGAGCCCTCTTGTTAGCAGGGTGAGCACAGCCCACAATGTTAGCACATGCTCCATGTGGCATTTGAGACCTTGTTTTCTACTCAGTTGCAGTCAAGTTAAGCAATCCTGCAAGTAAATACAAGGGCACACTTCATGCTCTGGATAGCAGCTACTATACTGGGGTCATATATTTCTTAAAGGCTATCACTTGCACATACATGTTGTAAAAATGTGATGATTTATAAAAAAGGCTTGGCTGTGTTATGAGGTGACATAAAAACATCTTTGAAGGTACTGGGGCTCTGTGACTGGGAACCAAATCTGCCTTATGTTGAAATCACTAGCAAAACTTACCTTGTTTTTGGTAGTATCAGGATGAGGTTCTAGATAATAACAGAATTTTGCTTACTGTAGGAAATGTAAGGTGGGTAAAAAATGCATTCAGGTATAGATTCTGGCCATGAATTTGGCACTTTTCTCTATAGCCAAGAGCACTGTACTTGGAGTATGTATAATATTCAAATTACAGCTACAGATCCTGGGAGGGAAAGAATCGTAGCATTCACCTTGGCTTCCCCACAGATCAAATTTCACAGCCCATGGCCTCCAGTGGTTGTTGGAAACAGCCCTCACTGAACATTGCTGCTTGTTTGCTTTCAGGAAAATTTTATAACATAGGAGACCAGCGGGGCCATGGAGAAGATCACTGCCAGTTTGTAGACTCATTCTTAGATGGAAGAACAGGACAGCAAGAAGACCTGCCAGTCAAAGACGGTAATTCCTTATGCCTCTCTCTGTAGCAAACCTTGGCAATTCCTTTGTTTGCATGTTTCTTTTTCCTGTGGTGGACGCAGTGCCCACTGCCAGGGCGGGTGATGTAAAGGGAGGACTGGCTTTGCAGGCAGAACAGGCTTGAGCAGCTTTTGAAGAGGAACGACTTATTAAAAGACGGTTCTGACTCGGGTTCTGTCAGGTAGTAAACAGCCTCCTGCCTGTCCCAAACATGCCAACACAGTTGGTGTTACATACTTAAACCCAACCACAAATTTGTGTTTGCAGAGAGGCATGAAGTGTTACGTTCAAACTAGCAAGGTTGATTTAAAGTGCAGTAAATCAGCAGCTGGGCATTAAACAGCTTTGTTTAGTCCTAATGAAACACCAAAAGGTTATTACTGGAAAACATAATTCATGCTGCAGTAATTCTGTGTGCACCCATTTGAACTGAGTGCCTAGAATTCCCGTCTGATCTGACTGAGCATGGGGCTGGATGCCCTAAATGCAGCCTGCCCCATGCCTATGGCTATGGCTCACATGTTGCTGAGGCTATACCATAAGATTGTCCTTCTGTCAGCCGAGTGCCTGCCTTGCTTGCTGGCAGCAATGCTGCTGTGAGGGGTTCCATGCCCTTGAGGGGCAGGGACACAGGCAGCATTGATGTGCACCACTAAATGGGTCAGGGACTATTTTACCAAGGAAGATAGCAGAATGGTTTTTGGTATGGTATCAGTGTGTTGTCCAAACCTTCCTGAAGGAGTAGCACTTCATCCTGAAGGTAGTGCTTCAAGTCTTATGAGCAACAGCTGAAGGATCTGAGTTCCTTTAGTTTAGAGAAAAGGAGGCTCAAAGGGGACCTTACTGGTTTCTACGCCTACCTGAAAAGAGAATACAGCAAGGAGGTGGCTGGTCTCTTCTCCCAAGTAACAAGTGACAGGACAAGAGGTAATGGCCTCAAGCTGTGCCAGGGGAAGTTTAGACTGGATATTAGGAAAAATTTGTTCACTGAGAGGGTGATCACACATTGAAACAGGCTGCCCAGGTAAGTGGTGGAATCACTGTCCCTGGAAGTGTTCAAAAACCATTTAGATGAAGCCCTCAGTGACATGGCTTAGTGGGTGATCTTGGCAGTGCTGGGGTAACGGTTGGACTTCATGATCTTAAAGGACTTTTCCACCCAGTTGATTCTATGATTTATAAAGCACCTTATGGAAGTACAGGAATGTGCCGACTTAGATGAGGGAGACTGAAGTGCCAAAATCTCTCACAAGTTTTCCTGAAGAGAGTTAGGTAAATGATCTTAAGGGGGTTAGGTCATGGGATTTTTTACTTGGGGGGGTGTTGTTTGTTTTTTTTATTTATTTAAGAGGGCTTTACTTTTCCTTTCCCCATCAGTGTTGTCCATTTGTAAAGGTGTTTTGTTTGTTGTGAGGGATTGTCTGAATCCAATCTAAAATGTCTTTTAAGCTGTTTTTTTTTTTTTTAATTTAAGTGAATCTGTGCCAGGCATTTAAAACTGATTCGTCTTCTGCAACTGGATTTATTGAGTGGATTCATCAGCTACATTCATTTTGTACAGACAAAGAAAAAAAAACCTAAGCAAAAAACCCAACAAAACAACCAACAGAAGCCCCCACCTCTGCCATAGCTTGTCTTCTAGTCAGTGAACTGGACAGAGGAAAGAACAGACTGTCTGTCTGAACAGACTGTGCAGTTCCTCCCTGGCTGCAGCAAGATGAGTTCCGTTCAAACTGAAATTAACTACACCCATTTGCCCAAAGTGCAGGGTGAATCATGACTACTGTTGCATATTAGTGGCAGAACAGTCATCTGTGTGTGTGTGAGCACAGGTGCATGCTTTAGTCACACACACATTCCTGATGATCAGGTCAAGTTCAGCACTAACGGCTCACTTTATCTGGCAAGTATATGAATTGTCATATGGAACAGTTGGAATACGTAGTATTTCTTTTGCCTGGGGATGGGAAGATAGTGTGAAATATCCCGAGCTGTCAGGTTTTGTTTAGGTTTACTGCACTGTCAAGGCTGCTGCAGTGGGAGCCATTCAATCATTATAACTTTGTGAGGAGGAACCACCTCTTGTTTATAGAAGCCACCAGCAGCTGCAGCCAAGGGGAAACTAAGGCAGGAGTCTTGGCCCAGCCCTGCTAGCACCACCCATGGGTGAGTGCTGCGTCCTCAAAGGCAGGTAGGTTTCACCTCTCCTGCACTGCAGGCATCCCAAGGGGTGCTGCTTGTGTTGGAGTTGCACGGAAAATGCCAGCATGCTCTCAGTGCAGGGGCAGCACAGTGCTGTGTGTGGCACGCAAGCTAAGAGCTCAGGGCCTAGTGTAGCCCTTACTTGAGCTGCACACGGACATCACAGGGTAATCAAAGGAAGGTGCCATGTGAAGGCTCTATGTAAACCCAGCCCTGTTCTCTGTTGTAGGATTTTTCAGGGCTGTCCGTCAGGAACCTGTCAAATTTGGAAAAATCGGTGGGGAGACCCACATTAACTACGTTCGCTGGTACGAGTGTGGAACATCAATCCCTGGGAAATGGTAGATGCAACGTGAACGTGGAAACAAGGCCTAGCACTTCCCACCTGCCTGACTGCCCAGCATGGGCTCAGAGATGGCAATGTTCGCAGTACACCTGGCACTGCAGTGAGTTTGCTGATGTGCAAGGGTTTATATGAGTCTAATGCCAATACTACATTAATTGTGTAATAGCGTAGGCTGCTTACTGTATGTAGTTATCCAGTTTTACAGACCTGTTTTTAGATATAAAAAATAAATTCCAGCCAGGCTAGGGCCATGTTCTAGGGTACTGTGGAGGGAAGCTGGCTCCCTATTCCTGAGGAATGGTTTATATGGTATTTTAAAAGATACGGTGTGTATATTATTTATCACAATGTTGCAGTAAATGTTTAAGGCACAGTTATGGCAGAGCTGGTGATGGAATGCAACGTGCTTTAGTTCTTAAGTATTCATTGGTCTTCTACAACACAAGTGCCATAAGCTCCCTGTTCGGATGGATCTGTCATAGAGAAGACACTACAATTGTTAGTATCCTGCAACCAGTAAACTTGAATCACTGTCTCCTTACCTGTACAAACAGTTTATACTCCTGCCAGCACACAGAGGGAGACTGCTCTACATGCAGCTTTGCATCACCAGGTTAGTGGGTTTTTCAACGGCTCCAGCTCCAGCAGCAGAGCACATTCAGCCCCTTGCTGCAGAGCTGGACTGCAATGGGTGGTTGGGCTACCTGAAAGCAGGCAGGTATCTATGGACAGAGAGTGACAAACATGCCCCTCAAGGCTCCAGCTTTTCATAGGAATGTAGTTTTTGGAGGCTGAGACTTCCTGGCTCAAAAGCTAAGTGTACATACAGGGGGCTTGGAAAGAGAGATGAAATGGGAAAATAATAAGCTACTGTTGTTACAGCATAATCGGGTTTATTTAAAACAAGAAAGTATTCACTGGGACAAAGGGGAAATAGTGATAACTGAACTTTAAAACTGCCTTACAGTTAACTAAAACCTCTCCCGAAGCTATTTGTACTGCTTGACCATTTATGAACTAAAGAGATATAGGTTTTTCTAAAGGTGTTATTCACTACATTACTAAAGTATTTGAAAAATATGAACAGGAACAGTCAGATATATATATAGTAGAAATAGTCATTTATAGAAAATGCCTTATAAAGTACATTGCAGGTACACTGTACTCCTAATAAAGTATTTTTTAATCAAGCAGTCTTCATCAGCGTTTTCCATGAAAAGAAATACAGAAATACTAGCTCCTGTGGCAAATGCTGCTTACTTCAGCAGTCTGTTCTGGTGTGACCAGCCCCTGAGGCACTAGGGCTGTGGAGAGCACAAACAGCAGGAAGTGCAGCTTACAGGGGAACAGGGAGGTCCTGAAGGGAGGAAATATATTCACTCCTTAATTCCTAAGTTGTCTTTATGAGAGTTCAAGCAGCTTACTCCAGTTTGGGTTTTTATAGATTCCCTGCTTAGTTTTATGTATTCCTAGAATCCATAAGATGGAAAATATTAGCTGGGAAAATGCTTTGCCCTCTCCTGTCACATGTGCCACTGAACTTGCTACAGCTCTTGATCTGCTTTTTGTTGGCTCAGAATCAAGTCACTACAATGGCATTCTCAATTTTTTCTAAGCAGCAAAGAACCTGTACAAAAGTTGTTCATTTTTAAGAGTTCTATTTTAAAAATATGTATTTGGCCTAAATTTTCAAGCAGTAAAGCAGTTATCTGCCTACTCCTTTTAAAAGCAAAATTGATATGGGGCTTTAAGATGTGCACTGGTTCCTACCCGCTTGGTACAAGGGCTACATGGCAGTTAGTAACAGGAGATAGAACAAAACCACCTACTGCTGCGTAACCTCTGCAAGAGCAGGCTCTGTGGACAACCCCTTCTCCATTTACACACCTAAAACTCTCGTCCCTTCTCCTACCAACCTGCGCACGGCTGATCTTCACCTTGGTGGCTGCAGACCCACCATGCACCCAGTTACGCTGTTCAGCATTCTCCATTATCAATCAAGACCAGGCATTTAATAGATTCAGGGGTTTTATTAGTTTCCCATGTGAGCATTACAATTTATAATACATCTAGTTTTACCTCCAGAATCAATCTAATTTAGTACATCATGGTATTTAGTAAAACCAAGCCTGGTAAGTGGGCTACTGTTCCTGTCCTTCACAAAAGGCAAGCTAGAATGTCAATCACTTTACAGACACTTAGGAAGTGTTTCCTCAAAACCACTCAGCCCCAAAATTAAATGAGGAAGCAGGTACAATTTGAAGCAGAAAAGATTGATTTGGTCGTTCCCCTCCCCCAGCAGAACTGAATTAACAGCCACAGTTTTGCCTCGTTACAGTTTTGGAACCTCAGTTGAAATACCTGGAGTAGCTCAGGATGGGGTCACAGGTGCCCAGGCCAGTACCTCCTTACCGGTAGCCAGGTCCAGGCTGGGAATAGCCCTGGGGGCCGAAGGGCGGCCGGCTGCGGGCATAGGGGTTGGGCCCACTGGGCGAGGGGCTGAAGCCGGGCCGCGGCTGGTAGGCGCCGGCCGTTGCCTGGGAGCCGGGGCCGCCGCCTCCGTAAGGGCTGGGCTGTGCGGGAGGCGCAGAACCGTATGCCTGAGGCGGGTAACCAGCCCCCGCGAACTGCGCCGCCGGTGCCGCCGGCGGCACCTGCTGAGCCGGGCCCGGGAAGGCGGCGGCGGCCGGGGCCGGAGCCGCAGCCGGAGTCGCCGTCTGGGTGTAGGCCGGGAACTGCTGGGCTTGCTGCGAGGGGGGCTGTGGCTGGCTGTAGCCTGCTGGAAAGGCGAAGAGCAAAGCGGTGAGAGCGCGGCGAACCGCGGCACGCGCAGAAAGAGCTTTTGTTTTCCACTTGCTTACAGTGACAAACATGAAACAAGGCAGGAAGCACAGGGAAAGCAAACCAAGAAGCAACTGCAATTGTTCCTGCCTTGCACATAAACACATTGCCTGGTTGTCGGGACCCTATTCTGGCAGCACAGCAACACTGAAAACAGTCACTACAAAACAGTTTTCTCATGACTGACAAGAAATTAAAAACCCAACAAATAGTATTTTACCATCACATCACATGAAAAATAAAAGTCGTCATTAGCAAATGAGGCAAAATGCAACCTTTCCCCCAAATAAAAACTCAAAACTACTCTGTCATGAAAAAATTGTCAGGGTGTAAATTTAAGTCATGCCTTTGATTAACTCATATGTGTTTTCAGTTCTTTAGAGCTCAATATGAGAAATCTGTGCAGAACAGAATACTTCAGCACAGAACTTCCATTTAAACATGTCCAAATCCAAAACTTGATTTTTATGTATAAAAGAAGCTTCCCAGAGGAAATTTCCCTTGTTGAAAGCTTCAAAATGACACAGCTCCTTTCATGAAGAAACAGCTACTTTTATCCACCATGAAACACACCTGCAGCTACTTGCAATGAAACCTCTCCAGTGACTGGAATCCTGTCAGCATTAAACACCAGACACACGAATTATTAAGAGTGCACAGCCCTAAACAGAAAGAGTAAGGATTGAACAATGCACTGGAGTAAATAAACTCACCTTGAAACCCAGATCAACATTTACTCATGAGACAAACCTCTGAAGGGTCTGGTTTTACTACCATGAGTAAATTGCCACTTTGTTTCTGTTAGATGTACAAGAGTGGGAATAGATCCCATTCTCAGGGAACAGGGGTTTCAAAGGAGACAATACTCATGGGAACAACAGCAAAACAAACAAGAAACCCTTTGAGGCAAGATCTTCAAAGGCTGCTGTTGCTAGGTCCTCCAAAGGAAAAAGACTGTTTCTGAAAGATCAGGTTAATTGTGAGCTAAGTTATGAGAAGCAGAGGCATCGAGATCAGTTGTGGTGTTTCATTCTTAGGTGAGGATGATGTAGATTAGAATGCAGAATCGCACCCTGCACTACAGCTTTCACAGGAACTTCTCCAGTAAAAGAACAGATTAGGTAATGGTAGAATATGACTAGAAACCAGATGGAAACTACCCCCTCACAGTTTTTAAGCCTAAAGAACGTCAGACAGACCCTTCTACTTCCAACAGGCTTGTTACTTCTTAATTACACTTCATAAAGTCTGTCACTGTCTTCTAATTATATATGGGGGGGTGGGGGGGGGAGAAATCTGCAGGGAACAAGGTACCATCTAGACACCCAAATTAACCAGCTCTCACACAGTGCACAGGAACAAGGGTGGGGGCCTAAACCTTCAGTTCCAAGTTTTCTAGGGTTCTTCTATACAAAATAAGTAAATATATTTCTTTATGATAAAATGGAATTTCTTCATAAATAAATTAAAAAATTTCATATTTGACTGTACATAAACCACCAGTGTACCAAAAGTTTTTAGTACTGCTGCTAAAAGTCTACTGGCACCTTTACCTGAGGCATCAGCAAAATCAACAACTAAAAAGCCTATCACCTGAAAGTTTCTCAGAAATGTACAGTACTTATAATAGCTAAGGAGTTAATGACAGCTATAATCAGTGTGCACCCCATTAGATTCTGTACATGAAAATCATTCTAGATGCAAGAAATAAGGGCCATCTTTATATACCTATGGTATTTAAGTTAGCTAAATTGGGATCTTTCAGTCACCTGCCAGAATCCCAAGACTGCAGAAGTTAATCCTGACAATGGCTCGTACTTCAGGTGATTAATTTTGCCTACCTTTCTAACAACACATTCTGCTGATTAATAATGAAGTCCGCTCTGGGTCACAACCAAGTAAAATAAAGACACCACAACTCCAAATGTGTATTAAAAATATAGACAGCTACAGTGTTCTCTTCTAGTGATTTCTGAATTGTGCCAGTTCCCATCAGAATAATGGGTACTGTGGCTTCTCAGCACCCTGACCTGCCCCACAGGCTCAGGAACTGAGTGAGCTGCTTACCTGGGTACTGCATACCATACTGCTGCTGAGGCTGAGCCTGAGGCTGCTGAGCAGGGTAACCAGGCTGTTGGTACTGCTGATACATCTGACCTACGGATTAAAAACGTATTTAGTTGAAGGCCAGCACCCTAGCTATGTTACAAACACACAATGAACAACATCCTAACAACTCAAAAATCACAGAAACAAACTTACAACATGTAAAAAGGTCTTTTCAAGGAACCTGAACATGGTGGGTGAAGTCTGAATATATGTGTTCCACCTGAGTGTTAGCTTTAGCAGTTACCAACTGAAATCTATGTACAGATTTTAGTTTCTTAACCATGCTGTTCTAAAGATTAAATGCTGCTTGTCTATCTCCAACTGAATAAATAGTTCTAAGTCAGCACATGAGACCATTTCACGTGTTCAGAAGATGCCAGAAGACATGCACCTTAATCAATGCTACTCTGGTGGGTAACAGAGGAGGAATCTTTCAGCATCTTGATAACTGCTCCAGAACTTGCATGGTAAATTAAAGTACTTCAAAAGTTTAACATGTCCTCAGATTGTCTGTTTATATTAGTTTTTTAAGACCATTTCTGCATCCAAGCATTATAAGCATAGTGGTACATTATTTATTCTGACCACATCTTCCAGATAAGTCACCAGTCTGTCAGTATCTGACTTGCTGTAAGCCAAGTCTTTTAAAGAGAGCTGGGGCATACATCCTAAAGCAGAAATAAGATCATTCTTAAGCTTGGGTATTCCAATTCAGTGTGAAGTTTTCCTAAACTCACTCCTCCGAATTTCTTGGCAAGAAGAGGCAAAATTTTTGTTCAGACTTCACCTATAGGCCTTGTTCAGGCTTTATGCTTCTGCCTTTTTTCAATGTAGTTAACAGGCACAGTCACAGAACAAAAGCAATTATCTGCCACAACTAAAGCTTGGCTGAGCTGGAGCAGACATGGAAACTTCACTGTTACTCTAGCAACTTTAAGTGTTACTCTACTGCTATTCATCCTGCAAAAAGCAACACGGGCATAAATACACTGTAAAGCCTACCTTCTAAACTGCACCAAGAAAAATGCAACTCAGCCCTGCTCCAAGTCCTCTCAGACCCTGTGCACACTGCTTTAAAAGAACTCTGTATTTCTTTTTTTCTCTGCCTTACTTGCAGCTTGAAAGCAACGGTATCTTACATTCACACTAAAGTGATCAAAATATTATTTGGTATGTAGCTATTGTGTGATGAAGAGCATGCTAAACACAAGGCTTGAAAGAATTTAAGCCTGTTAGCTTGGTAATTAAGAATGAGAGACTCAGAAAGCATGTTTTCTGTTGCTTCAACTCAGCTGTGAAGAGGATGTTCTAAGAGAAGCAAAGCAGCAAGAAGCTGCCTGTCTCAGGTTACCTATAGGCTAAGGCAATGACCACACTGGCACCTGCTGGACGCTCCGAGTAAAGTGCTGTGAAAGATAGCCCTGCTCTTAACACCCTGTCACAGCAGGGAGCTTTTCCAAAGCTGGGAAGGCTGCCTGTCTTCACCTGGGTAGAAGCTTTAGTGAGGACCAGAGAAGTGTCCCAGTGTCGTTGTTACACCCATGAAGGCAGTCAGGGATCCACCTGGTCCTTAAACACAGTTTTCCCCTCTCACTGGAGTTCTACTCTGAAGCCAAGATGAGCTACAGCATCAGTGTCTGGTTTTGTACTTAAGCAGCACTTACTGCAGTCAAGGATCTGCCAGCATTTACCATTATTCCTGTGCACTGAAACAGCCATTTTAGCCAGATTCAGGAAAAAAGACAAACAGGTGTATTCACACAATATTCTCTTCCCTAGAAGATCGTGAAGTGCTTACAAGAACAAACTTCGCATCCATTTCAGTAAAGACTAAAAAAGCATTCAAATCTGTACAGAACAGATTCTGTTCAGTGAGTGGATTTAGTGGTACAATAGCACAGGCATGCCAAATGAGACAGCACTATGCTGAAATGTCTTTTTCAGTATCATCTATTTGCAAAAATGCCATTAAAAAAATAATCCCCAGTATAAGCAGAATGATTGTCACATGATGGCCATCACCATTTTACTTATATCCTCAAAACAGAATCACAGAATCATAAAGCAGTTAGGGTTAGAAGGGACCTTAAGATTCTCTAGTTCCAACCCCACTGCCATGGGCAGGGACACATCATACTAAAACCATGTCACCCAAGGCCCTGTCCAACCTGGCCTTAAAAAACCACCAGGGATGGAGCATTCACAACTTCCTTGGCAACCCATTCCAGTGCCTCACCACCCTTAAAGAACTTCTTCCTTATATCCAATCTAAACTTCCCCTCTTTAAGTTTTAACCCATTATCCCTTGTCCTATCACTACAGTCCCTAATGAAGAGTCCCTCCCCAGCATCGCTATAAGCCCCCTCCAGATACTGGAAGGCTGCTATGAGGTCTCCAAGCAGCCTCTTCTGCTCCAGGCTGAACAGCCCCAACTTTCTCAGCCTGTCTTCATACGGGAGGTGCTCCAGTCCCCTGATCATCCTAGTGGCCCTCCTTTGGACTTGTTCCAACAGTTCCATGTCCTTTTTATGTTGAGGACACCAGAACTGTACACAATACTCCAAGTGAGGTCTCACAAGAGCAGAGTAGAGGGGCAGGATCACCACCTTTGACCTGCTGGTCAAGCTTCTTTTCATGCAGCCCAGGATATGGCTGGCTTTCTGGGCTGTGGGCTCACACTGCTAGCTCACATTAAGCTTCTCATCGACCAACATCCCCAAGTCCTTCTCTTCAGGGCTGCTCTGAACCTCTGCACAGGCTGTAGCTGTGCCTCGGATTGCTCTGACCCAGGTGTAGGACCTTGCACTTGGCATGGTTAAACTTCATCAGGTTGGCATCAGCACACCTCACAAGTGTGTCAAGGTCCCTCTGGATGTTATTCCTTCCCTCCAGCGTATCAACCGAACCACACAGCTTGGTGTCAGCGGCAAACTTGCTGAGGGCGCACTCAATCCCACTGTTCATGCCACCAACAAAGATGTTGAACAAGACCTGTCCCAACATCGATCCCTGAGGGACACCACTTGTTACTGGTCTCCAGCTGGACATTGAGCCATTGATCACAACCCTTTGCATGTGGCCATCCAGTCACCTCTTTATCCACCGAGTGGTCCATCTATCAAATTGATATCTCTCAAATTTAGAGACAAGGATGTCATGTGGGTCAGTGTTGAATGCTTTACACAAGTCCAGGCAGATAACATCAACTGCACTACCCCTGTCCACAGCCCCATCATAGAAGGCCACCAAATGGGTCAGGCAGGATTTCCCCTTAGGGAAGCCATGCTGGCCGTCACCAACCACCTTGTTGTTTTTCATGTGCCTTAGCATGCTTTCCACGAGAAGCTGATCCAGGATTTTGCGAGGCACAGAGGTGAGACTGACTGGTCTGTAGTTCCCTGGGTCATTGGTTTTCCTCTTCTTGAAAATGGGGGTTATATTTCCCTTTTTCCAGTTGTCGGGAGCTTCACCTGACTGCCACGATTTTTCAAATATGATGGACAGTGGCTTAGCAACTTCATTTGCCAGCTCCTTCAGGACCCGCGGATGGATTCCATCAGGTCCCATGGACTTGTGCATGTTCAAGTTCTTAAGATGGTCTTGAACCAGATGCTCTCCTACAGTGGGCCTAGGGTCTTCATTCTCACAGTCCCTGCATCTACCTTCCAGGACTTGAGTGGTGTGGTCAGAGCCTTTGCCAGTGAAAACTGAGGCAAAGAAGTCATTAAGAACCTGAGCCTTCTCCAAATCCAGGGTAGCCAGTTCTCTTGATAGCTTCCAGAGAGGGCCCACATTGTCCTTAGCCTGTCTTTTATTTGCAATGTAACTACAGAATCCCTTCCTGTTATCTGTCACATCCTTAGCCAAGTTTAATTATAACTGGGCCTTAGCTTTCCTAACCTGGTCCCTAGCTGCCCAGACAACATCCCTGTATTCTTCCCAGGCCGCCTATCCTTGCTTTCACCTTTCATAAGCCTCCTTTTTCTCTTGACGTTTCCTCAGCAAACACTGGGAAGATGGGGCAGAAGCACAGCTTGGGGTATTTGGGGTTTATTTCAGAAGTGAACTAGTATTTTAAAACTAGTTTATAACGAGAACATGCTCTGTTGAAAACCAGACCATCCTGCTGAAAACCTGACCATCAAAACTTAGCCAAAGATCTGGCTGGGCCATGGCCCTGCACTAGTTCTCATGGGACAGGACAGGTCCTCAAATTACCACTGGATTGCGGTGCTATCAGACAGTGAAGTATAGAAAGCTACTCCCTGTTTCAAAGTAGTCTTTGAACAATTTGGGTAAAAGCAACTTAGTTAATTAAAAATCAAACCTCAGGTTGGTAATTTCACACATATTACCCCGCTTTGGTAAGAGACCACTATTTACCATGCACATAAAGGCACAGCATAAGCCCTGACACTAGCATTGCTGATGAACAAAGTGCAATAATAACTTCTGATCTCTTCAAGAACTGAACCTATTTTATTCATTGAGTGAACCTAATCAATACTTAACATATTCAGTGGCAACAATAAGAACTGCATAAGCTGTAGACCAAAACCTTCGCAATTATTACTGTTGTACTTTTACCTAAAAATAAAAAAGGACTTGGGCAAAGCACAATTCAGTATTTAAAAATACAAAAAAAAAAAAAAAAAAGCACTCTACTTTCCTCAACCCAAGTTCAGAAAAATCATTATATCTACTCTGAAACATGAGCCTAGACAACTCCTTTAGCAAGTACAGAGAGTTTTGCTGAAACAAGTATTTTTTCCCTTCCCTGATGTTAGCAGCCAGTCAGGATTCCAACCTAGTGCTGGTAGTGCTTTAGGGCATTTCATTTGTTTCAGTCTAGTTTAACATAGACACTTAAAACCTCATACATTACTGTATGGAAGTAAAAAGACTAAATTCATAAAACGCAAGTTCAGTAACTGAGGGCATGTATTTTTTTAAGTTTTGTTGTTACTGACAGAAGAACTGTATCTTTAAGCTACAAAGATGTCTCTTGATGTTTCTTCATATCACATGAATAATTCATACAGAAGCAAGGGGGAAAAAAAAGGGGGGGGGGGGAACCCCAAAGCTGAAAGCAGCAAAATAAGTGTTTTATAAGCTTTATTGCAACCAACAGCATTCACGCCTGCTTATATATTATTTGTAACTAAGAACTGTTCAAATGCTCTGCAACAATGTCAGAATGTTACAGTGCCCTTCAGCCAACACATTCCAAGTGACTGTGGATATCGTGATCCTCCTCAGTAATGCCTCTCAAGTGTCTCAGCATTACGTCAGTACAGAAAGCATCAGAGGGCTGCAACTTGTTTCTACACTAGCACAGAAACAACTTTACATTGTACTTCATAATGAGGCAGAAGCACCAAAGTCACTCCACAGACAGTTTCCTCCAAAACTATGCAGACCTGAAGGATCAGAGCTCTTCAAAAATATGAGTAGAACAATGATGCCCAAACACAGCAAACCTCTGAATAGGTTTCTTTTTAGAAGAAAAAAAAAAAAACGTGTAAAAGGGCATAGTATAAAGGAATCTGCACATCAGAGTTAAGACCAAGCCTTAAAGGAGAGCCAGCTGAGGCTCTCAAGGGTTACACAGAAAAACTATAAAGCAATGAGACAGTCACAAGATTTAACCTGACTAGCTGTCCTGGGTTTAACAGTGGCAGTCGTTTTTCTCTTTCTTGGTAGCTGGTGCAGTGCTGTGTTTTGACTTTTGGGCTGGGAACAGAGCTGATAAAAATGATGTTTTGGTTTGGCCAAGGACTTTGTGAGCCTCATGCTCTGCCAGGGAGGAGGGGAAGCCAGGAGGAAGCAGAGACAGGACACCTGACTCAAACTGACCAAAGAGGTATTCCATACCAGAGCACGTCATGCCCAGGATGTAACTGGGAGTTACCCGGAAGGACAGGGGGTCTGCTGGGTCAGACTCGTTGTTCGGCACATGGTATTGCACTCTTTTCCCTTGCTATTATCTCTTATTGTTGTTAGTGGTGGTAGCGGTGGTGATTTGTGTTGTACATTGGTTGCTAGACTGTTCTTAACTCAGCCCGTGGCAGTTGCATTCTTTCGATTGTCCTCCCCATCCCTCTGGGAGCAGGGAAGGGGGGGCAGCCCCTGGGGAGGCGGGGGGGAATGTGGGCCTCGACTGCTTCCAGCCTGGCACCACTCACTGGGAGTGAGTGCACAAGCTGTCTGGCTGGGGTTAAGCCATGACACTAGCACAGAGCTGTACGTAATAAAGAAGCAATGAAATAGTGGCTCTGGCTTGTTAGACAGAAATTAAGAGTAAACAATATTTTTAATTCACAGAAGACAAGCCAACAAACTTAGCTGAGTAAAAGCTTGATTCAACACACAGAGCATGATAGGAACGACGATCTTCAGCTGTATCGTGCAGCCTATATAAATCTGACTTACAGTAAAGTAAGCACAGATGTAAGTAGAAAACAGTACTACGAAAATACTCTTCACCTTACATCACCTACCTTTACATAAAGCTATTGCTCCATCTGCTGTTTCTATGCTGAACAGCACTTCAGGAAAAAAGCTTTTCTGCCTATTAGAACACATGATTTTGTAGTTTGGTATTGACTTTGGGCTGCTAATATAAAGTTATAACTGCTGATCCCTCGGATTCAGACACCATCATTCATGCATTACACAGCAGAAAACATGCTCCTTACCTTCCACCTGACCAGTCTGTGGCTGTGTGCCAGGGTACGGTGGCTGGTGTGCCTGAACCCCAGGTGGGTGGGCTGCAGAAGAGGAAGAAGTGATGCTGTCCGGTGTTCCCGATCTCTCTTCTGCAGGGGCACTTGGTGGTCCTAGAGGCACAAGGACAACATACAGCACTTCAAACTAACAAAGTTTGAATTAAAACTCTTGCACAAGACCATTACTTTGCAAAGTTTTCAACAATTTTTTTTCAGTTTTCCATAGATTTCCATCTGAGAGTCACACCCAAGCTAGAACTGCACACATATTTGCAACACCTAAACTCTCCTGTGAATATATGGGAGGGAATTTTCAACCTGTCTTTAGGCAACTCAAGTTTCATCCTTCCAAGGAACCTGACCCATCTGTGGGATAAACCCCTCCATAACATGCTTCTTCCACTGCTTCAAGCATTAACCTTGCATATGTCAACTGAAGACTTGCTACGTTTGGACAGCACATGCACCTACGTACCTATTCTTTCTCATCTGGAGCAAAGGTGAAAGGCTGTGTGAAACTGTTCGAATGCACTAGAGTTTTACTGTGGTCCACACGGATCTTCCCAGCTCCTAGCTACATGAATGCTACCTATGAGACGCTACTTTAAAATACATGCCTAAAGTTAAACACAAGCATTAGAATTGCTGCAAGTTCACTTTTAAGAGCATTATATTTACATAATATAAATACGCATCCAACAAGCCATTAATTGTGTTTTCATGGTACCCTTATCAGGGAGAAAAGGAATCAAATCTGCCTACTTCTGGTTTTGCCTTTATATATATAACTGCAGGATTATAGCTTTAGAAATGGGATTTCTTATATCCTGCTTAATTAATCCTCTGTGAAGCTCTTTGCACATTTGAAGCATGGTCAAGCCCACTCAATCAGAAAAATTTATGAAGACACATAAACACTGAAGCTGTGATCAAAGCATGAAGTGACACTGAGGCTTTATAACAAGACAAAGCCACTCCTTCAACAGTAAGCTCCAGTTTTACACTAGTTGTACTGAATGCTTTACTCCATCACTTCGTTGTTCAGAGACAACCCAGTGTAAGTTATCAAAAAACATCAAACCTTTACCTGGTTTGCGAAATAACTGTGCTGTGACAATACAAAATATGTGCCATGGAGGAACAGATCATGCAATAAGCCTGATCCACAGACCAGTACCCCTGTCTGAAGACAGCCAGTCTGTCTGTGGGTACAACTTTGGATCCTGCACAGCTGTAATCACACAGTGCAGATGCTTTCCTATCACCCCACACTTTTGTCAAGGCAGCTATACTGTAGAAACAAGCTCCAGTTGCTATTCCTTTACCCACCTGCATCGTTACCTCATCCATCACACAAAATTTACTTGCTCTAAAGCTGAGAGTACACAGCACATCCCATTAGCTAAAAGCAGTTTTATCTTCAGGTTTCAATGCTACACTGAACTTTGCCAGACCCATAGATTCTCTGAAAAGTCACTTCTCTATATTCTGCATCACTCCCAATTATATTCTACATTGCTTTTTTAACTTCAGTTATCCTGTCTTAAGTTGACTGCATTCAGTTTAGTGTAATCAGTTTTTCTATGTTTAGTATTCTACTACTAGGTAGGGCCAGCAGTCATGCAGCTCTTCAAGAATAAATGCAGTTCAGATAAGTATATTATTCCTTTTTGTTAACAGTAAAAAAGTTAACACTATTTACTTTTGAAATGGAACAGAGAAAAGGCAAGGTCATACAAAACATTCCAACTGACCCACACAGCAAAACACAAGCCAAGAAAATGAACTGTAAGGTCAAACCCAAAGCAGAGCAGTGGATACTCTTTTCCTATCACTGGCAGATACAAGTTAAATTAGTCTACACAATAAATTTAAATAAGTATTTATACTTTTTTAGTAAAATAAGTAAGCCATTTTCTACTCCAAGCTAAAGCACACTGCTAGAAACAAAAGCAACATTTCAACATTTTCTATACAAGTTAGCAAACACAGTTAAAACACCTTAACATACCAAGTTTTGGAATTCTGAGAAGAAACAGCAAATACTGAAGACAGCTTAATATACCCAAAATAAAATGCTTTGTTGCAAATCAAGATTGAAGTCACTGATTACAAACAGGTTTTGCTTTCCTTTTTGTAAGACATATTCTTACCTGACACCTGATCATCTGTCAAGCCAAATGCTGACATGACATTCTTGCTGATTTCATCCTGGTTCTTCAGCGGATCAAATGCAGACATGCTTGCCGCTATGACTTGAGTAGATGGCTTAACACTAGAGTCAGCAGCAGCAGGCTTTTCCTCCCTCCCATCTACAGCATCTACAAAACAAAATGTCCCGTTATTAATTCCCAAGATCTGAAATACAATCATATATATGCACTGTACTACAGCAACTTTGAATTGCATAGTTTGGGGGGTGAGGGAATATTTTAACTTTTGAAATGATTATGTTAATAAAATAGTGATGAATCAATGTTGTATCTCAAACTGTGCTGAATCAGAGAGTTTAAGTTTCATTACACAGTTACTTGAAGATACACTGACACTGCAGAGTATCAGTATCTTGTATCACCCTCAATTCAAAGATACAAGGTTCCTGCTTCAAACATATTGTTGTGGTACGTCCTGCCTACAGGGAATTCAAAATTAAGATAACTTATAGTATACGTTCTAGTTTATTATATCAGTTTTTTTTCTTCTATCCTCTTCTCCCTGAATTCTTCCTAAACTGACAGGTAAAGTTTATCATTTTGCAATTGTACACCTAGCAGTGAAGCACTCAGAAACCCCTTACGTAGTAGGGTGCCACATTTTCTCTTAAAAACAAGTGCAGAGAGGGTTTAGACTGACTAGCTTTGTTTACACTCTAAAATACAAAAGCAGTGTTTCCCAAAAGGAAGGTTGGAGTTCTTGGTTTGCCTCTTTACTCAGAATGCTGTACTCCATGACTTTGTGTCATTATTTTTTGTGCCCAGATTACCCAGAATCTGTAGCTAAGCACACAGAGGTACAGTGTTTACAGTACAACAGCCCGAAACTAGGAGATCAGTGTCTCATAACTGGAAGAATCCTCTCCCATTCTGCTCTCTCCCTATAAGCCCTTCCCATCCCTACCTGCACACTTGTGCTCCTTACCCTGAGTCAGCTATGATGCAGGTTTGAGCTCAAAATATGTGGATTCAATTTCCTAATCTGGCAAAGAAAGTAGATACATTCTTCGCCGAAGTCACTTTTTACTGTTTTAGTGAATCAAACTCTCTCAGCAACCTGACAAGATTAAGCACCACAGCTAGCCCAGAGTAAGCAGTGGGAGTGCTAAGCTGGGAGCAAGAACTTTTCAGCAACAACCTATTAATTCAGCTCAAAGGTCTCTCAAAATGTTGTTGTGACTCAAAAGTGTTAGTTAAAGCATTTTCATACATGGCACAGAAACTCAAGACTTTAGTTTTATTCCCAAATTAGCTTAGTGCTTTACTCAGATAATCTGTATAAAAATTCTGTCTCTCAAATAGAAAGCATTAAAAATTATGTTCTGAACCATCAAGCAACAATTACAAATTATCACAACCAATATTCAAGACTCCATTTTTTACTTTGTTAAAAAGCACCCAACTCTGCAAATCAAACCAAACAATGCTTTGCCAGGCTACCTACCACTGTCAGGCAGGTTAGTGGAAAGGCCTGGTTCAGCTGGTGGTTCTAAACAGTCCAGTAAGCGATTGACTTTATTGCGAAGTTCTATCAGCTCTCGACGCAAGTGTTTCACCTGATTAGATTCTAAGGGTCTTGGTTGTCCATTCACTGCAAAACAGCAATTAGATAAATTTAAGTCTGCAGTAATATTTTGAAATCCAGTTAATTAAAAAAAAAATAATAATAAATCCCAACTTCTACTTGCTTGTAGCATCATCATCCTCCGTGGAGTTTAAAGTGACAAACTTTAAAGTTTAGTCAACACAGACTGAACTCTTTCTGGAGTTTACTGTTCCTTTAATATTATCTCAGTTGAGCATAATCCCCAGTACCAGAACTGCAGAGTAAAGTTTTCTGCATTGTTTCCTTATTTCCAGGAACATACCCTGACCAGTGCAAATATTATACTTGGTTGTGGAAAGCTGTCCCTTTAGAAAGTGCCTTTAGAATTAATGTAAAGTAAACACAACTGCTGCAGTTCATGAATAAATTAATAGCTGCTTGCTATTCCTTGAAACTATATGCTAATTTACCAACAGTAGCTTGAAAATAAAGGACTATTTTATACAAAGGCTGACGGATAAATATTGAAGTCTATTCAGCTTTAAGCAATTAACGTTAGTTTTTAGCAGTGTACTAATAACACTGCAGAATGACCATCATCTTAGATTTCTCACGCACCTGTGAAGAAAACATCACAAATGCTAGAGTGGGGTTAATGTGGAAAATAACATTAAGAAAAAAACACTATGAGTATGTGTGTGTGTGTGTGTGTGTGTGTGTGTATATAACATGCATATAACATACTTTAAGTAAGCTTATAAAGAGAATAGTTTCAGTTTCCTTAAGTTCAGATGTCATATGAGAGAAATGAATATCATGTATTAAGACCATATTTTTAATTTACTGATTTTATTTTTCTAAGGTGAAAGCTGAAAGTTTTTAGTATCTTCCAGTGAAGTCCCCTGCCAGAATTTTAATAAACATTATTAAAAGAAAAGACAAGCACCTATACTTACCAAACAATGTCAGCTTAAGTATCCTACTGCATTGAATTGCAAAGGAAAGATCTGAGCTATCAAAAATTGTTATAAGATCTCCATCTGAAAAGAACATGAAAAAAGTTACATTAAAAAGCAAAGCCTTTTAACTACTGACCTTCATGGTAGGGCAGAGGTGTTACTTCATTACTGAAAAATAACTTTCCCTATTTGATTCTGAAGTTACTAGGAAAAAAGTTTATTATTTCAGCCCAAAAATCAGTGTGCTGGGAACTTATGCACAGAAGGTAAGACAGAAGCATGACTGGCTAGAAAAGGGAGTCTTCTGACATTATCCGTTTGAAAATTTCATAGAACTCACCATTCTTGTCTGTTTACATACAGGATGAAACAGTGGAGCTACAAGTTTGCATAGTCCAACACCAGAAAGAATGATGCTGCCAGTTAAGTTATATGCCTGCTCCAACTGGCTCCAAAACTGTGCTGCTCATGTACAGACAGGAGGAGGCTGAAGGTATACGGCACAAAGCAATCCCAATTCAATTTTTAAAATACGAAACACACACACTATCAAGGGAAAATTTTAAGTGACTAGAACATTTTACCAGGTTTTACTCAGAACACTGAGGTGCAAGACTGAATTTTAACATGGGAATGATAGTAAAGTTCCAGTGTAAAAACGTACAGTAGAAATATCTATCAGCTTTACACACAAATAGGAATGAAGACATGAAGATGTCAAAGTAGCCAGAATAAAACTTTTCTCTCAAACCAGGAATCTGACATGAAGCCTCAACACTTAGTCATTTATTTTTGTGTGCCAGGTTTCAGAGGAAGTCCCATACCAATGCATCCTAATGAATGTGCACATTGCCATCAGTCACAGGAACTGTATTAGAACTGTATGGGATCCTTTATTCTTAAGATATAAAGGGTTATGCATAAGGCACTGAATACCTTTAATACTATTAATACCCAAAAGAGACACCAAACTCCCATTAAGCCTGGTCTTTGACAATTTTCATACTCAGTCAAGACAAATCTACATTAACATCTTTACTTACTCAACAAGATTACAGATAAAACAAGACTATTCTCCTTGGCAGGACAGATTTTCTACTGGTTTAATATATGCAACAGATTATTAATAGATTAAATGAAGACAAATTAAGCAGCACAAGGGAAAGAGTGGGAAAGCGTTATGAGGAAAACATGTGCAGGCATGTAAATATGGAAAAGAGAAGGGACAGCAGGACCACTTCCTTCCGGCTTGGTGACTGGAAACTGAGATGAGACCCTATCTAGTGAAGCTTCACGTTCAGAAGCAACAGTGTTAGATGACACATAGCCTGGAATAAAGCTGACTTCGAGCTTCAAATGTTCCTCTCTAAAACATTGTTAACAGGAGGCTTTGTAGACAGACACAGAAATATGTTTTTAATTACGAGTTACTGCCTGAAAATTCTGAGCTATTCCTTATGGTGACAAAGCTTCAACTGTGTAAACGTTATAGTCAAAGTTTTCAAATAAACGAATGCTTCAGTACAAATAGCCATAACACACATGATAGCAAGCTGAAAAAAAAAAAAGCTTTATCTCCTTCATATTTCTTTTTTCTTTTTTTCTTTCCCTATTTCATTTGGGGAAAAACAAAGAATACAAAAATACCCACTGCCAAAAATGTAGTTTTCCTTCACCTTGGTAAGTTTACCAAAGGTAGAGACATTACTGATTAGCCATATGTGTTAATAACTCATTATTAACTCTGAGACAAAGGCACCAACTTCTACAGCAAGGTGATCAAGAACAAGAATGAACAGGCCAACCACGCATTAGGCACTAGCTTGAAATTCAAGCCTAACTTTACTTTTCAGTAAAGTTTCTATTATTAGCTCCATAGGGCCTTTAATATATGTAACTCAGTAACATGGTGTGCTTAAGATGCAGTTCTACTCTGATTCATGTAAATCCACTGCTGGCAGTCCTCAGTGGTTTGCTTGGGTTTGGGTTTTTTTTCAGACATCAGGTTTTACTACATACTCAAGAACCTTAAGCAGTACATGAAAATGTTTTCACACCTAGGAGAGCAATTTCCTTAATGCAGAAGTCTGAAAGATGCCCAACTTGAACATAAAATCTAACTCTACAAGGCAATGATCTAACACAAATTTCTTTTCCATAGTAACTAATAACAGTGTCATGTAACCTAAATATAACTTAAGAATATGCTTCCAACTATCTCAGACTACAAATCCAGAGACAAAAGGATTGGGATTTAAAGTTTTCTAGCCTTGCCAATTAAGCATACAATTTTGGAGAAGAAAAACAAAAAAAAAAAATAGAGGCCAGGAGGGATAGATGAAGCATTCTTCTAAACACCTAAAGAGTGCACACATGAATTCTGTGAAGACTCAGATCAACATTGTAGAAATAGTGGAAATCCTTAGACCACCTTAAAGTATCTCCTCACAACAGATGAGGACAGACATTTCTCCAGGTGTGGAGGGATAAATAACAAAACAGAAATAGCTACAATGTATACATTTCAATGCTTCTAACAACTGAAGTAGATTTAAAGAAGAATCTTGTATTACTTGAAACAAAGTCAAGAATACCAGAGTCCTCATCTGGAGGTCAAACTGAAGCCTAGTTCTGTTAACTTTTTCCCTAATCACTTGCAACTTCCTCTGGTAGTAACAACGTTTAAACCTTCTTAGTAGTGATGATAAGCCAGGATAACATACACTGAAATTTCACGTCTCAGTGGAGAAGTAGCACATTCTGAGAAAGCTAAGATTAACAGTAGGAGGTCTCTAGGCTGTGAAAGACAACAGAAGAATGAAACCATAGTGGGGTATGATGGAGACTGTAATTATCTTCTTCAAAAGAAGACAGAGACAGAAGTATACACAAAAAACAGAGAACTATACTTAAAGAACAGGAATTAGAAGCTTTAACCAAATGAAAAAGCCCCCATCTATTTACTTTCACTTTTCCTCGTTCCAGAAAGAAAAAAGGAATTGATAATGTGGTAAGAAAACCAATACTACCACAAATCCACTGAGCTGTCTCCCACTAGCAATCAGGACCCAAAATATTAGCTCTTCACTGCATATCAATTTTGTTGAGCAGTGTTTCCCTAAAGCTTCATGAACCCAAAAAAACTGTCTCAAGAGTCACTCAAAGTGAAATTTTATAGCCTAGATGTATGAACAAAAGTTATTTAAGGACCACAGTCAGTGCTATTAAGAACCTGAATGCTTCAGTAATGTAGCTTTTTTACTGTACACCAGCAGAATCTTCACACAGCCTTTGAACTGACTAAAAGACTGGGGATGTTATTACTTCTTTCTGACTTTCATTTTATGAATATCACCCTTCTGACATTCCAAGATGAAAACCCTCCATCTACAATTCTCTTTCTACACATCTCAAACAAGGCCCTTTTCATTCTGTGGAAGCTCTTCTTAAGGTTGCATTTAACACTAATGATCAAGATTTTCTTTGCAACAGCCAGTGTCCAATAGATTCAAACATTATTTAAGCAAAAGATTATTTTTACTAAATATTTCAGGTTAAAAGTGTCTTGTAATCTTTACTGATGGGGAAAAATGTAATTATGAATTACTACTACAGAAGTGAAGTTTTCCAAGACTTGTAAGAGCTTGCTTTAAGTCATATGTGTTTATTCCCTCCTCTACTTCAAACCCACTTTACCATTGAAAACACAAGAGAATGAGTAGGCAGAAAACTGTGATTGCACTGGCTTCCTGTAACAGAAAAAAAAAAAAAAAAAAAAAAACAACTTTCAGATAGTATTTCCTCCATTATTTCTGAAAGATCAGCTATGTTAAGACAGCATAACCACGAGAAATACAGCTTCTATTGTCTGACTCAAAGAATTTCACAAGAAATCACTTGCAATTGCCAGTGAATTTGGACAATTCTAAAGAGGTGAATTTCAGAGTTTCTGTCCATAGATTGTACTACAGCAAGAGAAGTAATTAAACTTTAACAGCAGCAATCAAGTATTACCTTCATCTTTGTATTTTATTGTGACTTCGTCATTGCTCAGAAGTTTTCCTCTAAAAACTCTCTGCATCATCAGCACCAATTCATCATAGGTGATATCTTCATTATGAATAGGAATTCTCCTAATATCTTCCCCAAGCTGAGCTTTGATGATCAGCTTCCCACTTAAATCCAGCTGCCCATTCATGATGAATTCCTTATCACCTGCAGACCTGTTAACAATAAAACATTAAAAGCATTTTAGAAAACTAAACAGTTCATTATTTAAATGTATCTGATGACAATTATGAAGCTTTTCATCTTTGGAAAGCATTACTGTTAGGAAGCTCTCCAGAGAACCCCTCTCAGACACATTCTATGATGCACGAATTTCTCAAACAATAAAGTGCGTAATACTTAAACTGAGCTCAAAGGCAAAGAACAACTCTAAGATCCAACACATCAAATGAACAGCTATTGCAGTTCCCAGTGCTCAGAATTTAAGAATAAAGATTTTTTTTAAGTCATACAGCTTTAAAATGTGTGTGATATCTAGAAATTTCACACTTGGGTGGGTTTTTCTGTAAGGTATCAGCTGTAAACTGTCATGAAAAACACCTATAAAGGAACTAATAATGCCTGGGATTTGCTTTTGAGATACATGCATACATCTCTTATGGGAAAAGCAAAATTCCAGCAAAAGATGTCAGCCTTGCAACATTATATCGGTTACATTACCAAATCTTCAAGTTATTTTTACATTCCCCATAATTATGACAACCAGCAAAGGGTGCATTATTTTTTTCTCATTTAAGAAAAGACTGCCATAATAAAATCTTTTATGTCAATGATTACAGGTAGTAAGGAGGCTTTACTAAGGGAATGAAGTTGAATCATGCACTATTTCATGAACAAATAAATGAAGAGCTAAACGTTGGTTTATTATAAACATGATTAGAACACATTGAGGATTCCTCCCCTGAAAGGAAGATGATAAAATTTTTCCTTTCTTTGAAATTTTGACTGAGATGTTTTAACAAAGATTTTAGATTTTTAAAAGCTGCTTAATAAACCACGTATTAGCTACTCATTAGACTCGGAGCCACAGATTTGTTATGCAAGTAGTCTGAACAGCCATTTACACTCTGTGGTTTAAGAGAGGTGGACAACCTCCCCAAATGAACTGCAAAAAAGCCATCTTGTACCAAAGCAGCACTTCACAGTTATACCTTTAACACTTTATGTAAGACAATTTAAAAATTATCATGTTGTACAAGGCATCCCTCTTGTTAAAAAAAAACAAAGACCGTATGTTAAAAGAAAACCAGAAACTGCAGAGAAGTTACTTAGCAGAGGAATGAAAAAAAAATAAAAAACACACATGGATAGCTAGTCAAATGTCCACTTTGCTGTTTTGGACAGGGAGAAAACAATAGACCTGAAATAAGGAGCAATTAAAGAAGCAGTTATCATAACATCTGAAGCACAAATATTGGAGCTCTTAACTGCAGGCAGCCCTACACATCAAAACTGGCATTTCCAAAGCCACATGCAGGCAAACATGCTGTTCGCTCTCTTGCACAAGAAGAATTCTTGGTAGAGGTATGTAGGTATCTCTCGCCTACCTTTAACAATGTTGTAACAGTGCTTTATGAGAAAACTGAATTCTGCTTTGTCAGTCTATTTTTAAAGTACTGAAAATTACTTCTTTCCTACCAGAGAAATAAGACACTCAGCTAAAGCCTTTAATACATCATACATTGATGCATCTGTATATATTTAACTCTGCTGTTAATGATGGCAACGTTTTGCATTAAAAAGACGTAGTATGATATTACCTCTAGACTGCAATTCAATTTCTAGGGGTTTTGATAATGAACTTAATATAAAGCAAACATTTAATGCAAATCTCTTTGTTTAGCCTAATGGCATCTGTCCTGGTTTAAGCCCAGCTGGCAACCCAGAACCACGCAGCCACTCGTTCACTCCCTCCCCTTCCTTCCCCCACTCCCAGATGGATGGGAAGGAGAATAGAAAGAATTCCCACAGGTTGAGATAAGAACAGTTCAGTAACTAACGTATAACACAAAACCACTACTGCTATCACCAATAATAATAATATTGGTAAGGGAAATAACAAGGGAAGAGAATACAACCGCTCACCACCTGCCGATACCCAGCCCAACCCAAGCAGGGATCTAGCCCTTCTGGGTAACTACCCCAGTTTATATACTGGGCATGATGTGCTGTGGTATGGAATACCTCTTTGGTTAGTTTGATTCAGGTGTCCTGTTTCCGCTTCCTCCTGGCTTCCCCTCCGCCCTGGCAGAACATGAGACTCAGAAAAGTCCTTGGTCAAAGTAAACATTACTAAGCAACAACTGAAAACATCGGTGTTATCAGCGTTGTTCCCAGGCTTAAAGTCAAAAACACAGCACTGCACCAGCTACTAAGACTGAGAAAAATGACTGCTACTGCTGAACCCAGGACAGTATCCACCCCTTATTCCATACCATTCACATCATGCTCAGATCCCACATTTTTCATGTACTATCACTCTTGTCTCATAAATATATATACATCCACACACACGTACAGAGATATCATTCCTTAGTGCATGGACAAATCCCTATAAAGTTGCTGAGTTCATCCAGTCCATGGTGTCAAGCTCCATCTCTTTTAACAATCTCTCAGAGAAGGACAGACAGCGCGCAGTGTTGGACTGCTGCCTGCTGATGGCACCGTGGAACTCATCTGGTCACTGCTGAGCTCATCTGGTTTCGTCAAAGCTCATTCTTTGCTGGAATGATGGTCGGAGGGAAGTCAGGGCCAATCACTGGTGACCTGAAGACATCTAGTTGGTGGGCTATAGAAGTGCTACATAGCAGGCAACAGCATACAATTGGGTTCATTGGCTGTTTTCCCCTAAAATCAAATCCCCTTAAGGTACACATCAGACTTCCCCCTCTTCCCACATTACCCACCAAGTACATAAAGGTCCCTGAGCAAAAGCAGTACGAGTTGGCTTGCCTTTACCTGAAGGAGGAATAACCCAGACTGTCTTCCCCAGCAAATTCTTTATGCTCACCATACCATCCCCCTCTACAGTTCTTACTGGGCTGGGCTGGGGCAGCCCTGTTGACAGATCCTCTGGTGTTGACCAACCAGGTGGCTTTTTGGTAAACCTGTATCCCAGTGTTTGAAAGTTCCACTACCTGTTGCTCTCAGCCCATTGTACGTTCAAATTTCCCAGAGGCTAGTGCATGGTAGAGGATATGATATACTCACTCAATGCCATGCTCTTTGGCCCAAGTGTCTATCAGGTTGTTCCGGAAATGAGTCCCATTGTCTGACTCAGCTCTCTCTGGGGTGCTGTGTTGCCACAAAATCTGTTTCTTACGGCCCAGGATAGTGTCTTGGGCAGTGGCATGGGGCACAGCATATGTCTCTAGCCATCCGGTGGTTGCTTTCACCATGGTGAGCACATGGTGCTTGCCTTGGTGGGTTGGTGGGAGTGTGATATAATCAATATGCCAGCCCTCCCAGTATTTGTACTTCAGCCATCATCCTCCATACCAAAGAGGCTTTAACCATTTGGCTTGCTTAATTGCAGCACATGTTTCACAGTTGTGAATAACCTGGTCTATAGTGTCCATTGTTAAGTCCACCCGTCAATCACAAGCCCATCTATAAGTTGCATCTCTGCCCTGATGGCCTGAAGTGTCATGGGCCCACCACCAGGCCACAACTAATTCACCCTTATGTTGCCAATCTAAGTCCATCTGAGCCACTTCAATCTTAGCAGCTTTATTCACCTGTTGGTTGTTCTGGTGCTCCTCAGTGGCCTGACTCTTGGATACATGAGCATCTGTGTGGCATACCTTCACCACCAGGTTCTGCACCTGGGCAGCAATATCTTGCCACAGTGCAGCAGCCCAGATACGTTTACCTCTGCATTGCCAGCTGCTCTGCTTCCATTGTGGCAACCACCCCCACAGGGCATTTGCCAGCATCCATGAGTCAGCACAGTGATAAAAGTACTGGCCACTTTTCTCGTTCAGCAGTGTTCAGGGCCAGCTGGCTCTAATCTCAGCTTTGGCCTCGGTCAAACTGACTTTGGATGGCTTTGACCTTGGCAAACTGACTCAATTCACCCTCTCCTTCAGCAGTTTCTGCAACTTGTCATTGAGGACTCCATACAGCTGCCTTCCATCTCTGATGCTTTCCCACAATATAGCAGGACCCATCAGTAAACAAGGCATACTGCTTTTCACTTTCTGACAGTTGATTATATGGTGAGGCCTCTTCAACAAGCATCACTTCCTCCTCTGGTGATATTCCGAAATCTCTGCCCTCAGGCCAGTCCATGATGACCTCTAGAATTCCTGGACAACTGGGATTTCCTATTTGAGCTCATTGTGTAATTAGTGCAGCCCACCTACTCCATGTAGCATCAGTTGCATGATGTGTAGAGACCCTGCCTTTGAGCATCCAGCCCAGCACGGACAACCAGGGTGCCAGGAGAAGCTGTGCTTCAGTGCCAATCACTTCTGAAGCAGCTCTAACCCCTCCATAGGCTGCCAGTATCTCTTGCTCAGCTGGGGTATAGCTGGCCTCAGATCCTCTGTATCCCCAACTCCAAAAGCCAAGTGGTCAACCTCAAGTCTCCCCTGGAGCTTTCTGCCAGAGGCTCCAGGTAGGACCATTATCCCCAGCTGCAGTGTAGAGTACATTGTTTACATCTGGCCCGGTCTGGACTGGTCCAAGGGCTCCTGCATGAACTGTATCTCATTTAATTTGTTCAAAGGCTTGCTGCTCAGGGCCCCATTTAAATTCACTCTTCTTCCAGGTCACATGATAGAGAGGGCTTACAATCGAACTGTAATTTGAGATGTGCATTCACCAGAACCCCACAACACCTAAGAAAGCTTGCATTTCTTTCCGATTAGTTGGTGGAGACATTGCTGTTATCTTGTTGATCATCTGTGGGGATATGGCGATACCCATCTTGCCATTTTATTCCCCAAAACTGAATCTCCTGTGGAGGTTCCTTTACCTTACTCCATTTTATGGCAAAAACAGCTTTCAGCAGGGTTTGGATTACTGTCCTCCTTTTCTCAAAAACTTCTTCCGCTGTATCGCCCCCCACGCCTGCACTCTGCTGCCAAAGGAATTGAGAAAAATGCATTGGCAGTATCAGTTGTGGCATACCACTTGGCTGCCTTTGACTCCAGTTCATACTGAAGTTCTAGCATGTCCGGTATGGCAGCTCTCAATGGTGGTGTGACTTCATTCAGGCCACAATAGTCTGCTGTTAGTCTCCCCACTCTGTTAGGCTTTTGCATTGGCCATATGGGGCTACTAAAGGGTGAGCAAGTCCTACTGATCATTCCTTCGCTCTCCAGTCTACAGATCAGCTTATAGATGGGAATGATGGAGTCTCGGCTGGTGCAATATTGCCACCGGTGCACTGTTGTGGTCGCGATTGGCACTTGCTGTTCTTCAATCTTCAGCAACCCCACAACAGAAGGATCCTCTGAGAGACTAGGTAAGGTGGACAGCTGCTTAATTTCCTCTGACTCCAAAGCAGCAATACCAAAAGCCCGTCGGTACCCTTTTGGGTCTTTGAAGTACCCTCTCCTGAGTCAGTCTATGCCAAGGATTGCATGGAGCCTCTGAGCAGTCACAACGGGGTGCTTTTCCCACTTTCTCCCAGTCAGGCTGATTTCAGCCTCCAGTACAGTCAATTCTTGGGATGCTCTTGTCAATCCAGAAATACAGATGGGTTCCACCCCTTGACAGCTTGATGGCATCAGGGTACACTGTGCACCGGTATCTACTAGAGCCTTATATTTCTGTGGGACTGATGTGCCAGGCCATCTGATCCACACAGTCCAGTAAATTCGACTGTCCCCTACCTCCACATGGCTGGAGGCAGGGCCCCTCTAATAGTGATCACAACATTGGACACTTACATCTTGTAGAAAGGGATTAGTCTTCTTTATCACAGGAGCTGGAGTAAAATCAGCTCTTTCACTCCATCTGGGAACCTGCTTACCAGAGACTGAAGCCACAGCTTTCATGTGATGAACATCCTTGACCTTTGTTCCCCTCCTCAATTCATGCACCCGTTCCTCCAGAGCTGAGGTAGGTTTTCCATCCCACTTCCTCATGTCTTCGCCATGACTCCACAGGTAAAACCATAGGGTGGCCCATGGCATATACCTTCTATATCTTCTCTCTCAAGCAGTAGGACGCCTTTTGTTAATAGCTGAGACATGGGCTGGTACACGTGGGGAGCTGCGTAGGTCGGATAGATCAACTCTCAATTGCTTGAGGTTCTGGGACAGCTTTTCCACAGCTGAAATGATGGAAGGGGTTAGACTGTCTTCAAACTCTCGGAGTTGACAAATGATTTCATCCACTTGCTGGTGCTACGTCATTCCAGGTTATTGCTGCCAATGAGTGGGCATATGATGACGGTGCATTCTGTGTAAATTTCCGCCACATGGGTCGTGTACATTCAACTTCATCTGGACCTGTGGGTGCCTTCCCGGCATCTGGCCTGTGACAGATCATCTCTACAATAGCTGATTCCCTTAGAGACTGGATGCATTTCTCTAGAGTAGGCCACTTGGCTGAACAACTCATAATATCATCCTTGTATGGAAACCTTTATCTCACAGCTGCCAAGGCTGCCTCCAAAGGCTGAGGGACTGTTTCTCTTTTGCAATTGCTCTGTCAATTCCCCCTTCCCTAGCAAGCGATCCCAGCTGCCTGGCTTCCCTACCTTCTAGTTTATGACCATCAGCCCCATTGTGCCAGCATCAGAGCAACCAGGAGATGATGTGCACCCCTGGTTGACAGGTAAAATCTTTTCGCATATTCCGTAGCTCAGTTGAGGTCCGGAGTCGAGAAGTCACCTGCTCTTCCTCTGATTCACATAATAATAACTCCTGATCAGATGCTGTCCCATGTAGTAAGTGCACTGTTTCTTCATCTTTCTTGCCTCTTTTTGCTTTTCCCCTTGCGTACAGGGGCAACTGATATTGGCACAGATTGGTTCTCTGGTTTAGCTACAGTGATTATCACTGTGGTTGTAGTGGCTGCAGTACCTGTTGTCTGGGTTTGGATAGCTGCTGTACTTGTCACTGGGGTTGGTGTAGTTGCTGTGCTTGGAATTGGATTAGCTGTGTTGTCTGTTGTAGTCAAGAGTTTGAGTAGCTGCTGTACTTGTCACTGGGGCTAGTGTAGCTGCTGTGCTTGGAGCTGGAGTAGCTGCAATGTTTGTTGTGGTCAGAGTTTGAGTAGCTGCTGTACTCGTTGCTGGGGTTGGTACAGTCGCTGTGCTTGGAATTGGATTAGCTGTGTTGTCTGTTGTAGTCAAGAGTTTGAGTAGCTGCTGTACTTGTCACTGGAGCTGGTGTAGCTGCTGTGCTTGGAGCTGGAGTAGCTGCAATGTTTGTTGTGGTCAGAGTTTGAGTAGCTGCTGTACTTGTTGCTGGGGTTGGTACAGTCGCTGTGCTTGGAGTTGGAGTAGCTGCATCATCTGAGTAGCTGCTGTATTTGGAGTTTTTGTAGCTGCTTTTCTGTTGCTTTGCCATCAGATCCAGAGACATTTTTTTCCCTTTGAAGGTGCTAGACAGTGTTGAACAGGGTTCTGTAAGATTAGTCCAAGCCCCAGGACGTTGACATGATTTGTCCCTCTCTGGTATGACCAGGATGACAACACACCTCATTTAAGTGTTTTACTAAATTTTTATGAATTTTGCACTTGTTCAGCAGTGAAGTTCCAGAGCACTGGAGGGGCCCACTGGCCTACATACTTGCCCATACTATCCCACACACCCTGCCACTCATGACTGTCCAGCCTCGGGGAAAATCTCTTGGTCCTCCTATATCGTCATCTAACCCTAGACAAGACTCAAACCCAACTCTGCTTAACTCTTGAAATCAAATGAAATGGTCATGGGTAAAACACACTCTGTATGTGTGCCAACATGCTGATTCCCATCGCAGTCAGCAGGCAGGTCTCAAGGGTACCCAAAGGCCATTCAAAACCTTCACAACTCTCAAAGGATGCTGTAATAGGCTGGTGGGGAGGCTGGGAATGTAAGGGATTATCTCCTTCATAGGCTGACCATCCGAGGAGGTGAAAAAAGATGTGTTATTGCTAAACACTTCCATTATATACCTCCCAAAGTATAGAGGTGATGACCACACTGGGAACGCAAGCCAGAACAGTTTCATGATCAGTGAGTCTGTTGTATTACAAGTCATTACTACAAAGTACAGTGAAGCAAGAAACTTAGCCCAGGCCCCTCAGCCTATAAACACTAAAACAGCAAATACCTTCTGTAAGGTACGGCATGCTGAAACTCCAAGATCAAGAGCAACAACTTTAAGAGTCAATAAATCAGCATTGTGATGAGTGACTATTAATCCGAAACAATGAATGCTTATCACAAATACGATTAGACGCACGCCGGTCAGATGTGTCATTATCTCAACCCTTTGCACCCACATTGGGCACCACAAAGAACTGTCATGGTTTAAGCCCAGCCAGCAACCCAGAACCACGCAGCAGCCTGCTTGCTCACTCCCTCCCCTTCCTCTCCCTGCTCCCAGAGGGATGAGGAGGAGAATCAAATGAATGTAACTCCCACGAGCTGAGATGACAACAGTCCAGTAACTAACATATAACACAAAACCACTACTGCTATCACCAATAGTAATAATGGAAAGGGAAATAACAAGGGAAGAGAACACAACTGCTCACCACTTGCCAATCGATGCCCAGCCCGACCCGAACAATGATCTAGCCCTTCTGGGTAATTTCCCCAATTTATATACTGGGCATGACGTGCTGTGGTATGGAATACCTCTTTGGTTAGTTTGGTTCAGGTGTCCTGTCTCTGCTTCCTCCCTACTTCCCCTCCTCCCTGGCAGAGCACGAGACTCACAAAGTCCTTGGTCAGAGTAAACATTACTTAGCAACAACTGAAAACATCGGTATTATCAGCCCTGTTCCCAGGCCAAAAGTCAAAACACAGCATTGCACCAGCTACTAAGAAGAAGAAAAAATGACTGCTACTGCTGAACCCAGGACAGTATCCAAAACAAGAGACATGCAACTATTGAACAAAACTCATTCTCCTAACCAGACAAAACAGAGGTAGGCAGATACAGTCTCATTGCAGAGAGAAAGGACCTACAATTAACACAGTCATGTTACTGAGACATTACAACAAAACAGTGAAGTTTATAGTATCATTAATAGTCGCTAATACATTATTCATGTTTTGCAACATAGGAGTATTGACTTCAGGCACATCAACTCAGTCTAATTAACACTAAGTTGGTAGTAAAAGCATAGGGCTTTGTATAAGTTTGTTTGTTGTTTTTTGTTGTTTTTTTTTTTTTAATTGAAAGCATTAAAAAGACAAAACAGCAGCCATAGACAGGTTTTCTTTCACCTCCTTTCCAAAAACATACATTTGCCATTACCTTGTCTGTCTTACTGATGCTGGATTATTGGACAGATTTTCCACCTCACTTCAGAACTGAGTTAGGATAAACCGCCATGCACTATCAGTGCCAGAAAACAGGAAGCTACATAAAAGTAAAAACAAAAAAAAATTTCACTTAAGTTCCTTAGAATTATACATTTAACATCATTCTTTCACCTTATTACATTGCAATGAATATACACGATTAAAAAGTCACTGTTTTATCCATAATGTAACAATCACATTTTGAGTAGCGTAGAGTTTGAAGTTTAAAACAGAGATCTTGAACAAGAGTTCATAATAGAAGCTTATTTTTTCTAAATTTTGTAATTGCATGTAGGAATTCCTAACAGTAAGGTGTCCCTTTATAGGACAATGCTCTTTGGCAGTCTCAAAATACTCATTTGTACAGCCTCCATCTTAAAACCCCAAGTTAAGAAAAATAAGCTTTCATTGATTTAGCAATACAAAAATCTGGAGTTCATTTCTTAGCTTAATGGTGAAGCATCTGAAGCATTAATTAGTGTGTCTCCAAGGAAAGTCTGAACAGAATTAAGACAAGAGGAAAGGAGTTAGTAATGCCACCTTCCCACAGGAAAAGCCACCAAACTGGGCAAGAAGGAAATGCAATCCAAAATACATAACCACTTTAAACTATGATCTACCCTGAAATCGGCTTGTATTTTTTCTGCTGGAAAGCCAATGTGATGAGCTGAAGTTTCTGCAATCCACCTCTTTACTACAAGTGTTTAATATCCATAACTATAAGACAATGATTTAGTAAAAAGAAGAGTCCAATGGAGAAGGTAATTGTGATCCTCCCTCCCAAACAAAAGGCAGTACTTGGCACTTTTCTCCTTGCCTCTCGTTTGCATACATGACATGATTTTAATCTCAAACATCCATGACATGATTTTTAGATCATTCACAGCAAAATTAAATCCCCTTGAGGTACACATTGGACTTCCCCATCTTCCCGCATTACCCACCAAGTATATCCAGGTCCCTGAGCAAAAGCAATCACATGAGTGCGTTTGTCATTATATTGTGCGGGTAAGCCTCACTGGATTTTGATTTTCCCAGAGGCTGGGGCATGGTAGGTGATGTGATATACTCACTCAATGCCATGCTCTTTGGCCCAAGTGTCTATAACGTTCAGGAAATGAGTAAACATTACTTAGCAACAACTAAAAACATCAGTGTTATCAGCGCTGTTCTCAGGCTGAAAGTCAAAATCACAGCACTGCACCAGCTAAGGAGAAAAATGACTGCTACTGCTGAAACCAGGACAGTATCCACCCCTTATTCCATACCATTCGTGTCATGCTCAGATCCCACATTTTCAATATACCATCACTCTTGTCTCATATATATAATCAAAGAAGAAAAGTAAGTTCCTCTCATCCACATTAAACTGGCCTTCCCAGCTCTCCTCTTTCAACTTAACTGGAAGTAAACTGGGACAAATACATGACATAGAAGATCCATGACATACAAGACAGATACATGACATACAAGACAAGCAAAACCCAGAGAACAAAGCCCCTCTCCTCTGGTTCTCACAGGCTGGCAGCTGCTCCCCTCATCCTGGGTATGAAATGTTCACCTTTAAACAGAGTTGTACTCATTCCTGGCTGGGAGAGGGCAAGACTGCTGTGACATACTAACCAGGTGAACAGGAAGAGACTACTCTTCTGTTTCCTCACTCATCTTTTATGAATGAATAATGCATGAAGATGATGCCTCTTTCACCCAAATCTCGCTACAGGTCCAGGTAAAATTTACTGCAATGCACAAATACAGGATACATGTAATGTACCAAAGAGTGGTTCAACTTAGAGAGTTAGTTTAGCCACCATCTTGTGTTGTTTAAGCATCAGAGCAGGGCACTGGTATTGCTTCTTTAGCATTACAGTGTAAGCTACTTGGAAACCGACAACAGTAAGAATTTAACCTTATCTGTAATTCCCAAAGATACACATTTCTATGGACATATGTGAGCTCCTGTGGCCTTTCGACAGACTGAATGCATCATTTGTATCTTTGTGAAAGGAAATCTACTACTATAATGTACTTGCAGACCTATAATGTCTTATTTACCAATGTTACTTGCAGAAATCCACCGTGTATCTACCAACGATTATGAAAAGGTTGCATTTAAATGCACTTTTTTCTGTCCAGCTGTTCTCCATTCTGTTTGAAGGCATTCAGAATTTAAGAGCCAGATTCTAAACACTGCAACTATTTGCAGCTGTTACAGGGAAGTATGTGCAATGTTCTACTTATTAAATTACACAGCACTCAAGCTTTGCTTCTCTCACTGTGACATAGATGAATGGATAACTTGAGTTTTTCAGCAAAGACATCCAGAATACACACAAATGAGCTTTATGACAGAAGCAATCACTGTGTTTACTTTATTGAGGGGAACATACCAAACAAAAATAATACACTAGCATTTTCCTGTTTCAGAGAGGCTATTTTTCGTAAGAATCTCATTATCTTCCTAGCCTTCCTGAGGTACCACATGCATTCTGGAGGCACACATCGTTTCCTCTCCTCTTGGCTCACTTTCTATTCACACCACACACCAATCTAAATGGTGTGTGTGGACAGCAACTATCCACTCTATGTCAGTCACTTCATGATCCTTTCTCAAGCCATGACATCATAACCATGTTGGATTTCACTACCCTTTTTGCATTGCAGCCGAGAAAACCAGCCTTGCCTAAGCAAGGGAAGAAGAGGCATTCCTGCTTCACTTTCCCCTCTGTCAAAACAAGGAAAAGAACAAAGGGAAGCATACAGAAACAGGGCCAAGCAGCACTGTATCCCAAACCCCACTCGTCAAAGTGATGAGTTTTCCCAAGATAAAGGGCAAAGGGGATGGGAGCAGAAAGAAGAACTCTTACTGGTTTTCTCCAGTTCTGAAAAGCATAGGACCGACTCAGTGGGGAGCAAAAATCATAGCTATCCCCTGTCGGTAAGCGAGGAGTCTGCAGTTCCTCTGGCTCCCAAAGGGGACAAGGCTTGGTGAGCAGGGGTTGACATGCAAGAGCCTTGCGACGTGAGGGAGCGACAGGAGACCTCTGCCAGCCCTCACGCCATCTCCCCAGGCCGAAAAGCCCAGGCGGCAGTTCCAGCCTCCCTCAGACGCTCCCAGAGGGAAGCAAGGGGTCTCCCCGCCTCTGCCAGAGACCGCGTCGCCCTTGGAACCGAGGGGCGGAGGCGAAGGCTCACCCCCAGCCCGCAGCCACCCCTCCCTCCGCCTTCGCACACACGGCAGCAGCTCCCCCAGCAACGGCGCGGGGTGAGCAGCCCCATTTTCTTACTCTGGCTTCTCCGGGGTCCCGCCGGTGGACACCACCCGCCCCGGCAGAATCGAAGCCCGAGGACGGCCACCGCCAACCGTACGTGGCAGGCAAAAGAAGGAGCTGGAGGAACGGCTGCAACTGCCGGCCCTGCGCGAGCCACCCGCATGCGCACTCCAGCGGCAAGAGCAGCAGCGCGCATGCTCCCGCAGCGCAGCCCCGCCTCCCCCTCGAGTGGACCGATGCGTCAGCCCCGACGCTGGCGGACTTGTGGTAGTGCCAGTGACGACTTTGGTGGGTGTCGGGGGGGGGGGGGGGGGGGGGCCGCCCCCCCCCCCCCCCCCCCCCCCACCGGGCCGAGCGCCTGCCTTTGGCACCTAGGGAGCAGACGGTGTGTGTGAGCCGGGTTCTGAGGTGAAGCCTCTCTGTGAGAGGAGGTTTGTTTCGAAACGTGAGGTTGGGCCCGCAGAGGATGGGGTGCGGGAATGGAAAACCGGACATAAAGTTCCAGTGTGCTCGCCAGATGCCGGCAGCATGATGCTGAGAGTGTGTTCGTCCTTCCAGGCACTCAGGGCTATCCCCCTCGGCCTCCCACCTTGCATTATGAGCTTATCCACCTAAGGGGAAAAACAGGAATCTGAAGCTGATTTCCTGAGTATTGCCTATTAAAGATAAGGAGGAGGGGTGTGGTTCAGGAGGTTGATAAGTTTTAGAAAATACTTTGAAATAATAGGGTAATTTTCAGTGCAAAAAGTGTCTTTGCTTCTAAGAATACAGGAAAGCAACGTGGAAAACAGGACCTTTCCATCCATTACACTCTTTGCCACTCATATTTCATACCTTTGTACTGATGATTCAGTTCTTCCCTGGTGTTTCCAAAGTATTAAGAAGCTTCGTGATCATTAAAGCCTATGAAACTGATGTGGCCTATTGTGTACAGGGGGGTTGTACAAGGGGGTTAGACAAAATGTACAGAGGGGGGTTGTACAAGGGGGTACTGCTTAAGTTATAGCTGGCTTGACAAGCTTAGCAGATGCCTTATCAGACAGTACCAGGATAGAACCTCCTAATGAGGAGAAGAGGGGGGGTTGTACAGGGGGGTACTGCTTAAGTTATAGCTTGTTTGACAAGTTCAGCAGATGCCTTATCAGGCAGTACTAAGACAGAACTTCCTAACGAAGAGAATAGCTCATTAAACCAGTTGGACATAGACCAGACCCATTCAGCTCCTAAAGAGCATGCGTGAGGACCAGAGGTAAAAAGTTCAAGCCTGAAGAAGACTCGTTTACTTCATCTTGAAGACCCCTACCCACAAGAAGAAGACTACTTACTTCATCTGAAGACCCCTGCCCAAGACCACCAGGATGCACTGCGCATGCTTGGAGAGCCTTTTAGGGCATTATAATACGAAGCGGGGTTAGAATATGAATATGTATAGGCGTATTGTGCAACCTAATACATATGTACGACTTTACAGGATAAATGTAAAAGGAAAACGGCACTGAGGTGCGCAGGCCTTTTGGAGGACCAATCCGCCGTGCGTCTTCAGCTGAATAAAGCATACCTACTTTACAACTTTAACGAAGTTGTGAAGTCTATTCCGCTATCAATTGGGCGAGCCACGCAGGAGATCTCTGTTCGGCTGCAGGATCGGCGGAGGGGCGGACCTCCTGGGCGCCCCGGGCCACTTGCCTGGAGGGGCTCCACTCCTCGTCCGCTCACTGCGGGGACAGACAACAACCTGTGCCGGCTGCGGAGAAACGGTGTGCTTGGAATTTGTTTGTAATTGTCCTAGGACTTGTAAGAGGCCTGTAAGTCGTACGCGTGGCAGGGGCTGCAGATAAGGCGCTCAGAGACGTCTGGCGCACAGCCTTGTTCCCCTTGGTAGGTAGGGCTTGCAAGCAGGGGACTCACCGACCGATAAAGCGGCCGCTAGCAATCCTGAGGGTGGGTCGGGTGAGTCTAGGGATTCGTCTGTTGATGGAGCAGCAGTTTGTATGGGACGAATCCAGAAGGAGCTCCGGGCTGAGGGAGGCCGCCGATAGAGCGGCTGAATCGAGCTCCAGGTTTCACTGAAGGGTGCGAGCGGCATCTGGTGAACCGGTGTAAGTGTGGTATCCGAATGCGAGTGGTTTGTGTTTGTGTGACTGAGACGTAGCGTAGCTACGAAGCGAGTGCGAAATCCCGATCCGAGGAGAGCGGCCGGAGACGGACGAAGTGTGTTTTGTGTTGTGTCTAAGTGTTTTGTGTGCGTATATGTCTGTCGTTACTGTTAAAGATCACAGTGCTTAAGCGGTGGGGGAGCAGTAGACAAAAGTAAACTGCCATTGGGGGGGGGGGGGGAGGGGGTGTTAAGAAGAGTTCCCTCTGCGCTCCAGTGGCTGTATAACAGAAGTATAACCTCTAAGTAATCCTACTCTTGAGACCTGAACTTTACACTCAATACCAGAGGCTTGTAGCCTCACATATGGGTGCATAATAACTTTTGAATAGTGGAATCTGCCGTGGATACTAGGACAGTGTAAATTTTGATAGAACCGAAACTGTGATCTAACAACAGGGGAGTTGATCTGCAGAACCCAGAGATACCATTTTACTGAACCCCCTTGAGAATATCATAAAATTCGTGTGTAGGTGCTCTCATATTTTTTAAGTGCATTTGCAGAGCACTGGGAAAGAGAAGCTGTAGAGATTTGTAAAAGATTGTTTGAAATGGGAGCCGGTCAAAACAAGGGAATTCTGAAGAAAAGCCCATTCGGTTACATTTTGGCACGCTGGAAAGAACTGGGAGAGTCTTCTGGGGCTCGGTAAACAAGAAAACATTGGTAAAATATTGTAACCAATGGTGGCCTTTATATACTTTGGAAGATCAAGAGAAATGGCCTAAAAATGGAACTCTGAATTATAATACATTGTTACAATTAATGTTGGTTTTGAGATGGCCAGGAAAATGGGATTAAGTACTATATACAGATATGTTTTTCACTTTAAGAAACCACCCGGAGTGGCAGGCAGAATGTGAAATTAAATAGCTCTGCCAGATCCCTAATTCTGGCTTTGGAAAAGGACAGGAAAAAATGGAAAGCTAAGCTGGAGAGATGTTGTTCGGCCTGGGATATTGGGGAATGACGTTTGAAAGTTATAAATGGGAAAATTATGTATCACAGATACCTCCGAGAGAAGCACCCTCTGTATCTGTCCTATCAGATATTGATAAGGAGGAGGAGATTGCTGTCACCTGCAACAAGCAGCACATTCACATTCAGAGTTAAGAAAGGGTTAAACCAGAAGTACTGTTGCAGAGGCAGGCATCGCAGGGTGAGCAACTGTGAGGGAAAAAAAAGAAGGTAGGGAGGGGAGCTCGCGCAGCTCCAGTGTTTGAGCACGGGATGAGTGCTGGGGCAGGCAAACAAGTGGGAACAGACATGTTGATAGACGGGACTGAGGGGTTGTTGAATAAATGTGGACAGAAGTGCTTTGAAACTGATGGAGGAGGAATGTCGGGCAAAGTGGGGGAAGTGGGTTCTTCTCCTATGGGACCGGATCGGTGTGTGTGTGCTGTGGGGAGTTTTGAACGTTGGAAGTGAGACTGCCCTGTGGGGAGAGAGTGCCATGGGGTGGCTCCGGTGGCTGAATTGGAACTAGACTGACAAGGGACCTGGGAAATCTACCCTAGCAGATCCACTGGTTAAATTAAAACTAGGGACTAGAGGAAATGAAGTGGAATTTTAGTGGATACAGGAGCAACTTATTTGGTGTTAAATCAGAGGGAAAAGAATTTGTTACAGATGTGGGAGCTACTGGCCACCAAGGAAAAAGAAAAAAAAAAAAACGGAAAACCCCCGAAAGGAAAAAAAAAAAGTGCAAAATGACGCAACCCTTAAAGTACACATTGGAATAACAAATAGGAATGGATAAAATTTTTATGCATGCTAAATTCTCCGAAATCTTCATTAGGGCAAGAAGCAACATTTAAAGAAGGCAAAATGGAATTAAGGGTTAAAAACAATTAACTGCGGTTTTGAGTTTATCTTTAATTCAAAAGAAAAAGCAAACAGGAGGACCTCCGTGAAATAGAAGAAATCCTTAATCAGGTATATCTGGGAGTAGGGGCATCTGAAGTGCCAGGTAAGGTGAAAAATGCTTTGCCTGTTAAAGTAGAAATGAAAAGGGGGGCCTGCCCAATTAGAATGAAACAGTATCCCTTAAAATTAGAAGATCAAAGGGAATAAAAAGTCATTAATAAATTTTAAAATATAGATTATTAGTTGAATGTGAATTGGAATATAATACTCCTATCTGGGCAGTAAAGAAATATGATGGGAAAAGTTGCAGACTGGTTCATGGTCTCAGGGCAATCAACAAAATGAGAAATCATTCCATTCTCATTTGGCTGGACACAGCTCTGCTCTCATTTAAATGGACTTCAACTGGCGATGACCTTCATTGAAGTGAAGTGAATTAATTTTCTGACTGCTGTAAGTATATGTTTCCTTAAACAGAAACTTCCTTCATCAGAAGCCTGAGTTTATGATAAGAAAGTCTGAGCTGGTGACATGAGACCAAGCAACACATTTGCTGAAAGATCTGAGGAGTCATATGCTGTCTTACCTTGTCAAATTCTTGTTCTACTTCCATATCACAGAGACACTGATTGTGGAAAAAGTGATGATGTTAAACAGGAGTATGAGTGCTACTGGCAAGACGAACGACCACAACACGGGCTTTTTCACACTGAAATTCTGATTTTGATACAGTGCTGCAAGCCAGCAACTTTTAACATATAAGGAGAGGCCAATTCAAAAGATTTGTTAGACACATTATTCAGAAGACCAAAACAAAAAAGTATTCCACTTGCATCCTGAAGACCTCATAGGACTTCCTAAGTTTTGTTAACCTGTCTGTGAAAGGCAACCATTCCTTGAGAACTTTCAATCACGCTTTTCTTTCTCTGAGGAATGCAAAATGATTTATTAAAAATGAACTGCATAGAGAAAGATAATACAGTGCAATATAGCTAACCAAATAGATATCTGGCCACCATAGCCAAGTTTACCCTTGAAGTATGTGTTATAATAGAGCTGAAGAGAGAAGTAATAGGGGAAACCTAATGAACAAAGGTAGAAACAAAACCAGGGGCAATTTAAGGACAGGGTTATCCTGTAATAATCCTTTACTTTTTTAAATTTTTATTGCTAAATCATCTTAGATTAGAAATCAACACTCCCTAAATGAGTATCATAAGTGGGTGTAAAACGCCTATGTAAAAGGGGGTTTCTGTTTGCTTTTCCAGAGAAGTCTATATTTGTTCTGTATCATCTGCTGTCACCAGGGCATACATAGCCTGCTTTGGTATGTAGGCACTCAATATCAATACCAAAAACGTAGGGTAAATAGGGATATTGTTAAGTTGGCCAGAAAGGTTTTAAATAAATGGGAGGATTAAGTTTAGGTACTGAAATGCAGTTACTCACTCAAGTGAAGGTTTTGAATTTCAGTTAGGCTAAGGACACCTACAGCTTCCATTTAAAGTCACAGGGGATCTTCCAGGAGGATTCAAGGCAGATGTGGTTCCAGTTCGCTAAATCCTTAGTTAGGAGGAACTGCAATTTTTCATAGTGAATGTTTAGTTTGAATGAAAAGTTCTGTCTTCTTTTAAGTATTTATATGCACAAAGCTATATACCAAGAGTAAATCTAGAATTGTACTAATAATGAGCCATCACAAAAGGTGTGAGATAGTAAGTGTGTAATAATACATGAACTTACCATTTTTCCTGTCTTCCTCTAGTTTAAAGCTTTTCCTTCTCTGTAAGTCGCTCCAAGTGTTATTGCAACTATTACAGCAGGGATTACTAATTAACAGGAGAGACATTAGTAATTTATTGTTCTGTTTGTTGCATGGGCACATGCAGATAGCTTATGGCCTCCATAAGCTATAACTTCGTAACTCCGTAACTCCATAGATTTTAAGAGCTCTGTTTCATCTGCCTTGCACTAAACTACATGGATTTTCTATAGCCTAGAGAAAAAGGCAGGACCGAGCGTTGTGAGCACTACTTTTCTGAGGACAACTCACATCCAGGACTTGCTGATTTTTGCCGTTAAAGAGCTTCAGTAGAGCTTCCAGAGACAACACCAATGGTGACTGAGCAAACTCCTTCCTGTGCTGTAGCTGATTCCCTTATCACAGCTGCGCAATCCTACCCTCTTGTCAGCAATGAGAAACTTAAGAAAATCCTGTGCCACTCACCGCTACATTTTATACCAGCTTGATGCAAAGCATAACTTTTGCAATTTGAGAAGCATGGCAGCGTGGGCTTGCCTCCTCAATGCCTTTGCTTCACTTCCTGTCTTCCGTGTCTCCTGCCTACCTGTTTGCTAAGCAGCACGTCACATGAGAAGGATCCTCCTGCACACATTTTGAGCTGGGAAATAAACATGCATCTTAAAGTCTGTTCGTCCTTCAGCCCTAGTAGAGATCTTTCAGACTGCCAAGTATTTGCTGTGCTCTCAAAGTAGATCTGAAAAGCAGTGAGTCAGAATCATGCTGCTTTAGACATGTGCAACTAGTCACAGGACACAGCGAAGAACCTAATGCTGTGCTATCATGCAAATGGAGCACAGTGATGCATAGCCAGGCAGCTTTTGCTGAACACTTGCTGGCTTGCGTATGCAGTTGAAATTCTTAAAGTTTTAGAGGAATTGGTTCTACCTCCACCCAAATGCAAAACATAATAATGAAAAAGTCAGGATCTAAAAGTGGTTGGTAGGTGCCATCCGAAACGACACACCGCACAAGCTGACCACTGACCACTCCTATACACTGTATTGGAAATATTTCTTGGAGGATTTTTACTTTACCTAGTGGGCATCTATCTGCATTCTTCAGTTCTCCAAGTAGTTCCTTTTCAACTTGCAGTGCTGCTGCTAACTGTTGTTCTGACTTAAGAATGTGCTCTTTGCTTATTAATAAATAATATGTACCAATTCATGTCAGTCACTCCTTGCTTTTGGATGTATGCAAGGCTCTGGCTTGAGGTCATGAGAAATCTCAGAGATATCTAAGTGAAGAATTGGGGTCCATCTATGCAATGACCATATCTGAAAGGGTTTTTTACTTAGCTCACAGAAGCAGGTTGCTGAAAGCCTTAATTGCTGTGAAAATTTCTCCAGCACACAACAGACTTGTGGTGGTGTGCCAGTGAACAAGCTATCACTTTCAATGCCATATGACTTTAAATCTTACCCCATCTGATTACTGACATGGTTATAAGGAAGTGTTCAGGCAGGGGCTTCATGACTCTAAGCAGCAGGAAGTACAGCTGTGCAGAACTGAGTGCTGACCACATAAATGTCACCAACATGAAACAGTGCACTTGGAGAGCCACAGCTGTACACCAGGAGTCTGTGGGAGGATCTACCAAGTCAGATGTGAGTAAGGTGCTACTGATAGTATCATAAGGAAGGTACTGCTGGTAGTGACTGGTAGTACTGTCGCTGTGATTCCTGGCATTTCGGCTTTCAATGTCAGTGATGAAGATGATGTTAAAAATTAGCATAGAGGAACAGAGACTCACTAACATCCACATCACAGATGACTTTCGAGTTTTCCTATTGGTAGGAATATAGGAGAAAAAAAGTAAAGCAAAATAAAAACTGTAAAATATTTCTTCATTTCCATTGATATTAAAACAGGGTAGAGTATGTCATTAATAGAGACAGAACAAAGCAGAAAGAAACTCATTTGCAGAATTTTACACCATCATTACTGTCAGACAACATAATAAATCCATCAGTTTTGTCCAGTTTCAGCTAGAACAGAGAATACCCAGTACGTTTTAGGAGTGGGGCTTTTCCAACAGCAGTTGGGATGCATTTTTTTTCCACACTGCTCCTTTTAGAATCCTTTTCTTAAGTGTTAAGAGGTGAAATAGGATAAGACAAGTATTTCTAAGCAATCTTCAAGGTCCAAGAGAATAATAAACCTCCACTTCCAAACTGTCTTATAAGTGCCTTTAAAAGGCAGAGTCTGGAGGCTCCTACAATCTTAAATACATTGACCTTGATAGAATTGCGCCAAACCTACATTAGTGCAAGCAGAGCAAGAAACATGCATTCATCCACAGTAACTACAACTCTGTTGGCAATATTTTGCTCCTCGTTCAAGAGGCAATCACACGACACCATTTATCACAGACATGTCCATCAAGGAAATTTGCTGCAGTTGTATTTGAATTAAGTCACTCACAATAAAACTGTAGCACAAGCAGTGCACATAACCTACATTGCTGTATAATCATGGTGCTTTGAAATCATCTGTTCCCTACAGACAATTTATAAACAGAAAGCAATAGAGTATAGAAACTATAAAATAGGTAACAGAAAGCCCTGTCAAAGGAATGGAAAGATTTCTTGTCAGTGGCCATGCCCAGTGTTTCCTATGAAAGGCGTGGCTTTTCACCATACTGGAGTCTTCCATACTCTGGGTTATCATTTCTTTTCAAAGCTTTTGAAGGTGGATATATTGAATAATAAACATATATGCATATATATGTGTCCTCACATTAAAATGTTAACAAAAATAGGTTAAAGTATCATGTAGGTGATAAATATGTTCCAAACTCACTATTCTCTTTGTTTTTTTTCTCAAAATACATAAAAAGCAAAATATTGTAACTTAGAATTAAATGCTTGCAGTTTTACATCTTCCCTCTTACCTAGTGAATTTTTGAAACAAAATGATAATGATCACATCAGCTATGGACAATCCAACACCAATGTAAGAAATATTCTCCAAAGGCTTTGCATATTTATGTTTGATCTGAAAGGCCTAGGAAGCAAATTGCATCAGTTATAGGATGAGAAGAGATAGATTTCTTTCTAAAATTTGTGTTTCTGGTTGCACATAAAAAATAAAATGTTTTAGTGAAATTATGACTGCTGCTAGTCACTGCCAGAATTTTCAGATCACACAGAATTATTATGGACCTCAAAACTAGAAAAGACTGTGCAGAACTCCACAGAGACTCCACAATGTCAGTCAAATATTCAACAAAATAGCAGATTAAAATATTCAGATAAAAATGCAAGGTGGCACAGACTGAAAAAAGTAGCTTCAACTTTTTGTACTAATGTGTGTTGTGAATTTTGGCTTCTGAGGATAAGGCCTAAAGTAAGATGCTACAAAGAATACAAATCAAAATCAGTCTTTGTATAGTGACAATAAAGCAGCAGGTAAATATAAATGTATTTAGTGAAAAAGCAAATACTGTTATCTTTGCATAAATGGATGGGAATCTTCTCTATAATATGGTCATTTTGTGCAGTAATGACATGTATAAGATAAAGAGAAATGCAGAAACAAGTAAATATTACAAATATGGAAATGCTGTTCTCTGGAGACAGAGTAAAAAGAAACTTTAAAATCCTGACACTGCTGAAGTCAATGACCACAGACATGATTTTACTCAGGGAGTGTTTTGTTTAGAGAAGCTGAAACAAATATTGAAAGAATAAGGAATGTTAGAGACAGTCATTCTGAAATAGCCTTGTTAATATTATAATAATAAGAGGGCAATATTTGAAACTTACTGGTAACAGATAGATTGTGTTTTATAAACATATAAGCAAAGGAAGTAGTTAATGCTAAGTACTTTTGAGTTATTTAGCCAGCACAAGGCAGTATCACAGGTAGTTCAGATCCCAAGCTCTCTACTGTTGGTCTTGGGGCACTTTTGGTTCTAGATGTACACTCACTTAACAATCAGCTGTAGCAGTAGAGATGCAGAGCTGGAGGCTACCAGAGCTGAGCAGGGGGAATGAGTTGTACCAGTCCTTCCCTGCTGCTGGGGTGCCCAGCAGGTGGGCACAGCCACAATATGTGTCAGAGGAAGCCAGGACTCGCCTATATGCTTAGCTTTCCAGCAGCCTGGGGACAACTCACATGTCCCCAGTGCCAGCTGTGTCACAGGTCAGAACATGGGAACATCTTAAATCCTGGGCCTTCTAGCTTGACACATGTATGCCTTTACATCGGCATGCTGGTCTTAACAGTTGGAAACAACCAAACAAATGAAAGAGAAAAACACATACCCTCCCCATTTGAGATAGGACAACACCCTACCATCAGGACAGCAAAATTAATAGTGTGAATACACCTGCATCTCAAGAACTGGTCTCTTCCTTTTGCACAGCCAGCAGTGCTCTAGTCATTGACAATATAGTCCCAAAAGACACATGCATGATCACACAGCTGCAGTTCAAATATGTTGTACTATAGATTGGGATTGCAAGGAGAAAAAGTGGCTACGGGAACATAAACAGGTATGCAATAGAAATAGTGTGTACTGGTAATTGTCCTCTGAAAAGGGAGCTGACAGCTACTTAGGGATTTATAGTTTCCAGTAAACCTTACGAACGATACTAACAACAGCATAATTTGGCATTTGAAGTTACTTTGTATGCCTTTCTCAGTCAAGATTGCCAAAAAAATTAGCCATTTCTGTAAATTATTCAGGTAAGTACAGTTCAGATGCAGTTCAGACTAGGTATTAAAAAACTGCTAAATGAATTCTGCAGAAGCCAAACAACAGCTTTCAGATATTAGTAGTATTATATTACTGCCATCCAAAGCTGAATCCACACTAGAATGGGAAGTAAACAACGATGAATGCCATGAACTATCCCCTCTGTCCTGCAGCATTGCAGTGATTGTGCAGTCATATGTCAAACTGCATGCAGTCGTTTTCAGACAACATAGGTCTGCAGGGTATTGCAATTAAAAATGCTTTTTAATAAGCAATGAGCAGCTTGAAATACAAATAAGTGGTGAAAGCAACTATTGACAGTACTAGGTAATTCAATTAAAAATGAGGAATAAAAGCAGAAGTAAAATCAATTAGAAGTTTGTTTTAACGATTTCCTTAAAATTCACATGTGTTTTCCAGATCACTTAAGTGTATGGAACCATAATGATGATTAGTGATCTACCGTGTGCATGTATTTGAGCTTAAAACCTCTCTTAAATATTATAAGAAAAAGCCATTTACTGTTTTCTGGAGAAACCATTCTAAACATGAGTATATATTATCTAAAACTTTGGTTATTTGAGCAAATGGGCACTCACATAGACCATTTCTTGCAAGAAAGCAGTGACATCTGGAATCAGTTCCTGGGTAAGGAAGTGAAAACAAAATGCACAATGATTTTACCTGAAAACAGGAGTTTGAAGATGGTATGAAAAATTAACACTACCCACATTGATAGGTGTGTTGGGCTGTGCCAGTCATGTTGACTTTTTATTTCTTCCAATAATTGTGATAGTCTTCTGGAAAGAAAAATTGTCCTCTAGCATCCTGGCTTTTTTAATTCTTGCTTTAGGACTGATGTACCCAAGGACAAATCCACTCTTGTATACCTATAACTTTTTATGGAATACAGTTTTGCTTGCAAACATCCTAGTTTAGCAGTACTGAATCAGTAACACCAGGTATTAAACACTAAAGTTGAAAAATGTTTTATTCACTTATATCACCTATGCATCTCACAAGCTCTCTCAACAGCTTATTGACAGAAATCAAGGCAGTATGCAAAAGAAACCCCTCTGCTTGAATGTCTTTCCCTAAGGTCTGAAGTCAGGTAGTAGAGCAAGGGAAGCCTATAGTTCAAACTTAACACCACATTTCTTACTGGAGCTTACCATGGGACTGAAGGCTATTTCAATGCTGCTGTTTCTTCCACCATCAATGTTGCCAGAGACAATTTGTCTAGAGAAACTACGGTGAGTCTGATAAATCCTTGACTGGAAGACTTTGTCATTTTGATACAGGACAAAGCCAACTCTTCCATTACCTGATGAACCTTCACAAGGCAAACACAAAAGTAGGTATGAAGAGCATATATCAGAGAAGCTGGTGCCTTTGAAGAAGCCTACACTATGCTGTTTCACACATCCAATATTTACAGCAGATTTTTGTTTAGATGTTTATTTAGAATCCATTTAAGAAATAGAGAAGAGCTTCTTTTCCTGTGACTCATAGAATCATAGAATAGTTAGGGTTGGAAAGGACCTTAAGATCATCTAGTTCCAACCCCACTGCCATGGACAGGAACACTGTCGATGCGGGAGTCACGGACAACACAGGAACGATCAATGTGATCAGCGAATGCCAATTTATTAAAAAGCTTTAACTCCTTATATACTATTTCTTACAGGCACTTACAGTGATTTGGCATATTATGATTGGATACATGTCTTGAAGACCCTTAGCAACTAACACACAATTGGTTAAGCACAGGTGTGAGAACTTGACCTCGAAAGCTTGCCGACAGTCCACAGTTCTCATTAACTCAGTGAATTACAGCTGCTTCTTATCTTGCTTCCTTAAGCTTCCTCGGGCCTCTCATGGCCTTGCTGTATCTTTCAGGATTATTCAGTTTATGTACCAATTATGCGTTCTCCTGTGAGAACACTGTCTCCACATCTCCCCCTTTTTGTTTTATATATGTTTTGGATGATCCTACTTGAGCAGGGGATTTGGGCTAGATCGTATTTTCAACATATGCCAACTACAGGCTGCTGGGCCTGCCCCTTTTTTCTCCTGAATGGCTCTCTGGTAACAGGGGAGGCCATCCTTCACATAAAGGTCTATCATGGCATGTGTCCCCACTGCTCCACGCCTGCTGGGTTGCAGCCAGCAGTGGAGCTAAAGGTTCTTCTTGGTGGCAAACACAGAGGCCAGCCCAGTCTTGCCCTTGATTGTGGTAGCAGGCATTTGGTCAGCCTCAGTCCTTGCACCTTGTTGTCAATGCAGTTTCACCTGCTTCATCCAATAACAAGCTGTTATTATGGCAAGGCACACACACAGATTTACATTAGCAGAGTAACTATTACAGGGTGCAGCAGCATGTTGAAGATGCTGATGCCAGCAAGGGACTAGCCAAAGAAATTTCTTACCAGTGGAATTCTCCCACCCTCTTAATTTGCTCCATTACCTGCTTTATAACACTACCATTGTATTAGAATATTTCTATCTTTTGCCTTAGCATTTTCTAGCAGCTACTACAAATTTGCATACTCTAACATCTCTTTTACAAGTGACAAATCCATATAATACAAGGTGTAGCAACTGCCTAGTAAATATGGGTGATTTCATACACAAAATCAAAGCCTCTAACAATAGCTACTTTACAAACACACATATTCAAGCTGTTACTTTTCAGTTGCCCCCAAATGATGTTTAGCAATCATTGTTTTTCTCTTCCTCTATCTCATTCTGCTTGGGGTATTCACGGTCAGCTCCTGTAGCTGAAGCATCAGGTTCCTCCATTCGTCTGTCGAGGTTATGGCAAGGCTTGACAAACTTTGCAGGCAGTTGTCATGGACCTGTAGGGAGGAGGACGCAAATACACCCCCTCCTCCAGGTTGTCAGTTCTTGGAAAGTAGACAGGTTAAATGAGGAGCTTGCCGCATCATTGCCCTCTTTTTTTTTTTTCTCTTTTGTTTTTTTCTCTGCCACCCTCATGCTGCTTAGGTGATGGCTCATAAAGCTTGTAGTTGCACTACCCCTCTCGCTTTGTCAGTTAGCAGTTCTTGTTTCAACCGATCTATCTGTTCCTCCAAGTCTTGGATTCATCCCCAGGTTACTCTAAACATATTAAGCTTGGTTTTGGTTTGTTTTGTTTTTTCACTTCTTAGCTCTGGTGTCCATCCTGGTCCTTCCACAGGTGGAGCACCGGGAGCCAAATCGAAGGGCAGCTTCTTTCGAACATGGGGACCGAACTCTTATCAAATAACTTTTTTTTTTTTTTTTATTTTCCCAAAGTCGCTCACTCTGCTTTGCACGGCTACAAACGCCGGCCTGCTGGGCAGCAGCTACAGCTGCCTGCCTGCTTCAGCAGCAACCATAAATATCTGCCGGCAACCGCACTTTTGCATTAACCCTTTCTTACCCAAAATGTTAAACTGCTACCCGTTAAAACCTTTCACATGAACCCAACAACAAAAAATACACAGAACACTGCCCTCAACACACACACACACACATATGGGATCCCACAAGCACACTCCACACAACTACAATATTTGAAGCACAAAATCCCAACAATCATTACTTCCACTACACAATCTCACGTACAGAACGTGGCACAAGGACCCTGTGGAGACACAAGAAACCAGCTCCGAGAAGCATCAGTGCAGTGCGAGGTGGCAGGCTTAACCCTAGCGGGCGGCCCCAGAAAGACTCTGCATCCCTCACATCGCATGAGGCTTGGGCTTTTATACTGACCAAAATGCACACTCATTCCGACACAGGTGGCCAGCCTATGTTGGAAGAAGTAGCCAGCAGTATTTATAAAGGTCTCCAAAGATCGATAGAAACCTGGACATACTTATTTTTACCAACTTATAGTACATGAGTATCACAGAGAGAATGTATTAAATGAGTTGTATATGGGTTCATAAGTCCACAGTCCATCACAGTCTGCCCGATACTCCTGATAAGAGCATAGGAGAGACCTTCCCACTGTGGGTCTTGATGCAGAACATACACCACCAGGAAATCACACAATACATCTGCATCCCCCACTGGTTTTACTTCTCCCTTTACAGCTGTGCATTTAACATGAGGATCTGGGGGATATAAATTAGGCTCCTTTTCCAGATGAATAGGCTCCAGGACAAAAGGACCATCTAGGTCAACATCAGAATTTTCAGGCATCAGAACCCCAGGAGCAGCAACAGCAGTCTGATGGAGGTGCACAGGCTCCTTCTCGGGGTCAATAGGGCCTGAGTCAAAAGGATCATCTTCATCTCTGTCCTCAGTCTTCGCAGCCGCAGCGGCAACTGGCAAAGGTTGGGAGGGGGGTGGGGGGGTGGTGGTGTTTCTGGTGTTGGTTTTGTTTTTTTTGGTTTTTTTTTTTTTTTTTTTTTTTTGTTTGTTTGTTTGGTTGGTTGGTTGGTTTTTTTTTTTTTACTTTAACATAAAAAAGGTTGCTCCCTTCACTTTAAGAAGGACTGAAAACATCCATAAAACGGATGTCCTAAGCTCAAATTTCAATTCATTCAATCACTGACAAGGGGGGTGTCCTGGGGCAGTGCTGACTCTCTGCTTGCATCTGTAAAGACAGTTAATCCTACAACAGGTTTACTAGGATAAAAGGTAACATCTTCAAACTGATTATTCTTTAGTATTGTAAACTTATTATGAGGTGGAATATGTATATTAAGAGGACCAACAAAACCTATCAGAGCAAACTGAATAGCAGAGCTAGATTGTTGTGCCCAATCTAACCATACCCTGGTAAGTGGCAAACAAATTTGTGATGGATCACAGCCCATAATTTCCTGACAACGTGAACGACCTTGTACAATCAAAAGAGCAAATACTTCTAACCGAGTAGTTACAGTTTTACATAGGAAAATCCATTCTAAAATGCATAAAGGATCAGTCTTTTGAAGATCCCACTGTGCTAGTAGACTAAATGGATAATACTTACTGTTGACAATAAACAGAATAACCTGTAAATCTGGATTCCATTGAGCAGCATAAGAGGTAGTGATTTTTGTCATGATGTGATCTAAGGCCTCATTATGAGCTTTTAATAGAACCTTTTATTTTTATTTTTTTTTGACTCACCCTTTAAAAGGGGCATGAGATCAGTCAGATCATCATTTGTGATTCCACACAAAGGGCAGATCTATTGAATATCACCCATCAATTTCTGCATGTCAGACAAGGTTTTTATCTGTGTGGTAATTTTAACTTTTTGAGGCCTAATTTCAGTTCCGGAAATGATCCACCCGAGATATTTCCAAGGACTTCATGCTGCACCCTGTCTGGTGCAATTACCAGTCCTGCTTTCTGATTGTAGCAGGTAGAGCAGATGGTCCTTGTTTAAATCTTTGCCTGCAATTAGGATATCATCCATATAGTGATAGATAACACATTTTTGCAGTTTTTGTCGGATCGGTTGCAATGCCCAGGCAACATACAGTTGACAAAGGACAGGAGAATTTTTCATACCTTGAAGCAAAACAACCTATTCATATCTCTTAGCAGGCTCTCCTTTGTTAATTGCTGGGACAGAGAAAGCAAATTTTTCACAATTGCTTGGGTGTAGAGGAATTGTGAAAAAACAGTCTTTTAAATCAATTATTATTAAATCCCAACCCTGAGGTATCATTGAAGGGCTAGGCAAGCTAGGTTGCAAAGCAATGACATTCAATTGTCTTGTGTCCAAATTTGTCACATCTAATACATTTATCTGCAAAACCAGTAACCCCACTGGGGGGGGGGGGGGGGCTGCTGAACTAATTTTCTTTACAGTACACTGTTTCTTTTTAAAATGACCCGTCCGTCCACAATTATAACATCTCATACCTTTAGCACCCCCACGATCGCCCTAACCTGATTGTAGAAGGGGTTTAACAGCAGCAGCGAAGGCAGTAGCCATGTACCCAGCTTTTTCCTCTGCTGTGCCCCCTTTAAATCATATCTGAAGGTGGGGAGTAAGCAACGATTGAGCTATCATATGGGTATCATATGGTGCTAAGATATATGCAGAAATAAATATGTGCAGTAATTGTCTGAGTATATGATGATTTTAACCTGTAGGCTGTTACTGGTTGACGTGTCTCCTTTACTGCCTTTAAATCCAGTGCCTCCCATTCCTTTCCCCCCTGTGGAGCGTTAAACACTGGGAATGCTGAGGGACCCATAGCCGAAAATTCGCCCATAACAATTGCATCTTTGATCATCCCACGCCAACCTTTAGCAGGGTTATTACCACAATCCCCTACCCCGTGGCCAACACCCCGCTCCCACTCCCCTTTCTTTACTACTGGATTGTAGGAGGGTGGGGCAGAGGGTTCCGAGGTTTCTTTTATCTCCAATACTTTAATTTCTTCAGCAGCTGTCGCAGTTGACCATCCCTGAGGCTGGTTCGCATCTGCCAATGAGCCGAACTGTCTGAATTGTCTGAGTCTGAGTCAGGATCAGGAAGGGGAGGGTACAAGTCCGGTTCTGCCAGAGACTCTGGGTCTGGGTCCAATTCTGATTCAGGGGTCTTCTTCCCCTAGGTCAAAGGTGACTGCTTTTGCACTCTCTGCCTGTACTTTCGGGCGCGAGCCCCATTTCACTTTATTTTCCCCCTTATGCCGAGGAGGCTTCTGTCATGCCGTGCCAGGCACAATGTGGGGGGCAAATACCATAGAGGTAGCACTCTTCTCTACCTCTGAGTGACTTTGTGAAGGAGCAGCAGCCAGGAAAACAGATGCCACTGCTGCCTGTTCTGATTTCATTTCCTTTAAAGTCTCAATTATCAATCTCCATAATGAATACTTCAGGGCTTCCTTTGTCCCTTTACTAATCTCATCCCACAACGCCTGACTTATACGTTCCCATTCAGAAACTTTAAAGGTGGCTTGCTCTGTGGGGATAAAGCCACAATCCCGGGCCCACTTTAACAGCCTCTGTGAGGTGGCACTATCATGTTGCAGTCCTCTCTTAGAGAGAATATGTTGGAGGAGCTCCATCACTGCCTGTTCCTCTTTGGAAGGCGAGTGCCCCATCTCCTCCCCAGCCACTCACCTGGTCAGGGCAAGATCCCACTGTTATTCCACCGTTTGCAGACGTCTGACTTCCACAGCGCTGGGGCAGCGCCGAATTTCGGCCAGCTCTCCGCTCCCTCTTCTTTGATCGGACCTTCAAACTTGCATGCCACAAGTTACCCATCTGAAGGTCCCTGTTCGGGCGCCATTTGTCGACACGGGAGTCACAGACAATGCAGGAACGATCAATGTGATCAGCGAATGCCAATTTATTATAAAGCTTTAACTCCTTATATACTATTTCTTACAGGCACTTACAGTGATTTGGCATATTATGATTGAATACATGTCTTGAAGACCCTTAGCAACTAACACACAATTGGTTAAGCACAGGTGTGAGAACTTGACCTTGAAAGCTTGCCGACAGTCCACAGTTCTCATTAACTCAGTGAATTACAGCTTCTTCTTATCTTGCTTCCTTAAGCTTCCTCGGGCCTCTCATGGCCTTGCTGTATCTTTCAGGATTATTCAGTTTATGTACCTATTATGCATTCTCCACAGGACACCTCCCACTAAACCATGTCACCCAAGGCCCTGTCCAACCTGGCCTTGAACACCACCAGGGATGGAGCATTCACAGCTTCCCTGGACAACCCATTCCAGTGCTCACCACCCTTACAGTAAATAACTTCTTCCTTATATCCAATCTAAACTTCCCCTCTTTAAGTTTTAACCCATTACCCCTTGTCCTATCACTACAGTCCCTAATGAAGAGTCCCTCCCCAGAGTCCTTATAGGCCCCCTTCAGATACTGGAAGGCTGCTGTGTGGTCTCCATGCAGTCTTCTCTTCTCCAGGCTGAACAGCCCCAACTTTCTCAACCTATCTTCATAAGGGAGGTGCTCCAGCCCCTTGATCATCTTCGTGGCCCTCCTCTGGACTTGTTTCAACAGTTCCATGTCCTTTTTATGTTGAGGACACCAGAACTGCACACGATACTCCAAGTGAGGGAAGTCTCACAAGAGCAGAGTAGAGGGGCAGGATCACCTCCATCGACCTGCTCATCAAGCTTCTTTTCATGCAGCCCAGGATACGGTTGGCTTTCTGGGCTGCAAGCTCACACTGAAGCCGGCTCATGTTAATTTTCTCATTGACCAACACCCCCAAGTCCTTCTCTTCAGGGCTGCTCAACCTGTAGCTGTGCCTGGGGTTGCTCTGACCTGTATCTCAAGAGGGTCACCTTCAATATTTGCTGAGGTGGGGCATGAAAATAATCACTACATTTCTCTTACTGTCATTTCTGGGGGAAAATACTGGTAGTATGGAAAATAATATACTAAATCCCAACACATGCACACACTCCAAATGGGCAGGCTTTTAGTTTTTAGTAACACTAAAAAAGAAACAGTAACACCTAAGACATTTACAGTTAGGAGGAAGTCAGATTATAAGAGGTTGGCTGGGCTTTTGTCTTCAGATCCAGGTTTTGGATTCTATTTCTTTAGCACTCTTTTACTGAACTAGATAGATTTCATCTAAGTGATTTAAATTTCTAGTCTTCATTGTTATTCAAGTGAGGAAGCAAAAATCCTGGTTTATATAAATATATATTATATATATATGTATCTATATATATTTGTTCTGGATTTTATACTTTTTATTTAACATCAAAAGAAAATGATTTGATCTCTCTCTGATTTGATTATCAAGGGAGACTAATGACATGGAATGTCATGATTGTGTACTTAACATTGAGCAAATATATTTTTTATTAAGACAAGCTGTGTGTTTTATCCAGCTCTCTTAAGGAAAGTGTTATGTTCAAGGCTTCAATTACTTGATCACACATTTTTTTCCACAGGATCATTATCTAAAACAGTTAAAAGAAATGACAGTGACCAGTTAATGAGTTATTCAGTGTTTGTATATTTTTATTGTCACTGCTGGGGGGGGGGGGGCTACCTGATATATCCCTTTGATTATTTTCTAGCCCTAGTAAGTGGACTGGATTATTCGTTTCCCTGTGGGCTTGTATATGAATGATGTTCAGAATTCTGATGTCTAAGCACTCCACAAACTTCACCTTCATTATACTCTTGTGCTGTGATGTCCTCAGAGAGACTGAAGATAAGTCTGCTGGTTTCAGGTGCCCAGTCTGAAACTTGTGATTTTTAGTATGACATAGGAATGTGCAAGTTCAAAGCTCAACTCCCCAACACTCACCAGCTTCTGAAGCAAATGAAGCAGAGGAGCTACAAGATGCTGGGGTTTGGGGGTATTTTTGGTTGTGTTTTGATTTTGTTTGGTTTGGGGGACATTTTTGGTTGTTTAGCTTTTTTTTCTTCAGGGAAACACCAATTTATCCTTTAAGCACTGCAGAGGGTAAGTAATGGATTCTGGAAAAATCCTGTATGACTGTGCCATTAAAGACTATTCCAATATGTAGGTGTGAAGATGTATATGTCCTGGCTGACACCTGACAGTAATAGTAATTTTAGTTAGAATGATTGATATTTGGATTTCCGGCAAAGTAAATATGTACTAACTCTTAATGTCTATAGAGGTATGGTCAAAGCTTCATTACATTCTCAATTTTAGAAAGCAAAACAAATTAAAAAGTCCCAAACACCAAAAGCATTCTAGCCATTACATCTCATCCAGCATGTGCATTTCTTGTACCATAAGACATCACCATGCATAAAAAGAATGTAGTTGTTTATATTGGCTAAGGGTTTGGACTGGTTTGGGGTTTTTTTTCCAAAGGATATTTTTAGTAGATATTCATTCAAAATTTTCCCAGGCACAGTTTTCAGTAGGAGAAAGAACTTACTGTGATCTATAATGTTGAGCGGTATATGAACTTCAGTGCTGACGTCAGCAATAAGCCCAGGGACATTTTCCTGTATTTCTAGTTTTGTTGGCTGATAATATCCCAGTGTTGTATCTGCAAAAATTAGCAGTGGGTGCATTAGAATTTATGGTACATACTGCCTTGTCTAGGTTAATCCAACAACACACACAGACTTACCCCTCTGTGCTGAAAGCAGAATTATAGAGGAGCTTAATTTCAGTGGAGCGGACTGGATTGAGAAATTGGTCAGTGAGATGTTGGCAATCAAAGAAAATTCCTCCACTGTTTTTGTGAGGCTGCATTGAAATAAAGAGTGGGAAAAAAGTTACCATTACTTGTTAAGATATGGCTCCAGTTCCAGTTTCCAGCTTCCTCTCTGGTTTGGTTATCCAGCAGGAACTTGTCCTCATTCCCTGTTCTTGTCCTTTCTCCAAAGCAGAAAAATTAATCCAGAATTGTTTATGCCAGTATAAATCTCCTGAATCAATGAAATTGCATATTGGACTTGAACACTAAAAGTGTTTTGACTTGTCCATGAACTGCTTTCATCCTGAAACAGAAGGGAAAATGCAGTTGACTACATCTAAAAAAAAAAGTGGGAAAAGCTAAAATTACCTTGTTGTAACATCGACAAGATTATTTTGGTTGAATTCTGTTTCATTGGCATCCAAGAGCTGACTTACTGTAGCCACTGCTGCCACAGATACCTGAGACAAGAAGGAAAAAAAGGCAGTATTCAAATGCAATTGAAATAAATCACCCCATGTCCTACATAGTGGGTGGACAAAGAACACTTCATAAGCATTGGTTGAAAGTATGCACTACAGAGTACACGAAGCACAGGATGCCATTTGAGAGAACACAGACTTTGCACCAATGAGTTCATAAATACCACACTTGTATTAATTGAAACAGTAAGGATTACCTGATAAACATCCAACAATGCTAATATTAAAATTTCAGGTATATGCAAGTCTAACATATATCTAACAGTCTAAACACCTGGTAAAAAACAAATTTACACTCAGCTTTGAGAACTGTTCCTTCTGCTGGTAGAGAGGGAACAGAATTGATATCCCAGATATGAATCCACAAAGATCTTATTTTAGTCTAAGTCTCACCTGAGAGTCTTCTGACACATTGGGTGTTTTCAGAATCTGCGCTGTGACACATTGGGTGTTTTCAGAATCTGCGCTGTGATGCTTGGAGCAGCATAGATGTTCTGTGGTCAGTTGGTCTGGCATGGAGGTGAGGATTTCAGTGTTACTTGCAATAGCTACAATGTTGCTGGAGTTCACAGTTTCAACCTGTTAGGAAAATGCCATTCAACAGAAAGAAAATGAGGAAAAGAAAAAGAGTCACCACTTTAATAACATTCTCACATAAGATCAATATATGCAAGAAACTGGTGGTCTAAATTGTTTCTGTTTGTGTCAAGTATGCAGTATTTGCAATTTCTCCCTAGGGAATGATTTCATAGACTTCCAGAGTACCTTGGGTTGGAAGGGTACTTTGAAGGTCCCCTAATGCAGCAAGGCCAACTGAGACCAGGCTGCTCAGGGACTCACTTTGAATTTTCACAACCTCCTTCAGAAACCTGCTTGTATTTGATCAGCGCCAAGGGAAAGAATTTTCTCTTATCTAATTGGAATTTCCCATGTTGCTACTTGTCTCTGTTACTGCTCTTCCTAAAACCATGCACCTTGAAGAAGAGCCTGACCTCATTGTTCTCCACAACTTGCTGTGAAATAACTGTACATATCAGCAGGACCTCCCTTTTGTCTTGAGTTCATTGAGCATCTGAGTCTATAAACTTCTGTACGCCTCTCACTATTCCTTAAATAACCAGAATGGGATTTTTTGAAAAGCCACCAGAGGAGCTTGAGAAATCTCATCTGGAATAGTTGTGCTTTTCAACACAGTGCTCATAACCTGCACTGAGAACCTTATCCTCACTTCTGTATATTGTATATAGTGTCAGCTTGTCGGGATCCGTTGTTGGAGTCGCGGAAGACAAGCCTCATGCTCTCATGGTCAGCAAGTCTCGTTTATTGATTGCAATACATCGATATTTATAGATCATACAATCAAGTACATATCTATGCGAAGTTACACAATACGCAAGCTTATTGGCTCAAACTTTGGTGGTCGTTAGCAGCTGTTGCCACATCAGCAAGTAGCCGTTAACAATGCGCTATTCCAGCAGGATATGCATCCTGTTTCTTTGTTTCTTGAGTAATCGTTAATCACAAGGTCGCTGTGCCCTGAGGCCTAGAGCTCAACTACTTGCACAATATCATGGCCTTTGCTACTTAGCCATTCTGCTGTTAGGCTCTCAACATCAGCTTTTAAATAAATGTAGAAAAAAAATAATAATCTGATGCTGGAGATACTAATAAGAATTGCTAGAAGCACTGGCTGGGTCCAGTTTGAGTCAGTTAGCACTTAATAGGTAGACTGTAAATGTCTACAATATCTGAAAAGTCTAAACAAAAAAAGATGAGGCTTAAGCTGTATGTTATATGAAGGTATAGCTAAGTTACAGTAAGACTTCAGGAGATGGAAAACCTGCTTATCAGCAGGAGAATTTCCTTTGCAATCTGTGAAGACCAACTAAACAGTGTATCAAGTCATCCCTTTTCTAATCCAGTCAATGAATAGCTTAAATGCATAGCTTCAATTACTGAATTGTTCTCAAATTTTTATGTTGGGAAGCTATCAAAATCAAGATTAATTCAACCATGCAGCTTTGAAGTGTTCATAAAGCTTAGAATGGTAGAAAACAAAGGTGAATGCATTGCATAGGGAGGAAGGAAATTTACATCTATTATCCCTGGAGATTATATTATTTGATTTGAAAACATGTGCATATACACCATGAACAAACAGTACATTGTGAACGCCTATTTTCACTATTTTTATTTCTGACTTTTAATATGACCTTGGATTCAAATCGGATATTGATATTTAAAAGGCAGAAAATCCTTTTAAACTTGGGCTCTGGTTCACTAACAAGAGCACCTCCTTCTCTTCCCATTTTCTAGCATCCCTAGGCTCACTAGATGGCAGCCCCATATCACAACTCCACCAACAAAACCCCAAAATGCTGATGGCAGCAGAATAATCCTATGTTGCATCCTGATGTTGCACTCTCGTTAGCATTATAAATAGATACTACTAGTAGTATATATTAATCTAGACAAGATTTAGCATTTGAACCATTTAGTAAAGGCTGTGTATTGAGAAAATACAATATCGAGCTCAAAGGATCATGGCAGGTGAAGCACTGGATACAATAGTCAAGCAAAAATACATTATTAAATGGACTTTTCTTATTTAAAGCAGATGTAGCCCATTTCTTCCTCCATTCAGAGGTGTCTGCTGTGAACTGAGGACCTGAGTGAGGAAATAACAGGCCAGCTGAGGAATATGAAATGGGATGCTATGTTCAGACAAAATCAGAATAAAATCACCACCACTGGAAATTCAGGCCATTTGCAAAGCAGGCACATGGTGAGAAAAGCACTGAAAAAGGCTTTGGTCCTTCATTTTGCTTTCTGCAAAATTTTAAGAAAGGTAACACATATATATTTCCTGCCTCAATTTCCTATCACTTCTTCTTTCCCCCCTTGGAATGATGCAGACTCTCAGGCACAGTTTAAATAGTAATTTAAGATTTAAGACTCCCTGTGATACTAGGGAGTCCAGATTTTCATCGCAATTCAGAATTTTGGGGGGCTCTAAAGTAGGTGCTTTCCCTTGTCTGGAGCACATCCGGACTGCTATCGAAGTGTTACCTGTAAGTTTGTAAAAGCAGAAAGATAGGCATTTACTAGAGAAGCACTCACATGCACATGATCTCATTAGGAATTAAAACTGTATTGTGGCTGTGAGACCCTATCTAGTGCTGTTTTCTGTTTGCATGTAAAATATTTGTCTTTCAGAGTTAAAATTGACCATGAATTATTTAATTAGTTCTTATTCTTTTTAGAACATGTGTTTTATACTCATATACACAATCTTGTGAAAGTGGCTGATGTTATTCATGCCAAATTCAGCTAGGTTTAGTTACACTAGAGCTGCAGAAACATATCTCTTAAATGGGAGGCAGAAGCATCAGCACTGAGCTATCAGAAAGACTTTTAAGCATGTCCTGAGAAACATCTGTCTTGAAAGAAATGCAAAGCATGTGTGGAGCAGCTGCAAAACTTACTTCTACAAGGTCTCTGGAAGCTGAGACAGTTCATGGAATCACAGCTGACAGAAAGTATCCTGAATCCTAATGCTAAATAGTAGGAAATCAATAGATTTTTTTTTCTATCAAAAGGCTGTTCAGGAGCAGATATGGGGGGGGGGGCCCCCCCCCGCACGAGATTACGGAATGGAATATATAAACCTTTAGAATCAGTTTTAAGTAATGTTAAGTTTGATGGCTTTGTAACAGTAGCAATGGAAAATTACTGAGGTGCATGATACACAGAAAAAAAAATAAGAGTACAGCTAGAGAACATACTGAGAATTCTTGTACATGATAAATCGTTATAGTTGATGTAGTTTTAAGAAAAAGAGTCTAGAAGTACAGGATGCAAGGATAAGGAGTATCTGGGAACGGCAGCTGTCCAGAATGGGCTACAGTTAAACTAACTGATAAGTAGGACAGGAGGATTATTATGTCTGTAGTGTTAACGAACCAGTTAAGCTGGTATAAGCATCTACTGCGCGTGCTTCAAAGGCTGCCAGAAGTGATGAAGATTGTTGGAAGAGGTAAACAACCCTCAGAGACCACCACAATTCTGTACGCATGCGGGGAACTTTCTGGAAAATACTGTAATCCATACATAGCCTCATGAATATGTATGTATGCCCAGTGACTATATAAGGGCGGCTTGTGTAGCAATACAGAGACACACGTTAGGAGGAGTTATCCCCCATGTCTCCCGGCGCAGCAATATAGAATACCTGCTTGTCAGCTTGAAAACTTTGTGGCAAGTTTGTTCCTGGAGTTTTCTCTGAATCAATACTAGCTAACTCACAGCCCAGTCCTAGACAGATATGGATACAACTCAAGGGTGTGTGCCTTAAATTCTCTGCATTTGGGATAGAAAGCTGTCTGCAAAGGTTTGTGCTCCTGCTGCTATGCTGTTCTGGCTTCAAACATCAACCTCTCATCTGGTCTAATAATCCGACATCTTTCAGTATTTACTTGTGGTAAGTAGAAGTTAAAGGAAAGAAGCACATACTATTCACAGTGTCAGGTTTGCATTTTCCTTCTGAGTTGCCGTATTTACTCACTATAATCCTTCAAAAGAAAGGTTTTTGGTAATGCTTTCAGAAATATGCACTGTGTAAATACTGGCTTCACAGAAATTAACTGCTCAGAAGGAAAAGAAAACATATATGCATATCAAATATTTTTAGTGCAAGGACTAATTTTCAAAAGTTAAATAGTATTGAGATAGAAGCTCACTGAATCTTTTGCCCTAAGGGAAACAAAAGCAGTTGAGTAAAACTCATCTAAACGCAAGCTGCTGAGCTGCTACAAGTGATACTTACAAAGTCACTGAAACCCTAACGCTCATATTTTTTTCCACCCCTCCTATTTTCACTGTCTTGGTCCTACAAAGCTTGTAAAAGATGATAAAGCTTCTCTTCCAGGGTCTTGTTGCCCAAGCAGAAATCAGATTTGGTAACCACAGGATACCAGGGGGCAAAACCATAAGTTTGCTCCACATAGGGTTTGGACAGTTAATGGGGGACAGTCCTTTGGTGACTCTGAACCATGATGGGTTCAGTGCAGCTTCTGGTGCAGGAAGTCGCTGCCCAACTGCCTACCACAATGGTACAGGGTGGCCACCCCAAGCCCCACACCTTGCCTAAGCATCTGCTATTGTTTACGTCTAAAGGCAGGATGATGAGCTCAGTGGACCTAACACAGTACAGCAGGTTATTGCATACTCATGTCATACCATAACACTATAACGTAACACAAATTTACCTTGCATTGCGGCAAACACTTGAAAAAAGTGCTGTAGCACACAGGCAGAAATATTTTGCTTGGTCTTACAACTTGCAACATCCTGGTTTTGCTAACTTTTGTTAATTTGGACCACATTTCAGCTGACTGTGTTCCATTAGCAGGACTGAGTCAGAGAAGCATACCTATGGTTGAGGTCCTGGGGGTGGCTCAGGAGGTCTGGAGTGTTCTCCATGTGCTGGCACAGGCTTCCTTGCCAAGTTACATAACTTTCTGTGGGTCATATTTTCTATAGCATCTCACTTTCCCATGACACAATGGTACTTTCCTTCTGTGGAAATGGTTATGAACAAATAAGGGTGCATGACTGCAAAGTTTAGGTCTGCTTTATAGCACCGTACTTGACCTTTGCTTGCCAGGAGGTGATTAGCAGGGCATGCTGCTGGACCCTCTCCAGCTCCTCCATGTCTTTTTAGCCTGGGGTGCAGGCCCATATTTCCTGGTGGTGCCTCATCAGTGCCAGGATGGTGAGGGTAATAGTGTCTGTCAACCTGTCTCTCTCCACAAAGCACAGCAGCTCTGCTTTGTTTGTGATGAACACACACTGTTGGCCCACACTGAACCTGGATATTCACTGTCTCTCACAGATAATTTCCATCAGGGCTGCTCCTCAGCCAGAAAGTTTCTGGCCTGTGCCAATGTCCCTGGCATGGAGATCAGCACTTGTCCTTCTTGGACACCATGAGGTTTCTGTTGGCATTATCCTCAGGTTTTTCATGGTTCTGCATTGAGACCATGCTATTAACTGTATCATCAATACCTCTGCCCTGCCTCAAGTTTAGTATTGTCTACAGATTTGCTAAGAAGGCATGCTGTGTCATCATTCAAGTCTTTGATGAAGACATTAAATAATATTGGCCCTAGTACTGACCAGCAGGTTACTTTTGTTATATGCCAATCAAGTCACTGATCACTACCCTTTAAGCTTGGCTGTTGAGTTAATTTCCAATCCAGCTAGTGAATCCAGTTCATTCACCAAACCCATATATATTCATCTACCAAACAAAAATGCTAAAGGAGATGGTGTCAAAAGCATCTCTAAAATCAAGGTATGCTACATCTGTTGCTCTTCTGTTGAAGAGTTGATCAGACATGATTTTCCCTTTGTAAATCCATGATGTTCCTGATTTCTGCATGTATGGAAATAGACTCCAAGAGGACATGTCCAAGAAGACATGCTCCGTAATACTCTTAGGACTGAGGTAAACCTGACTACCTTATGATTTCCACAGTCCTCCTTCTTGCTGTTCTTAAATGTGGACATAATGTTGGTTTTTTTTCAATTCTCTCTGTCGTCCCTTGATCACCATAGGTGACAGATAGCAGCCCACTGTGACATCATCCAGGTCTTTCAGCAGCTTTGATTGAATAGTGTCCAGACCCATGCATTTAAATACTTTTGTGGTGAACCTGCCTTTCTTATGACAGATGAAAGAGAGGAATAAGTTGATACATACGCATTCATACATGAGTACCTATTTGTCGTGGTTTAAACCCAGTCAGCCATTTCTCACGCAGTCGCTCTCTCCCCCCCCCCCCTTCTTGCCCTCCCCCTGCTCCCGGAGGGATGGGGAGGAGAATCAAAAGAATGAAACTCCCACAGGTTGAGATAAGAACAGTCCAGTAACTAAGGTATAACGCAAACCACTACTGCTACCACCAGTAATGATAAAGGAAATAACAAGGGAAGAGAATACAAGACCTCATCACCAGGCAACCGATATCCATCTGAAATAAAACTGGTGTTTTTTTTCCCCACTGAGGCAAATCTCAAATTACTGCAAATATTCTGACTTCAATAGAATTGCTCTAGATCTTTTTAAAAACCTAAACAAACCACAAGTATGAAGAAAAGCAAGGGCCCTATGTCATGATCTTTAAAGGAAAGTAACCATGACATAATGTACAAAAGCAATGAAATACGAGCTAAGTGGAAAATTTCCATCACCACTGCAAAAAAGTAATTGGTTTACAAAATTTGACTGCCCTCTATGTCATGCTCTCTTCTGCTGGCAATAAACCAGATCACCTCCTCTCTTATACCCCCAGCACCCAACTGGACTTCCTTCCAGCTTCCCCAACACCTTTAGCACCATGTTCCTACATTCTTTATGCCCCATCATGTCTTAGCCCCTCTCTCACTTCTGTCTCTCACATGCATCTTTTGATTCCCAATACATAAAATACAGATTTTTATTTTGTTAGCTGGTGGAGAGGAGACAAATGTCATGGCTAGTTTAGAGCTGTGCATCTTAGTCGCTAGCCTGGATTGACTGGCCACGCAGTCCCCACCTCCACACTGCCAGCTTAAGTCTCCTTGCCTTTTTCTCAGGTATTTATAGGGTTGGTCTTCTGTACCCAACTAGTGATATGTGCAAAACTTGTAAGATCTCAAAATCTTTAAGACTTGTAGCCATCTAGTGAATTTAGTTGAAAATGTTCAACAAGTGAAGAGTTGCCAAGAAGGTGGAACAACAAACAGATGGGCAGTATAAACGTTCTTCAGGTAAACAGACCAAAATTCAGATTTGGTAAATGCAGTAATGCTTGTGGTTATTTCAAGTTAATTATGCCAGTCCAAACACTCCTACCTCATATATTTTAAAAACTACAGTTACTAAAATCTATCCTTTAAAGCAATTTGCCGCAAATCAAATACAGAATACCAGAGGAGTGAACATAGGGAGTCATCATAATAGTTTGTTTCCAGTGCTGAAATTCCAGCAATGATTATTTTGTTTAAGACAATTTCTCCAAAACATTTTACCCAAATGTTCCAATCCATCATGAACCCATCCAATCTGTCATCGTCTGTTGGATGTGCTACCCATCCTGTATTAAGGAAATTACATGGGATACCTGAAGTTTTCATCTACCTAGCAGTCTTCACCAGGAATATTTTCTTGCCGATCTTTTGACATCCTTCTGACCAAATGTGTGATTTCATTTTACAAAGGTGCAGCGTATCCACGTGACACTGGCCACAGTGTAGGTTGTCCTGGAAGGTGTGAGCTGTGGATGTTACCAGCACTGGAGATATTGCAGCCCTGTGAACCAGTGCCCTCACAAAGTTTGTTAGGAGCACCTGCTCCAGTTACAGCAGTGCCATGCCATGGCACAGAGGACTGAAATGGGAGTCAACCAGCCCAGTGCTATGCCAGGCGTAAGAAATGTGACTCCTTCAAAAGCAGTGCCAGTGGTAGAAGGCACTGAGGATGGTCACTGTCCTGCAGAGTGCTCAGCTGGATGGTGTCCCTTTAAACACTGGTAGATCCAGAGATGTCGACACTGGCTGCTGAGGTCTGAATCAGATTTTCAACTCACTGTGAATTTCAAGCAGAGGAATTCAAAGACCAAATTGGCTAGGAACAGACCACAGACAGTTGAAACCTGCAATGTCTTCCCCAGATATATTACTCGTTTGAAAGAGTGACAGGAGTGAAGGATAAGGCCTCACCTAGCAAGAAGAACCATATCACTGCTTGTGGATACACCCTGCTGAGCAGGTCTCAGCAAAAGGGGAAAATCAGAGGCTTCCCAAAGCAGAGGGGTTCCCAAAAATGGCACCAGCTGCCTATGCTGCCTGGCTTGTACTGATCTATCTCACAAAGAGATCCCACCCACTCCTCTGGGCACACGCAGGCTCTGTTATGACAGATGTCACCACTGAGGCAGCACAGAGCAGAAGCACGGAGGTACCTCGGATTCTGTGGAGTCTGTGTAAATAAATAATCAAGATATATCAATGAATAGTGATGTAAAAACACATATCTATCTAATTTGCTGAAGGAAAGAAGCAAACATGATTAATTTGAAACTTCAACTAAGAATATATGTGACCCACAGTGTCCCCCAGGTACTCAGTCACTGATCCCTCCTTGACCCTAAAACCAGTGTCATGAATGTGGGGTCGAAGCTTTCAAACATGAGTCAGTGTTTCCACAGCAATGTAGGTGGAAACAGTTTTGTGCAGCTGCTGGACAAGCAGGAGTGATGGTGTGGGCTTCCAGGCTGCCAAAGCACAAGCTGTTGAATTCATTAAAAGCCAAAATAACTTCTGCAGGATTTCACAGGAGCAAGAAGGCAAAATAGGACCACAGAACCCCAGTGCTGAGGGACCCAGGACAGTAAGAAGAACATGGACAGTCACAGATCAATAACCAGACAGAGATACTCTGATTTAAGACAGGTATTATTGAATAAAGCTGATAAAACCCCATGCCCCACATCACAGTCAACCTCGCACAGTCCCAAAGTGAAGGATGGAGTTGGAATCCCCATAAGTTTCATGGTGGAAATTGTGCACCTGTGCCTTGAAATAATGCAGAAAACTGGAGCTGAGGACTGCCATTTGATCTGACATTTTACTGCCTGTGTTTGAGATGCTGACAAATACAGTAAAACCAGAAAATTCAAAAGTAAAAACTGGCTGCCAGGAACACATATGCTATTGTATATTTCTAATATTCTCACTGAGCTAAAAAAATTGCCTAGCTTCTTACTCTCTAATGAGATTCATAAACTGGAAGATTATTGCAAACCATAGGGGATATGCCACGTGGCAGGGGTAATTCTGTTCTTGGCACGTATCACTCAGATTTTGCTCATGCTGTTGCTATATAGTATTTGTGTTTCATCCTGTCTCAGCTACATTACAGCCAGATGTCCATGATGATAATGGAATAGCATCTATGTGTTGCTAGGTAATGTCTCCACTAGCAATCAGCTTTTCAAAACACATTCTCTTTGTTGGAAATTTTACAGAAAGGAAAGGAAAACTCCTCCAGCAATCGAGACCTGGGAAGCCCAAGCTAAGCAGCTGTGGATAATGGCTGTATCTGGGGAGATGAGTGCCTGGTCGGGCATCTGTTGCCCCGTTGCCTGGCAGCACTGGCTCACCCACCTGGCACATGAGTGTGGCACATGGGGGCACGTAGCAGACTAAGACACTTGCTTCAGATTTGGGAGCCTGGGAACCTGCAAAATACTGGGAACTTGCAGCGCAGCTCCAAGCCTCTGTCTTACTTGGTGAACACATGCCTGAAGCAGACAGGCAGAAGGTGACACTGCTGTGTGGGTAATCTGGCACAGAGCACCCTGGAAACTGGGAGAGAGCAACCCTGCCCTGCAAATGCACAGGCCTTGGGCTGCCTGCTCAGGGGCAGGACAGGGGATCAGCTGCAGCAGCCGTGGGTGAGAGCAATGGTAATGGCACTTCCACAGCCCAGCTGGGGTGTCACGGTCTGGCTGTGGCACTGTTAGTCACAGGGTGCAAAAGGAGTGCAAGGAAAGGGAAAGGTGAAAAGAAGATCAGGGCTGACACTTCTGTGGGAGCAGTAAAACAGAAAAACACAAAGCTGTGGGGTGAGAACTCCAGTGTTTACCCTTGCAGGTACAGACACAGCTGCTAAGCCACCCTTGAAGCAAAAAGCAGGTGCCAGCAAACAGCATCAGCCTTACCTTTGCCTTTCCCAGAAAAGCCCTTCTGTAAAAACAACATGATGCTCACAGGATCTGTTAGCGCTAATCAAAACTGTGGCTTTAGTTAGTGTTTGCTGATAGCCTTTCTCAGGTTGCTGTTCAAGGTCTCATGTACCATTATAAAGCTTTCTTTTTTCTTTTAGGCAGAGAGAAATCTGTGTCTTTCACAAACACAGATTCCTGAGCTGACTAATGCAGTCACATACACCTCCCACACAGTAAAGCTCATCAGGCCTCAGTAATTGTGGCACTGACTTAAAATAATGTTTTTTTTTTCTGGTTTTATCTTAAGAGTCAGAAAACATCTCTTTATTTGGCTTTGGCTTTGAAGTTTTGCAGACATTAAGAATCTCAAGAATCACATTTTGATCGTATGTATTTTTAAACTAAAACTAAAAGCTTCTTGCATAATGCTATGTCATCATGAATCATTGGGGTTTTCTTAATCAAATATTATTGAAACTGTTAATGCTAATACTTGTGAATGAAGTTTCAATACAGAATGACCACTGCCACTATGCGTAACAAGCAATGCATCAGATGGGCATGAAGGTATTCTCTGTCCCTGAAGTATATGCACTACTTCAAGTAGTTCCAGCAGCCATCCAGTTCCTAGCAGCTCATTTACCTGCAGTTGTGTAAATCCTAAGCATAAGCAGAGGTACTCCTCTAGGAGTTGTACTAGGAGTTGTCCTGGATTCAGCAGTAGCAGTCATTTTTTCTCCTTCTTGGTAGCTGGTGCAGGGCTGTGTTTTGACTTTCAGCCTGGGAACAGAGCTGATAACATCGATGTTTTGGTTTGGCCAAGGACTTTGTGAGCCTCATGCTCTGCCAGGGAGGAGGGGAAGCTGGGATGAAGCATAGACAGGACACCTGACCCAAACTGACCAAAGAGGTATTCCATACCACAGCACGTCGTGCTCAGGATGTAACTGGGAGTTAGCCGCAAGGGCTAGGAGACTGCGGGGTTGGAGGAGATACCGGTCGGTGCTTGGTCAGGCTGGGGGGGGGTGAGTTATCGGTCGGCTGGTGCTGAGGTGTTGTATTCTTTTCCCTTGTTATTTCCTTTATCATTACTATTATTGGTGGTAGCAGTAGTGATTTGTGTTATACCTTAGTTACTAAACTGTTCTTATCTCAACCCGTGGGAGTTGCATTCTTCTCAGTTCTCCTCTCTGTCCCTCCGGGAGTAGGGGGAGGGAAAGAAGGGGGGGAGTGAGTGAATGAGCTGGGTTTAAACCATGACAGGAGTTAACTCCCATCTCATCTGGATTTAGCTCCACCAGGTTGAACAAGGTAGATTACTACTGACATATGTTAAATAGTTGCTGTTTACTTACGTGCCATTTCTTGGGCGTGTATATGTTCCCTCCCTCCAAACATCTGATAAATCTCTTGTAGTCAGTGTAATAATTTTGTATCATGTCAGTATAGTGACTATTTTGAAAGGAAACACTGGCCAGCTTTCTGTTACAAATTTGCATACAGAAGTGTCTTACAAGGGTGCATTTAGCTGATTTTCAGGTATAGAACATGCAATATCTTCCATACTCCTTCAGCGAAGTTTTCTGTAGTGCAAGTTGTAATGAAAACATGAACAGGTGCTGTTTAACATGTTTTGCTTATATGCATGCAAACATAAACTTATGTAAAGCTAAATATTTCCTCTTTAAAACAATTTACTAGATTAGCTAGAGGTTTACTTGTGTCTTTTGAAAAATAGATTTCTACTGAAAGAGTGAGAAAATATCAAGACATTTCTCAAAGCTCTATCAGAAGACTAATGTATAGTGTAAACATGTTAGAAGTAAAATACTCTAGAGAGTGTTTGCTGTCCTGTTCTATTTTAAAGCAGAATGCAATGTTTGGCATACTTCTTTAAACATCAGTGTGAGAAGAAAATGATTCCACCTACGAAGCGTACAGCACAGAGGTAATAATGTATATCAGCAATCATGTTTAAAAACTTAAGAAAAGGAAAAAAGAGCCCAAAGAGCTCAAACAGAGTTCAAATGGAGTAGAATTATATTTCTTACAGGTTTTAAACCTGAGGACAAGCTGCCAAATACACAGTGCCCAAAGGGTTGCAGTGACTGCACAGCAGATAATTCCAACCAATATTCTGTCCCAGTGAGGACATTGCACTGCAGACTGTCTGCTGTGCTATAAAATGGTAATATACATTCATAACCTTGTGATGGATAAACTATTAATTACTTGTCTACCACTAAAACATTAACCCTTCCTGTTCCACTTAGGAGAAAAAAAAAAGTAACACACCATTACTTCTATCATTTTCCAACCAATAAAACATTTCTCTTATCAAGGCATTGAATGTCTTCTACCTGCTATAAAACAATGTCCCAGCTCAGACAGGCAGCTACATTTATATTGGTAAGGGATGGAGATTGATATTTCAATGTATGGCATGGCTCAGAGCCATGTCAGAGAATGTTTCTTCCCTCTTGGCAAAGCATATATATTACATATATGTAGCCTTCTGGAACTGACTCTAATCCTCAAATTAGACCTGCGCATGGTCTGATGAGGTGCTGGAAGGCACAGGCCAAAACGATGCCAGGCAGTGTGCTAGCATTTAAGGGATTAGCCCTGTTATGCAGCCTCATTTTATCTGCTGGTACAGCCATAACCACCAGGCTCTGCAGCAGGGAGGCTAGGCTGGACTCAGGGAGATGTCTGTGGAAGGTTGAGAATAAGGTCTCTCCTTTGCAGCAACATTTGCCTTGTGCTGAGAGGAGGTGGACATGCTTACTGTGTTAGGACTGGCCTAGATCAGGCACTTGGCATGCACCAAGAGAGTAAATGGCATTTCCATACTACATGATTTGGACAGGCAGCAGGGTACAGCCTTCTTGCATGCCCTCTATGCAGCTCCACTATTAAATATGGTCTCTCAGCAGTCACTGGCAAAACTAGGAATAGAATCTCTGACTTCAGATTCCCAAGACAGCTGATTCATCCAGAAAGAAGTGGAGAAGGAAAAGAAAATTAATAAAAGGCACAAGTAAAATGTGAAGTGGAAAGATAAGTTACACCACCAGAACTGCCAAAATCAGCATCTTCTGCATGTTATTATGTCTCCCTCTGACAAATTAAAAGCTAAGAGGTGAATGTCACAGTCAAAGTGAGGAGGCAAATAGAGTTGTTTAAAAAATAAACACTGTATTTCCTATAATCAGTGATTAGTGCCTGGATCCCTTGTGTGTGAGTAGGAACAGTACCTTGCTCTTACATGGTGTTCTTCATTAGTGAGGAAAGGAGGCTTGTTTGGCTTTTCTAATTACTGAAGTACTTTCATCTCAGTTTTAGAAGCAGGACTCAATAAAATGATGTAATATGCCAAGGATATACAAAAAAAAAACAGTCAAAAAAGGGCTCAGGTCTCTTGGGATGCAGCCCAGTGGTCTAGCCACTAAATAGTACTGATACTGCTAGATGCTACAGTTTCTTTTAACACCTTACAGACTATTAAGATTTTTTTTTATTTTTATCAAGAAAAAAGATGACTAAGATAAGGTATGTATTTAAACTCCTTGGTGGCAATCTGCAAAATATTCACAAAAATGCTCATACTCAAAAAATCAATGCAGAAAACACCAAACATCTAACTTTAGTGATCAAGACACACTATATGGAAGAAAGCACATAGGACATAGGAAATTCTGAGGAAATGCTGAAATAATTAGATTATTAGATTTACAACAATTAAATAATAATTGTAATACTATTAGATTTCAATTTAATATGATATTGATTAGACATATAGAAATATAAATAATTAATAATTAATTACTGTTATACTATTAGATTATTTAATATTAGATTTAATATTTAGATTTAATATTTGATTTAATAGTAATAATTAGATTTACAAATGAGAGCACCAAAACTGTTAATATGCTTCTTCAAACAGCCTAACATCTTATCATTCTGCTCACAAGTTAAAACCGACTGCACCTCCACACCAGTGACTGGTACTGGGACAGAGCTCCAGGCAGGATATGGCTGTTTGCTGTCCCTCTGGCACAGCTCTGGCCAGCTGGGGATCTCCCTGCCCGTCTTCAGTAGTCATTGGGTTAAGAGTCTGTCTCTTGTCCTAGATCTTTCCTTTCTCCATATTACTCTTATTAGTACTGAAAACAGAGAAGGGGAAACATCCCCTTCATGATCAGCACTGAGACACAAGGAGGGCACAGGGGCTGTGCCATGCAGCCGATGGGTGGGAGTGCAAGGCTGTGAGGAAATAGACATCTCCCTGGCTGAAAGGGGATATTGGGGCATTTTAACTCAATAAAATGCCAAACTGAAAATCCTCCTCAAGGGGGTTGCCTAAGCACTGGCAGGCTTTCTTCATCAGAGGGACAGAAATGGGACTTTGTGGGGCAGGGCAGCAGAGGTGCCCCCTTTGTCTGGTGAGAGTAGCCATGAGTGGATGCCGGGTGGCACAGCTTCAGGGATGGCTCCAGAATGCATTCCACTGCCTATCCATTCCATGGGCTAGGAAGCGTTTGCGGAGTCAACCAGGCAAGCCCTGGCACCCTGACAGCTGTGTGGCCCAGCTATGTTGCTGCTGTGAAACCATGAACAACCACAATTCTCAGCTGGAAAAGAAGATCTCCTTGTCCTACTCACCAAGAACACTTAGTATCCTTGCACATGTTAATTACTTTGCAGCCTCTTGCCATAGCAGTTAAATGGTTGCCTTTCTGAGGTTAGAAGGGCCAAGAGTATGAAACACACAAGATGCCTGTCCCTGTGCAGGACTTGTACAGAGCAAAGCAGAACCAAGCATAGACAGACTAGCTCTTGCAGATGGGGAAACTGAGTCACAGAATAGTTCAGCAACATTAAGTTAAGCTACACCCAATATGGCACCAAGTCTCAGGTTTATGGTATGTTTAAAACATACCTAGCTTCTGAATCACAGGTCTGGGTCCTTTGCTAGTAGAAATGCTGCTAGATCATTTTGCATTTTTAAAAATCTCTTGCAGAGATTTTTAAATTACGAAGTAGGAAAGAAATAAAAATTAATTCTTGTGGCTACTGACATTGGCCATTCTATTCAATGGAAATAACATCCCTGCTTTCATTCCTTTATATAGCTAACATCATCATGGATGTCTTTGAGAAGCATGTTGTATTTAGATATATAAAATACCATGAGTCCAAAACCTTGGGTTGCAAGCCCAAGTTTGCAAATGGAAGACAAGTTTGTTAGCTGGGAAGTGAAAGTAAGATTGTGAGCTAAAAATATTGGGAACTTCTAACTTCACATGAATATTTTGTATAAATCTTAAGAGGAAAAAAAAAAAAAAAGCAGCATAGGAACCAGATGGCAAAACCAAAACAAACCAATAAATACATTCTAAGGGATAGTACACTTTTATTTATGAAAATAATAAGCCATGTTTCTATGATAGAATAATCAAATGGAAAGAAAACCTTATTACTTGCAGATTTGTATATGTGATGCAGCTGCAGGGAGACAAACCATTCTTGAGTAGCTAGATGTTTTTTCTGCTTTCCTCCATTTCTTTTAAGCCTTAATTAGAGCCAGATGTTTCTTATTTCCTTTCTTTATTTGTTTGTTTTCAAGCCTGAATGAAGTGTGGTGCCAGCAGTGAATATCATCTTTGACTTTTTTTATGTTGCAATTGTGTCTGTCTGAGTTGGAGTCACAAACCAGTAAAATTCCAGCAAAACAGTTCAGGCTTTCACTCCTGCTGTCATTCCCATCGGGAGCAGGAGATCAGCATTACTGCTTCTGCGCCTGCCACACAGGAGCCATAAAAATCCCAGTGTGTCTGAGAACCTTGTCCCTGATAAATAACACTGAAGGCAGATTGGAATGCTGTACGCCATGAATGCAGCTTTCCCTCCCATAGTCGTAGAGTGCTGGGAATGTTTTCTGGTTTCTTAATTGGTATTCAGTTGTATAGATCTGCAGTCTATTTTCCATTTTTTCCTTCTTCTCCTCAGGGAGGCACTGGCTGGTATATAGATGCAAACATTTCTTTTCCAATTTCATGTCTTACTGTGACCTCTAAGGTACCATCCCCTCTAGAATATTTTGCCATTAAATGGTAGTGATCTATTAGCAAGAGCTCTCCTGAATCAAATTGAGGTATTTTGTAGTATTTATATAATGTTTTTAACTACTTTTTAAATGCATTTTCATTCTAAGAAGTGTATCAAATATGGAAATCAGTGAACTGCAACAATTACACAGCAAAGTGTTAGAAATTACTATTCTGAAAAAGTCATCTGACAACAAATTATGCCTTATTGGACAAATATTAGGCGTTTTACTCCCACATATTTTGAACAAGCACATATTTTACCCAGAATAGATCTTAAAAGCAAGTGCCCAGCAGTTTTCCAGTTGTCTTGCTCCCTTTTCACAGATGTGCTGTTGTTGCTCAGTCCTTGGTCAGGCTTCTTTACACTACAGCACATGCTAAAGGGCTTTTTAGATAAAAAATTGTTCTGTTTTCTTCCACCAACTTCTGTACTAGTAATTCCTACTCCAACTGTTTTAGTTCAGAGGAACTGAAGCATGTGGAAGGAGGACGTTAAGGTACCAGATACACCTAGGTGTTCTTGTGCCTCAGTTTTAAGGGTGAATGAGCCTCTAGGATTGAAATTCCTTGCTGCAAATTTACTCTTAGTTCAAGCTAGGTTTAGATACAAGGGGGAAAAAAAAACTTATTTAGACAATATAAAACAAATATCACACTTACTAAGCTTTGCAGAGACACAGGTAACATAAATGAGAGAAAGCCATGGTTAACCGTCACAATAAAACTTAAACAGGCTCCCTTCCCTTCTGTCAACCAAACTCCTCACCTTATGCATGTGTGTGCCTCAGAGCCAGGCATGCATCAATGGTGCCAACGGAGTATACCTGTACAGCACAAACATTCCACACATCTTGGAACTCTAGTTTTGTCCAGGGATGCAGATCCCCATTAGTGCTTGGAGCAAACAAGGATCAATGCTGGACACCACCACTGAACTTCATTTCCTGTGAAGGGACTCCAGATCCCATGCTCTGACTCCACTCCATGATGTAAACCTGGGCATTTAAGTTAGGATGAGTGGGTAAGATCCAAAGTGCTCTCTTGATCCAGATTAAAATGCAAAGGCTGGTTCAGAAAGTATTGTGGTCATGGGCTCAGGAACTGCAAGAGCAGCCTTGCCTTTATGCTGCCAGTTCAGAGATGCTCTTTTTTTCCCCCAAGACATCTTCTTCCCTATTTGTCCAAGGGGTTGTTTCAGCCTCCTTTCGTTTGGGTTTCTGACATTTTGCAGCCCACTGGCAACACTGAGTGAACTTCCTGAGCTCAGGCAGTGCTGTCCCAAGACCAGACTCCTCATATGGTGCATGAAGTCCTCCCTCCATGCCTCACCCCAATACCAATGTAACCATGAGGTCCCGAGTCATCCACACAAATAGAAACACCTTCCCATTGTGAGCCAAGCTTCTGCCACACACTGAAGTTCATCTGTCTCACACAGAGACAATGCAAAAATGTGCATTTTACATGATTGCCTGAATGGGATGGGGCATGTATCTTGTCACCAGATTTTTGAGGTTGACCATGACAGTAAACAGTCATACTGGCGATGTGGCTGGAGATAGCCAACCAGAGGGTGTACAATGACATTGGTACATTTGACTTTCTAATGCAAATTGGTTGATTCCCAATTTGGTTTATTTAAAGCTACTTCTTGTTTTTTAAAGTTTTTGATTGATAGTTTTTAGAAGTCTTATGCAACTCTTTCAGATTTGTGAACAACCAGGTGAAATGGGAAATTGGGAAATGCTGACTTTCTATCCCTTACTTGGCCCTAAATAAATTTAGAAGTTTTCTTACGTACAGGTAAGTGCATCCCACTCTAAAAAACACTCTCTGTCAAATACGTAGCAAAGTGGTATCAAGCCCACGGAACTATAAAGTTTAATCAATTTATGCCTAAAATGCAGTCTGAGAGTTCACAAAATTATTTGCTACTTTTTGTCAGGTATGGTCCCTAGTCTTAATTTTAGAAACTGGTGAAAAATATGAAAAGGACAAAATCTGTAACTGCCAAAATTTCTTCAAGTATGTCAGCTTTTTTCTTCCAGAATGCATTTTCGCATTACAGCACAAAAAGTGTTTTGTTTTTCTATTTAAAAGAAAAAGGTAGCAAAATCAAATAAAATCATAGATATTCTTATTATAAAGCTTGCCAAAACAGAAAGATCCAATTCATGCAGTTCTGTTTACTTGGTTGCTGGCTGCCCCATTATGTATGATACAGGAGACCAGGTCCAGATCTGGGACCTCATTTTTCCACAGCATTAGACTTTCATGGATCATACTCCCCAGACCTCAAGAAGAGTTGCTTTCAACTGTGTTGTAAATTATGAATAAATAACAGAATCAAGGGAATTTGACAAGGCAGCACTGACCTTTCCTGAATTTGAGTGTAACTCTCTCAAATGTCTGGGTTGGCTATGGGAGTAACATATCTATCATACCCCATAAATGCATATATTTTTTTCCCCTGAAACATGACAGACATTTTATATGAATAAATCAATTTTATTTAAATAATATTACAGGCATATCTTGTCTATTATAAACTACCATGCAGATTTTCAAAAGCACCAATATTTAACAATAATTTCAATTTTCTTGAGAGCGGCTACCTTTTTCTGAGTGGTGTTTGTAAACTTGTGAGACTTCCCTCCACTCATTCAACTCAAGCAAAATCTATTGCTAGTGAAATGCTGACTGTTGTACCTTCTAACTTGTAATAGTCACCTTATTGTTCCTGAGCATCTCTTTTGAACAGTGCTTGACAAGAATGGGTAAAGTGTTCTGTGTAGCAAAAACCCACCGTGAAACAGGGTCTTTCTTTCCTTTGTGGCACCAAAAATATAGCAGGCACAAAAACATTGCAAATAAAATCCAAGAGACTATCATTTCTTTGAGGCCTCAGGATCTGTTTTTCCTTGCATTTCTTCAAGCTAAATAATGCAATACCACTTTCCCCAATGCAAAAAGAGTTTCTGTAAGAAGGCTGCCCTACAACTCTGTGTCACAGACTGCATTAGCCTCCATGCTGGGCTTCTTCAAAAGCATCTTTGCAAAGCATGGTTGCACCAAAACAAGCAGAGGTGTATGATGGGCTTATTCGTTCAGTTGTCCGACCGTTTATGGGAGATTCACAGCAGGGAAATGAAATAGCTATAGATGATATGCGAAGAAAATGCACACACCTGCAGCCACTGCTGGATGTAAACAGGAACAGAGGCAGAGCCACCAGGCTGAGGCAGTCACAGGGGAACTGTGTCAGGCAGCCACTCTTCTGGCCATGACATTCAAGTACTGGCACTTCTTGTTTCTGAAAAAGCAGTTTTTCAAAAGGAGAGTTTGCTGAGCACTCTCCATGTTCACTCAGATCACTGAATCCCATGAGGCTCACTCTGTCAACTGAATTGGGCTTATCACAACAGACTTCTGTAATAATTCCCAAATTCTTTTTGGTACATAACCATCGTCTTCATTCCCAGCACAGAGAAGCTTTGTACCCCAACCATTCTAACCAGAAAAAAAAATTGCCCTTTAAAATAGTCCCAACAATTTACAAACAAGAATAATGTGGCATAATGAAGGTAAGATTATAGCTGGGTGTAATGACACACTGTATTTTGCCAGTGTATCCCTGCTGCAATTAACAGGTAAGCTCCTCAGCAAAGCCATGGATCTTCCCTCTTGCTTATGACAACAGAAAATCTGATTTTAATGGAAACACAGCAATGAAACTCAAGTCTTAGATTTGCAGAGTGGAGTAAAAATTAATTCAGAGTTTATAGTGAGATCACTGTAAAGCTGAGACATGGAGCTACAAAAATGCCATACCAAAACCTAGCTTACAAGAGTGTCCTGAGATGGGCTTCATTAAAGTTCACCACAATCCCCAAGACCCTTCAGAGAAAGGTACTTAGAAAAGGACAACAATTATCAAGAAAAGTGGTGATCTTTGCTTAGCAAACTGCAGTTTCCCATTTTATATTTGTAAATGTAGAAATGTCTGTAAGCTAACTATTCTTGCTTTCCAAAGTAGGTTCATGTGGACAATTTGACACCTGATTACAAGTGTCATTTCACAGTAGTTGGCAAATATCTAAAATAATCTAAAGAATTACCAACTGAAGTCTTCTAAGTGTTCTAAGAAAGCTCAGCCAGTTTATTATGCTTTTCTTCTGAGGCTATCCCTTTATTTTTGAGATACAGCACCTTAATATTTGTACAGTATCAAATATATTTATTAAGAAGAGCAGTGAAGAAACTTGCATTGCTCCTGCATATGAGAAACAAAGCACTTTCTGAAGATGTCCTTCAAAATAAACAGCACCACTGATTTTGGAAACACATTGATAAATCTGGCAGTCTGAAATTCAGCATTAATAGAATGTGCATCTAAGGAAGGTACTCCTTGAAAAAATGGGAGATAAAAGGCAGCTCTTAAAAATGAAGTGAATGTTTATGTTGTATTGAAGGTTAAACAGCTTTAGAAAAAAACCTTTAATTTTTCTTTTTCCTTTTTTTCTCTGAGTCCTTAGATCCCTTTGAGCTACAAACTATATTATTACCTAAACAACCTTCTCACTGCAATTAGTAATTTTATGCTACTAATTTTTCTGGTTCACACTGGAAAAATTTAAAGGAAGCTCAAAAGTGAAGGGACCAGATCCGACAAATCTCATTCGTCTACGAGAGTTCAGCTCTGCACTCCCTTATAAGCATCTGGAAACGTTTGAATAATAAAAGAAACACACTTCCACAGAACCAAACCTGATGAACAGGCATTATCTGAACAGAATTTGTTGTCCTGCATTAGCCTGTTTCAGAAAATAATAAGAAAATAGTATCTTTAGAAAGAGTTTTAAAGGTAAGAGGCTGTTTTACAGAATGACCATCTTACCATGACCACCTTATCACTGATGCATGTGTAAAATGGCCACTTGCTGGCCACCAGCATGAATACCATTCTCAATCCTCTGAAAAACAGAGTGTAAGTACTGCTGTACAACAAGCTGCCCATGGCAGTCTTTTGAGACTTATTTAGAGCGAGAGTGATGAGTCGAAAGTCTGCCCCCTAGAGGCAGTGTGCTTACATACAACATCATTTTCTGATGACTGTTACCGTATCAGTTATTTCCCCTTTGTTGAGGTTGAAGCACATCCCAAACAACAGCAAGCATGGGGGAGAGCACCCTCTCTTTTCAACAGGAGAGAGCACCTCTGCTTTTCAACAGACTTTCAGCATAAAGCCACAAGCAGAGACACAAAAGTGTTATACAAGACAGCTGCAAAATCATGATTTTTCATCTTGTACTACTCCTTCCAGGTCTGCAGAGTTATTTATGCACAGTTACCTGCAGAGCAGCAAACACACTTACCTGAACACCCTAATTATGGAAACTTGGGTCCATTCAGCAGCAGTCAGAAAACATTTTGGTTAGCTATTAATGAGGCAAACACACAGACTTCATCATGCCACCTTATCCAGTTCAAGTCTGTCTAATATTAGTCTGGTTTTCTTTGAAGCACGTGGTAAGCTAGGTACTAGTGCAACTGCTGCGAATCAATACAAAGCTCACCCTCCACAAGATGTAACTGTGCAGATGTAGACAGTACTCATGGATGATATTTGCATAGCAAGTTGCAGTAAAGAATGAATAAGATGTTAAAAAATTCTATTAATGAGATATCAGTTAGCCTAATGGTAGAGCAGGTAAACTAGTCAAGCCATATTCATACTAAATTTCATCTTCTGATTCCTGGTCTCGTTCAGATGTCTTCAGTAATCCCATTTCCATGGACTGGGACTGTTTAACCTTTGAACGAACTGCCCTGAAAACAACAAAAAATGAGAGCTGTCAATAGTAACTCTGCCGTGGTTTAAGCCCAGTTGGCAACCCAGGAAAAAACACGCAGCCTGCTCTCTCAACCCCCCCCCCCCCCACTTTCCTCCCCCAGCTCCCAGAGGGATGGGGTGGAGAATCGAAAGAATGTAACTCCCATGGGTTGAGATAAGAACAGTTTAGTAACTAAGGTATAACACAAATCACTACTGCTGCCACCAATAATAATAATGATAAGGGAAATAACAAGGGAAGAGAATACAACTGCTCACCACCCACCAACCGATACCCAGCCTGACCGAGAAGTGATCTAGCCCTTCTGGGTAACTGCCCCCAGTTCATATAGTGAGCATGATGTGCTGTGGTATGGAATACCTCTTTGGTCAGTTTGGGTCAGGTGCCCTGTCTCTGCTTCCTCCTGGCTTCCCCTCCTCCCTGGCAGAGCATGAGACTCAGAAAGTCCTTGGTCAGTCTAAACATTTGAGCAGTAACTAAAAACATTGGTGTTATCAGCCCTGTTCCCAGGCCAAAAGTCAAAACACAGCACTGCACCAGCTACTAAGAAGGAGAAAAAATGACTGCTCCTGCTGAACCCAAGACAAACTCAAAGGCTTATCTGGCCATTTTCATATGGTTAAAAACTGTTTAACTCCTGCACCTCACCAGGGAGTTAGGGTGACTGATGTATGAAGACTTGTAGCGGGCCACTGTGGAAGACATTGTAAAGGTGGCTTCTGCTTTCAAGCAGAATCTGGGCAGTATTTAACCACAGGCCTTGGTTGTAAATAGCTGTATGTTAGCATGAGTGACAACTGTACAATGCAAACATGTACCATGACATTAGTATGTGCTACATTTAATGATACTACCTGAACATACTCCTTGTAAGACATGCTGCAGCAGCTGCCATTTCCAGCATCAGAAGGGATGTAGGATTTCTGTCACCTACTCTATAGTTGCCATCTTTTACACAACAAACCAGCTACCCAGCCTTGAATGTCAGTGCCTTTCCGACAAAAGATCCAAAAAGAAGTGGCATCTCAGTTCTTGCAAGACTGCAAGAACTGCATGGGGCCAAAGCCTGATAAAATAGAGCTATTAGGATGGTAAGGGTAAACTGAGAGATGAGAAGCACGTTTAGAACAGTGCAGGCAAAGGCTTGGTAAGGTCCTGCAGGCAGGTGATCACACATGGCAGAATCAGGCTCATTTTTATAACTAATTTAACACTGTGGTTGTAATTTTACCAGCATTAACACAAGAAGAATGTCTAACTTTAGAAATGGGGGGATGAAACTAGGTAGTGGAAAAGAAATCAGGTCTGATCACAGGAATTGCTAGCAATGAAAACTGCCCAATAATCTTCAAAGTCACGAAGCCTGCTGACGAAGTCACTTGGAATTAGAGATGACCACGGGGAGAGAAGATGCTGTAGGAAAAAAACTTCTCCTACTTCTAACTTCATATGCACTTACATATATGGAACACTATTAAGAAAGAGCTTCTTTTAAGTGAGAAGCATTATCCTTTCAGAGCTGTGCTTCATGAATATTTTTCCCCTTTCTACTGAAGCAGTGAATCATGTTCTTCATTGATTAACAATACCTATTTTTATTTTACCTTGCAAGACAATTAATTACTTTGTAGAAAACTTGATTTGTCAGTGAGACATTTCTAAAATTAAGCTTCTGCTAGACTAAATAGACAAGTTTCCAAATAACTTACCAGCTGACAATTGTATAATTGACTGCAAGTATAAGAAAAGCAAAGGCATAATGCCAGCAATAGCACATGGTCAGGAACATCATATTGGTATGATCCATCTGATTCCACTCTGGCCTCCCATTTGGAGGATAAAGCACAAAGCCAATCTGTAATAAAATAATAGATATTTAGCAAGAGTCATCTGATGTGTATCCTTTGCTGTATCATGTTTTATGCTACCTATCACAAGGCAGAAATCTCTTTTTTTCTAAGTGCTGATTATTTCTGTGGCTATTATTAAAAGCAATTTTGCAGTCGCACTCAGATGCAATGGATCATTTTACACAGTTCTGTGCAGAAGTGCCTTTGAAGATGCAGAGCCTGTCCCAGGAAACCCTGCTCTTGCCCAGAGAATTAAGGACCCTGCCCAACAAGTCCCACAACAATCACAGCTATGTACTGTATGGAAAGGGGGCAGTGCTCAGCCTTGTGTGGTCTGAACTGAAAACACATAATGAACAAGAAAGCCTACCCAGCCATTTGCACTGACTCACTTCTTCCCAACAGTGTCTGCAAATGTGCTACATGGCTCTGAAGATGCATAATAAATGAATAAAGGTGAACATAAGTCTATTTTTCCTGGGCCATCCATGGAAAAGGTCAGGTTTTGAAATTACTTAAAAATGGAGCTCTCGCCCAAGGCTATAAGGCCACGTGAAATACATAGCTGATTTGTATATTCAGAGTTGGAAAAGATCAAATTCATATTAATATATAAGGTGGGAAGCTAGTAATCCTGTGGCTGCAGAGGGGTCTGCATGTCAAGCACTGGTCCTCTGTACTTCCTAATACTCTTCAGGGTCATGGCTCTACAGTTCAGCTGAGAATTTAGGACCTGGGAAGAGGAGAGGAAGGAGGATGGGAGGAGTGCATTTTGCATTTCCATGCAGAGAATTCAATGAATGAGGGAGCTGATGATGCAGAAGTTCCCTCTACTTTTTACAAATATGTCATGCTGCAGCCAGTATGTGGTTTTCAGTCACACATATGGTTGAAGTCTCCTGCAGGTGTGAAAAAAGCCACACTTAAATTGCTTGTATTTTTAGTTCTTCAATTTTTCACTTTGAAACAAAAAACACATTGTCTCCAGAGCTAAAGAAATAACTTGCTCTAAAATTAGACTGGACAGACAACAAAGAATAAACGGTTGTGTCTAATTCCTCTTACATAAAGCTTCTTAAATCACCAATAAAAAGTGTACAAACAAGAAAATAAACCACAGAGTGCTGCAGCACCAGGTTCTTGAGTTCACTTATAGAAAAATACTGCTGTTGAGGAGGTCTGTCTTTTGGCCAGAGCAAGTATTGAGATGTTGGATTTGGTGCTGAGTGTCCAGTTCTCCTAAGAAACAGCAAACATTTTTTTTTCATCATGTCTGGCCAGCATATAAAAAAGAGAAAACAGTCTAGACATGCTGGAAAAAAAAATCTCTGGAGTGACCTCAGTTCTTCACTGTAAGATGAAACACACATCAGCACTAGTGCTCCTATTTCTTTGTTACGAGATCACGGCAATTCATTAAATTCTTTCTCTTGTTCTGACAGTAGAGACAGGGTCATTATCAAATATCTGTTAATTGGATAGAATCACAAGTAAGTGAGGGCATGGAAGCTGCATTTTTGAAGAGTCCTTTTGGGAGCCACATCCTTGAAATATCACAGTTTCAGCTGTTTTTTCTTCTGCTCAGTTTCCAGAGCCCTGGAAAAGCAGGAGGCTTTGCATCACCCAGTTTCTTAATGCAGATTGAGAGCTTAAATACCTTTTGAGCTGTGCACTGTCCATGAGTGCATTGCCTCACCCATCCAGTACTCTGCTGAGCACCTATTCACTGCTCCAGCAGCTGACTGGAGATTGGCTTCATAAAGAACAGCATATATTGCTGGGCTCTAAAACACTGCCATTTGGCTTGTGGATTTGGAACAGGATGTTATAGGGGTCAGAAAGAATGGTCAGTGAACAAGGGAGAGTTCAAGAAAACCTCCTTTGCTTTTTCATTGATAAAATGCACAAGAAGTAAAATGGCTTCTGCTGCTTCTGTAAAATTGATACAAGAAATATTTTTATCTTTTTAAAGGGACATTAAGAGTGCATTGTTTTCTATGAGTCCTTTTAGGTCTGTGTTTAAAAGGTATATTACATCCCCTATGAATCCTCTTCAAAGGGCTAAATCACTAATTTTGGTGAAGGAAGAAGTTCCTAAAGCAGAAAAGTGACCTACCTGCCAGAACCAGCTGCCTTGTAATATGCAAAGGCTTGTACGAAGCATCTCTAGCACAATACTGCCACGGAAGAAAACTTCCAGAAATATGCAAACAGCAGCTCCAAAGACAGCAAACAGCAGTAACTGATGAACATGAACATCCAGCATGGCTCTCCCATGAAGATGGTAGCAAAAGAGAAAACCTGGAATAAATTAAGTGATCATTTTAAGAAACTTTCTTCCTTTGAAATCTCCCTGCATATGTTTTCATAAAACAGTGAACCGTTAGCATTTCTCTTCATGCCAATAACACCTTCTTAGTTGAACTAACAGCAATTTTTAGACTAATTCTTAAGTAGTGTGTACTCCCACTCTTCAGTTCAGACCAGGAAATTGCATGGGAAGTTGTAGCTCTGTCACCCTTCGTTTAAAACACACTAACAAAAAGTATCATTCATCTGTGCCTGCAATGTAACAAGAGGGATGCTATGAGATATGCTGTGTGTACAGAAAACACAAAGTGAGTGTGTCTCCAGTGCAGTTGCAACATATGATTGCTGTACAAATGAAAAAGCACTTTAACTTGTGGGCCATGTCTGTGCATACATTGAAGCACATACCTGAGCTACTGAGCAGTTATTCAAAACAGGCTTGTGCTGCTATTTTTATAACATTTCTGTTGCTATCTAAGCCAGCTGGGAAGCACAGATACACCTCTAGGATGTGTGATCATGCTTAGGGCTGCAGTGCAGTTTAAGGAGGACCAAGACTGATCTTTCTTAGGCATTTCAGAGAGTTAAACACCCAGCTCGTGCAGGCTCATTCTCTAAGACTGATGTGAGACTCAAGACGCATTCCCCTGTGCAAGTTTCACGCATACTTCTGCGAGAAGAGGTAAACTGACCTTCAATAAACACTGCTAACGAAAGCATCATCTTGTCCATGGCCACTGGCAGTGCACTGGTCCCATGAGCCACAATGTCAACCAACCCTGAAATGCCATAGAAAAGGTACATGGTAGCATGTTGCCAGTTCATGAGGTGATCCCAGTGCTTTTCCTCGTAATTGTACAGCTTCAGATGAGGTCCATCAGGAACAAACTGCTCAGCCACCATTCCTGCACATGAAATAAAAAGTGTAACTTTTTGTCCTGGTGCTTAAGGTGATGATAAGTCTTTATACAAACAACAGAGGAAACAATATATTCCCTTGCAGCGTAACACCGGTCAATTTGAGATTTAGTCTGGCTGCCTGAGGATTGCTCTGGGTGATTGCTACATTTTCCTCCCTTCTGCCCAGTTCAGCCATTTGCAATAAAGTTTTTAACATGTCCAAATTCAAGTGAAAATGCACAGAGGTCTCAAAGATACTAATTTTATATAAATTTACAAGAAAATAGGCAATGGCTGGAGGAGAGATGAAATAAGCTGAGTTGTTGATGGGAAGACCACAGAGTGAGCTACAGCATGTATTAAGCATCACATAATTCAGAGAAGAGAAAGCCAGGGAAAACCAGGCTTCATCTCTGCTCCTGGTTGGATTATCTGCATCTTGCAGTTTCCAGCAGCGAACAGCTATTCTGTGCTGGTTTTTTTTTTCCTAACAATTGCTATTGTAGTAGTCCTCTAACTGAATTTTTCAGCTGCCTTCTCCTGTGGTTCAAACATGAGTATAACACATGCTGAAGTCCCCAAAAGAAAGATTTACCATTTCAGTCCCCTACAGTGTGAAGGATGGCAGAGTTCAGACTCTTAGTTCAAAGGGGATTTTTCCTATAAAGCCATAAAAGGAAATCCCTCCACTATGCAGTTATTAAAAGTCCCATGAGAGTGTATACCAAGTTAGTATTTGAATTGCTGCTCCATTGCCTCCCTTACCTTGGCCCCCTCAGTGTCTTACTAACTAGCTGCAGTACTCCAGCAAGAGGAAAGCTGAGTTTAGATACTCTATATAACCAGTGAAGCTTGGGAAGGATTTAAAATGTGTTACACTTTAAAACTTTAAATACATTGCTTATAAAGCACAGGCCAACATCATGCTGTATAAGTAGATACACTGCAGTACAAATGCAATACTTTTCCACCTTTATTTCAAATTTCCTAACACAGAAACAACAGGGTTTACTCTTTCTGCTACTTTTTGTCTTCACCAGGGTTTCTTGTCCACATTTGTGAACTGAAATTACCATATGTTAAAATAATAGTTTTTTTGTTTTATGATAAAAATAAAAAGGCTAAATGAGTATGTTAGCCACCCAACTACCTCTAGACACTGAGTGGAAGATCTGTACAAAAGATGTCCTCACTCACACCTCAAAATGAATGCTATTATTTAGGTTTTGATATTTTTTTTAAGGCATATCAAAGTACTGTACACACAGTATCTCTTCAGAGCTGATCTTGAAGAAGAGCAAGAACAAGATTTTGGCACAGCCTGCACCTTGATCAAAAACCAAGCAACTCTGAGCATCTAAAGAAGAACAGACAGATAGAATCTAAAAATCTAATAATACTAAAAAATAAGATCCTTTTCAACTTGAAAGCTACATGTGCTGAGCTCCCCAGGCCCCCTGTTATTTAGCTTATTTATTCTAGAAAGATAAATTGCTAACATACAGCGTGCTGGAACATGAACAAGAACTAAGCACTTCCAATTGGCTGCAAAACTCACTAAACCATCCCTGTGGCTTTGTACCCAGGCCAGTCCACAACAGAAGGAGAAACAGGCCACCACCAGCACCCTGTTGCAACAGTCCTGCAGCAATAACATCTGGAGTTCAGTCTTTCTTTGTGAATATTTTCACTTTAAATGACACCAGTGGAGAAGCATCTGCATTTACATATTTTATCAATAACTCAGTGGAGACTACCTACATCTAAGATAAGTTGGATTCAAAACAGAAAAGCAATGTCTCCACAGTCTGGTGCTCACAGTCTGCATGTGAGACCCCCTTGCCTAAATATCTTTCCTCCCTCCCTGAAGTAGTGAACAGCATATGAACACTCGGACCAGCTGTGAACTTGTCAGGAGACTCAGCTCCAGAAGAGTGCTATGGATGGAAACCCTGTTACGATCATAACTGTGTAATTAATAGCAGTAGCCCCACTAGTTCTTAGATTCTTGGTGTTTAAAAGACAAAACACCAAAACACAATGAGATGTTTTATCAGAGAAAAAAGAAAAAGATAGTGTTAAAAGACATAGCCTTTTCATTGTCAGCCCACCTTACTTACCGATCAGGGCAAAGACAGCTTTGATGATCCCCTCTACAAACTCCAGGCGCTGAAATCCTACCCTGGAACCAAGGTAGCAAGCATTCTTGTTTTTTCGACAGGCATACTTCAGTGGATATTTCACTGACCACCACAAGCCAAAAAGAAGGAAAAAGCTTCCAGGGAGGGCATGCCCTTTGAAATTGCCCATGGTTTACTGCTAGGCAACACCTGAAGGTGAAACAAATGGAGATTGATTATGGGAGTAGCAGGAGAAATCTGTGGGTTATAATTTTAAAGTATCTCCTTGCATAGATTTAAAAAAAAAAATCATAGAATTAAGTACTCACACTCTATTTAAAAATTAATGTGGGTACTCGTCTTCACTGATTATTCCAAACACCCAGCTAGTCTCTCAGTTTCATAGCTGTGCAGAATCAAAGACCCAACTGCAAGGCATTTGACCTGAAATAAAGCTGGCAGTTGGCAAAGTGAGAGAAAAAATGCCATAGTGCACTACGCCATGCTGTTGAAGTTATACTAGCAAAAGAGACATATGAATATTCACAATTTGGTTCCTCTTTAAAGGGGTTTTCTGTTTCCTCACTCCACAAACAGAAATCAAGACAATACTTGACTGAAGGAAATCCAAGTTGTATACAGATATTATGGGCAGCTATTCACTAATAAATTGTATTTTGTATTCCAATTTGAAGCCTTGTTATGATTTACAAACATCAAGCCATTCTCAGTATTTGATAGGTGAATTATGCACCCACAATTAGATGCACATTATTAAGTACACCAAGTACACTGAGTTATAAGGTTATTAGTTAGTTATACAGTTATTTAAAAGCAGTGCCATTAATAAAATCTAGTAATTCTGGTCATCATCCAAACTTTTAAGGAGAGTTAACTTAGATCCAATAGCTTCTGCATTAAAGCGACAGTTTTAATATTAAATTACAATTTTTCTTTAAGTTATTATAAAATGAGTTACTGTGCAACCCAAAGGCATACTAAATCTTTGCAGAGGTTAAAATAAAGGATAACACCTTAGAAGCATTGGAAATCTGTATTCTCTGTTATTATTGTGGCTGATTTACAAATCTGATCACCACACTACACTGTAGCTATCTGCTTGTGAATAGAATACAGAGGCTCTGGTATATTTTTCTTTCCAGCAAGTATTTTGTATGGTAAGCTCTGCATAAGAAGTTTTAAACTGTGGCTTCTGGGCCATAGAGTACTTGCAGATGGTTCATATAATGCTGTCTAGTCATGTAGCGTGAGCTCTGTCCTGTTTCTGGAGCCTAAGCTCCACTGAAAGCATTATTTTGAATTTTTTTTAAGAGAAACTTGCACAGGTCCTGAAGCTGCCATAAGACTATTACTCAACTGCATGAGGAAACATGACCTATATAGCCACAAACGAGAATTAAAAAAAACACAGATGTTCATGAGTTGCGTGAGGCAGGCTGTGATTTAAACAGGGATGCTGAAGAATGTCCTGTCCCTGCTGCCTGTCCCCTCCTCTTCCAGAGCTGATGTCTCCCAGTATAAGTGCCATAGAAGGGGAGGGGTGAGTTTTAAAATATTTCCCTGGATAAAACTCTACTTAGCTAATTTCTATGGAAGCATTAATGAAGTACAAGAAAAGGGAAACGTGATATCGGTTGTCCAAGCAAGCCCATTTCTGGATGTGTCTTCACAGGTGCCAAGTGCTGGCATCTGAGCATACCTTTTACTTCAAACTGGAAGGAAATCACACAGAGGTGGCTGCCCTAAGCCCTGGGAAGGCTCCTGGGGAAGCAGCACCTGGCAGCCATGGGGCAGCCAAAGAGAGAAGAAGAGACATGTTTATTTATCTATTCTTATGAAATGTAAAGGACTGTATTTGGGACTTCTGCTGTCTGGGGAAGGGCTCCTGCATGCTACTTGTCTTCTGTTAAGTAGAAAAGCAAGGGTGCCATGCCCAGAGCTGTTGTGGAAGGCTTTGCCTCACCTGGTTGCTGGCTAGCCACCCCGATCAGGGCAGCAAAAGCTGTGAGGAGGAGCAAGCAATGACAGACATGGTAGGCAGCTCTCAGCATGGGCCCCCAGCCACCAGGACAGTGATGACCACCTCCATCCCACTCACAAAAGGCTGAATTAATCTCTAAGCCTCCCTGGGGCTGAGAATGTGTTAGTGGTGCTAAGTCAGCCTGCTTGTGAGCTAAGCATCTCTGGTCCTAGCCCAGGGTGGGCTGGGAAGTGGAGGAGGAGGAGGTGGTAGTCCAAAGGTTGGGAGAGCCTTTCTCTGCTTCCTCTGCCTCCCTCAACACCTTGAAAGCTCTGCTAGGTTTACGCCTGTTTTATTTACAGGTGGGGAAAGCACTGTTCAGTCTTGAGAAGCCTATAGCACAGACAGGCACTAAGTGGTGTGGCTGGGGGGCTCAGCCCCACAGGTCAGACCCAGCCCCATGGTGTTGCTGAAGAGGTACCTCATTCTGGGACATCTTTAGTTCAAAGAATCTGCCCAGCTTGTGCATTACTACCAGTACTCACTGCACCACAGTTTACCTCAAAAAAGGCAATATTAATGGGAGCTAAAGTTTTAGACAGTTGCCTAAACTGTGCTTTAAACTTTGAAATACTTGTTTTGCTTTGGAAGCCTTTCTGGTTCTTTTAAAACTTCCTGGCCTGAAAGACATTGTAGCAGATCGGGTTTTTTTTCCCTTCCTTGCATGAAAGGAAGAGGGGAAGAGTGGAGAGTGGCCTTTCTTCACCATATGTCTGATCTCACTGAATACCATTCCTTAGAAGGACTTTATTCATTAGATATTATTCAACAGCTACTGAGCATTTTAAATAGGAAGATTTACCCTGTAACTCACATCACCTACATCAAAGAGAGATACTGGATTAAAAAGGTAAATTAAACCCGTGAAAAGCCTCCCTTTAGGAGAGTATAGTAACAATAAGAGTCAAATGAACAACAGTGTGCTAATGGCATTTGTAGTGCACAGTATAGGAAACTTCAAAAGTAATTCTCAGTCTGTAAATTCACACCTGGGTTAGCTAGAGCTCTAATCACTGCAGGATATTTCTGCCCTAAATCTGGGTAATCCAACAGGATACCCTGTTTAAAACTATTTTTTGCTTTCAAGAACAAGGGAAGTCTGATACAGCAACTAATGTTGCATATCCAATATAAGCAAAAGAGAACCTGAAAAACTGATGTTTTTGCTATAAGCAATACAATCGCATATTATTTGCTTTAGAGAGTGTAAACTTCAGTTTGAGTTTGTCCAAAAATGTTGGGAATTATCTGTGGGATCTCTCTAGAAAGAGGCATATCAGATCTGTGAGTCAGCCGCTGTGACTTACCTTTGGAACACTGAATCTCAACACAGTAGGCTTCAGAGAGGATTTACATCAGTTACACTTTAAATCCTTAGTAAACTTAAAAACATTATGACAGAAATTGCCTTAAACTTTGAATTCATGAATTTTCTCTAATCAAGCCCGAGAGTGTATTTTGGTGAGTCTAGAAGTCAACTGCCATCAACCACAGTTTTTATGTGACTGACAAGTTTTGCCTGCAAGTAAACCAGGTGATATCGCGTAGTTTGGGGACTTAGTATGACACTGAGGGAACCAGCCTGTTACAGCATGTCAGGTGCTATTTATTGGATAAAGATGGCATTGGCATGTTATGATAACACTCAGTAAATTTGAGGGTTTATTTCTTTACAGAACTTTATCCCATAAGGTAGCATACAAATCACTGGAGGACTGAAGCTGTAACCTGTGCAAATCGCAGGCCCTCTTTTATCCTCAGTGATTTCAGGGCCAGGGGTGCTGGGAGAGCCTCAGCCTCAGCAGCAAACCTTCCTTGCTGCCCACCACCTTCCCCTAAAGTGCATCATCTGCCAGAGACTCAAGTAGAGAAAATCCCAAGGCTTCCCCAGAGCTGAGTGCCATGAGCTGTGGGTTTGGCCATGCAGGGTCTGTTCATGCTCCTTCCACTGCCCCTCAAAGCCACTCAGTCACACCAGGTGCTGCATGAGTACCTGCAGTGGGTGATCTCCTTGCATAGCCTCAACCCTGTCCAAATCCTGCTCCTAAGCTTGCCAGGCAATGCAAGTGCTGATGCCTACAAGAGACATACAGACAGCCAGCATCACCCAGTCACAGCCCTCGCCATGTATGACAGGGTTTGGCTTTTTGACCATTGCTGATCAAATCACCCCTGTTACCTGCTCTGTGCACCCCCAGGGTCCCTGCCCAGGTCTCATGGTCACAAGGCAACTGGAGAAAAAGGTAATGAGGTGTAAATATGGCAATAAACAAAATTGTCAATGTAGTTTAGAAATTCTTAAGTACCAGGCAACTTTTCTGCAGCTGATTGGAATGAGGTGCAAGAATAATTTACAGTTACTTGCTACCTGTGAATGTGAGATGCTTTTTGTTTTTTCACAAGTGAAAAATCCAAGCATGATTTTTCTTGCAATAATCACACAAAACTCTGCATGATTGAGGCTTTCCCAGCAATTAGAAACCTGCATAGTATTGCACAAGTGCTTTACACTCCAACTTTGCCAACCAAATGCGATTGTTGATGTTTGCCTACAAATTCCCTATGTAGCAGTGTACCTGGGATGTTCATCCCTTGGCTGAGGCTGTATCTTACTCCCTGGGTCAGAAGGAAATAGTGGATCTGCTGTCAACAGACAGGGTTATGAGCAAAGGCAGTTTCTGAATGAGCATTCAAGAAAAGGTGGGCATTTTTGTGGGTATTAAAAGCTTTTAATCCAGAAAATTACTTCACTTACACCAGAAGAAGCATGAAAGGCAGGCAAGAAACAGACTTACATGATTGATTTAAACACTTCCCAACTTCCTGGGGAGGAATGTTTCCTAACATCTACAAGTTTGATTCCTTAAAAAATTCCTTAAAAATTCCTTTAAAATTCCTTGATCTCTTAAGGCCACCATGTGGGAACTAAGGCAAAACCTGCAAGTGGTATGAAGAAGCTTATGGCTACTTAGATGGCTTCTTGAAGAGCTAGGTGAATCCCCTTTTCCACCTTCTCTCTTTAAAAAAAGCCAGAGGCTCAAGCAGCATAATCTGCACTGGATGGAGACGCAAGTGGTAGCTCAGCCAGAACTATCCCTGAAGCAGGCAGCTTCCCTTCCCTTCACATTCTCCTGCCACAGCACTATGCCTTGCAATTTCCTGGTTTATCAAGCTCTGTGGGATGTTAAAGAGGACTGTTGACCAGAAATGAGGGATTTTTTTTTCAGAAATGACACAAGTGATGAGGCCACAGACTCACACTGCTGCAACAGATTCATTCCTGCTATGGAGCCATATGATAACAGAAGCTAAACACAAAGATTTACTGCAATGGTAAAACTGTGCTGGATTAGGAAAAAATTATGTGGGGTTTATAACATT